ACGGTCGGCGGCCCCCGCGTTGTGGTCGCCGGGATGGGATGAGAGCCGCAGCGATCCTTTAGGACGCCGCCAAAGGATGAACACGCAGGGCTTTTTGGGGACAATGACTTTCAGTGCTCTCGGGTGTCCCACACGACACTGCTGTAGGTACAGCAGGAGGGAGACGGCCATTACTGTGCGTGAGGGATCCAGGAGCCGCAAGCCCTCCCTCCTCCCCGACTCCTCACCCCGAGGCCAAACCGCTCCGTCTGATACCTCCGCCGCGGTCCCAATGATTCATTCAACCATCGACCCGGCAAAGAAACACCAAAACAAAGAGCGAACCTTGAACATCCGATACTTTTCCTGACCAAGTGCCCCCGTGCGCACGCCAACCCAAAATGTTTTATTCACCCGCACGTACAGAAGAAATGAACATTTGCTCATCCAGATACCCTCTTGTAAACCCACCACCCAAAAAACAGACAACACCAACCACCATGTCACATACATCCCAGCTCCAATCCAGCACCAAGCCCCCACCCCCCCCCCTCTTCTTCTTGTTCCCGGTCTTGCTCCTTTTGCACCCAACCCTACTTGAACAAAGGGCTGCGTTCCAACACAAATCCTCCAACCCTGTCCGTAATGACAGGCTAGAGCTAAGCGATGCCCATGGGGCAAGGAGAGACCGAGGTGCTTTGGTCTGGGATGCTGCCCGGTCCGGATTCCTCCTCTGAAACATGTGGGTTTCTCCCTCTCTCTGGATGGGAGCAGCGCCGGAGGGGTAGAAGGATGCGGAGGGCAGGGTGCAGGAAAAAGGGGGAGACCACAAAGTAAGCCCACAGCCCAAAGGGAGGGATCATTTGTAGCTCAGGTGGGACGTGAGTGGGCTTTCATGTGCGGATGGCATCAAATAGCGGTAGTATGCCCTTCGGACGGAATACGAGGATTATGGGGCTATGAATGCAATTCAATCGTTTCTTTGGGCAGATATCCTAATGAGATCGGTAGTCCTCATTGGCTACTTCCACGTGAATGTCTTCTGGACTCAACCAGATCAGAACTTGTACACCGAATCTCAAGCGAATCAAGTCTGGTGAACCACGGTTCTCAAAAGAAACCCGTTGCCAAATCCGCAAAACGATCGGAAAAGGCAAAAAAAAAAAAAAACGCTTCTTTTTTCTTTCTCTCTTGGGGCCACGCCGGTGAGGCCGATGTGTTGAGCAGATACGGTGCCTGCCCCTCCCTCCCCCCGGACCTGTGACCAGAGGTACCGATCATCTGGACAGTCCGCTCGTGTCCAAATCTGCTACAGCGCTCAGAGCGGTGCCGGCCCCCTGTTCGACTCCCGCCACATGGGAGTCCGCCCGCCCGGTGCTGTGCTGTAAACCTGTCATTGTTCATCGGGGTCACACACACACACACACACTCCTTATCCCCCCCCCGGTGGGGAGCGGGCCAACAGCGGACAGCCTGTGTTCCGTCAAGGCGTCCAAATTCCATGACTTTCCCCTCGAATTCCCGTCCGGAGCCAAGTCATATATTCTGTTGTCATCCACCGGGATCTAATGAAAACCCACGAGGAGGCACACCGTCTACACACACACGCACACAGACACACACACACAGACACACACGCGCAGTGGAAACACACAGCCCTGTGCATGCTAAATATCCATCAGGGCTTTTTCCTTCCACACAGCTGCTGTGATGCCGAAGGATTCGGGTCAGACTTATTGAGTTAATTAGCTGTGTGTGTAAACCACTAATAACAGGATGGAGTTCATTTAGCTGCATGAAAATAGTATTTTCCCCGCCGTGAATCACCAGCCCAGCGACGCATGGAGTCCAACAAAAAAAAAAAAAAGAGAAGAAAAAAGAAGAAAATAAAAAAAATGTTACGTGAGCGAAGGCTTTTAAAATTGTCACGAATGAACGTGTCAAGTGTTGAGGTGCCTTATGAATCAGTCTTCCTCACTGGCTCGCGGCTCTGGGCCTCTTCCTCGGTCACCGTGCCCGGACCAACAAGCGGCCAGGCTTTTTTGGAGATTCTTTTTTTAGAGATTAAAGCGTAAACGGGGGAACCTGCCACACGCCGTCGTCGACGGGCTACTCGAAGGCCCGCGCGAGCGCTTTCGGCTGCGGCGCCGCGATGGCGTTCGTCCAGCCAGTGGGCCGCGTTCATGAAACGGGTTAAATGTAATTGTGGTTTCGTCGTTTTTTGGTTCCGTATAATCGGTGCAAAGCAGGTCGACGCGCTGAGCGAGGAAAAAGCCGCTGTGCCAGATTGGGTCCGTCCATAACAGAGATTTTCCTCCCACATCGAAAGAGGATTTTTTTTTTTTTTCCGACTCTTAACTCTGTCTAATTGCTTAAACATTTCCTCTTCTGATTCCGTGCGGGGACACCGGCCAAGCGACAGGCTTTTGGAACCCCCGAGAGCCCCGCTTGAGAATTTCCTACGCCGGTCTGTGGTGTCGCTTAAGGCCCGTCGACTCGGTGCTTATGTGATTTGCTTGTACTAAAGCCCCCCCAAAAAAGGTGAAGACAATAACAAAGAGTGAGGAAATAACAAAGTGATGCAGAGTCCTCCTGGCGTTTATCTTTTCCACTTCCACCCCCAGTGAATGGCGCGCTGATTGCTAGGTGATCTCAGCTAAATGCTAATGGTCCACAGACACGCTGGCTGCTTCGTGGTGCTTCGAGCTAAATGCTAACATCCACGCGCCAACAGGCCGGGGGCGGGGCGGGCGTACCGTTGCCCGAGCGCGTTGGTATGGCAACGTCGGCCGCCAAGCACAAACCATAAAGAGCTGAGGTGAACAAATAAATATTGGGACAAATTTGCCTGGAACGTGGTGCCAAAAAAGAAAAGTGGGGGCATCGCTACAGACAATTCACCCACAATTCGCCACACATTTCTGTGGCCAAAGAGTCAGCCGACCGAGCATCGCTGCAACATCATCCGCCCTTTGTCGATTTACTACATCAGTAAACATTGTAAACGTGAGTCAAGTGTCCCGACCGATGGCTCCAAGTCTTCTTCAATACGGCCTGATGTTTATTTCGTTCATCATGGTCGTGTTTGGAGTGAAATAAACAATTAACACGCTTTAGGGCGCGACTGCCTCGTTATTTACAATCTGTTTTCACTTCATGAAACTTTAAACTAAGCGATAAATCCTCATGGTTTTGAATGTGGGAATACTTTTGATTATTACATGCGAGCAGGGGCCTCATTTATTACCATCGGATTTGCAGATAAGAGCATAAAAAAAGATGAGGATTAATTGGGAGGCGGACGGGGGGACGGGGGGACGAGGGGGGGGCATCGAGAGGATCTTCAGAGCTCTCCAGTGTTCCACTCGTTCTTTTCTGTTTACTCCTCTCCCCACTTGACTTCCAGCGAGGCGTTCGCCCTGCTCGTATTTCACGCCCCGACCCCGGCGCTGCTGCTGTCGGGCCGTTAATCCAACGCCGCGGCCCCGTCTGTCAACCCTCGTTCCCATGGCGATCAGTTTGAAAACCGCGGGCCAATTGAGCCGCCACTCCTCGAACACACGCCGAACAAACCGGGGGGGAAAAAAAAGGAATTGTGATTTGTGCGATGGGCCGACGGTCGGGTGGTTAAAGTGCCGTGGGGGCCACATTGTTGAGTTTGTGTTGGTTTATAGTGTGCTCTGACCCTATTGAGTGTTTTGTATTGATGTTTGTCTACATATCCTGCTAAATGGGACAAGGGGCTTCAAAAAAAACAAAAAAAAAGGAGGACTAGGCAACACGGAGCCATAAAATCCCAGTGCCGACTCGAGGCCTCTGAATAGGTGGACGAGGATAGAGGGAGAGGGGGTGGACAGTGGGTGGTGGTGGGTGGGGGGGGGGGTCACTTTGATTGGGATGCTGATTTGTGGCCAAAGACCAACAGAAAAAGAAAAAGAAAGAAAAAGACCAAAAGGCAGAAAGCCAGGCTGCTCGACCTGTTACACACTTTGCCGGGCGAAGTGACAGCGATCGAGAGACTTGTTTGTGTGTGTGTGTGTGTGTGTGTGTGTGTGTGTGCATGCACGCACACGTGCACGCATGTAGGTGACACGTCCCCTCAGGAATGCGGTTCTCTTCCTCTGGCCGTTACCTTCAATTTCCCCTCCGGTCGCTGACTTCACTCGCGCTGCCGAGAAAGCTGTCGCTTGAGGAATCTGCAAAACACCAGCGGGGAATGAGAGGAATTTCTGCTTTTCTTCTTTCTTTTTTTTGCCTTCCTTTACCCCCCCCCCCCCCTCCCCTCTCTCTCACCCCTTGCTCTCTTTGCTTTGGACGCCTCTGTACGGCCGGGGCTCTTGGAGTCTGCTCTTGTTTCTGAATGCCACCCAACAATAACAACCTCTCATAAACAATGGGGGCTCGTTGATTAATGGGGGGTTGAGAGAGAGAGGAGCCAGCGCTGGCCCCGCGCAGCCGGCCGTCGCTGGGAGCGGGCCTCACGGGCCGTCCTAGATGTCCCAAAAAGGGACACGGTGTACAGGCCGCATCGGGATGGCTGTGGAAGATTTAAGAGCAACTTTTTGTTGTTGTTTTTTTTTTAAACGCGCAAACACACGCTTACGCTCTTTCTTAATTTGTCGTTCCTCCGAGGGGACTTTGATGGCCAAATTCTGCGGGAAAAAATGGGACGCTGGCAAATGTCAGGAAACCACAAAAGTACAGGGAGAAGGAAAAAAAAAAAGGTCGTTTGGTATTCTGCGAGCTCGCAGCACCCGCGGACTCGTGAAGGGAGTCTGCATCGCATCGAGTTGGGTTTTTTGAAAACGGGACCACAAACACAGCTCGGGTCACGTGACGGTTTAAAGGAAGGCAACAGTCGGACCCGGTGTCTGTGACAGAGGAATGACGATACAGGATGATGTGTCCTCATAAACTTTGTCACTGCACATTGTCCCTCTTCTGCAGAACCGTTTTCATGAGTCTCGTGTGAACTAAACTAAATCTAAATCAAATGTCAAAAGACATTCTGGAGAAGGGGATTTGGTAAACAAACCATTTTATTTAATTATAATTTCCACAGGCTGCATACCAGTGAGGAGCTTTTAGAAATGGAAAGACAAAATATCTAAGACGCACAAAAACAAAACACTACACGGCTCGGTGCCTGTTGTGGTAACAGAAAGGAAAGGAGCTCCGCCTGGTGGACAAGAGAGAACCAGCAGCCAAGAGAAATGAGCTGTGGTGGAAAGTAAAACCGTCAGCCATCACAATAGAATTCCCATTAATACCATTAGTGTGCTCATTAGTTAGAAGAGCTTTGAACTTTATTCGTAGGATTTAGGGGAATCACATACAAGCCAAAGCTCATCCTGAGAAGCATTCACTCACGCGCACACCAAGCACTCATCAGTCACAGTCGCTCTCTGCTGGAAGTCTTCATCGGGAAGCATCAGGTCTCTGGAATTAGGGAACGGTCAGCTGTCGCTGGTTGTCATTTGTCTGAAGGCTTGAAGGGATCCGACCAGATCTTCACACCTTTAGATGAAAGAAGCAAATATAACAAAATTACCACCGTCAAATATTGAAAAGTCCTGCTTGTATTTGAATAATCTGATCGTCTTTCTACGACGTGCACCGTGGACATTTTTCACCATTCTCTGACATTTTACGATTCATCTGGAAGCGCTGTGGACCGATCATCAGACAGACGTGTGCATGAGGAGTGTTGCTACAACGTTGTGGGTCTATAGGACCTCCATGGGGTAAATGTTATACATGATACCCGATGAGTAGACTTATTGATCCACTGTGTGACCTTACCTACGGGTTGAACATCTGCCTGGTTCACAGCTGTCCGGTTTATCTTTTGGACATCTCCTGGCAAAGACAGAACAGCACATCACGTCATGAAGAAGCTTTTCCCGTCATTGGATCTTTATTTTTCTCTTTTGTCTGCATTGTGAGTGACACTGCAATACGTGTATCCATATTATTGACTGCTCAGACAATAAGATAATAAGCGATTGCAGTGACAGCACAACTATTCCGCAGGATAAAAGTGAAGAGGGAACAAAACAAAAACATGTTAGCTAACAAACCAGCTAACTTTACCACACAAAGCTACCAACGTTAGCTTAACTAGCTTATTTTCGTGCTGAATAAGGAATCGAATAGCTTAGTTGTCACGCCAGCCGTAAAGATTCAGCGGACTACTTTAAGTATTTGCATGACACAGCATGTGAACATGACATTAGTGAACTGCCTGGTTGTGTAACTGGAAGTTTTGCTTCAGCCACTTACTGTATTCTTTGTTGTGCGCGAGCGGGTAGAAGAATATCGGGTAAAACGCCGCGGCGACCGCCGTTATAAAGCCTCCGAATACCAACGCTATTCTCTGGTTCTTTGTCATGTTATTGTTATAATGGGTGAAACAGCTTCACCTCCAAGTGAACGCAGTGTTTATTAATATTACTTCCGGCGTAAAGGTCCCCGAAAACCAAGATGAAAAAGCGGCCTCGAGCTAGTTTGGTTCTTCTGGGCCGCCGTACCCGAGCGAGTCACGTGCTGCATCACGACAATAATACGGAAGTCTGGGTTAAACGATTTAAGGGACGAGCAGTGTTTTTTTTCTTTACGGGCTAAAAAGATGAGACATTTTGCCGTCGTTTTGTTGTTTCTTTGTCGCTGTTGCGCAGCAGGACAAAACGAGCCGATTCAGACATTTGTGATACCTCACAGTCACATGGATGTCGGCTGGGTGTACACTGTTCAGGTACGTTTCTGTCACTCAATTCTTACTTTCGACCTGCACATAGTGTGCAGCCTGCTGTTTAACAATTTCCATAAACCGAAACCCTCAATAATATATATGTTGCGCATGAATGCGTGTGTTTTTAATCTCACGTCATATGTGTGATTGTGTGTTCTTCACAGGAGAGCATGCACGCGTATGCAGCCAACGTGTACACCAGTGTGACCGAGGAGCTGTCAAAGGCCGCAGACCGCAGGTTCATCGCCGTGGAGCAGGAGTTCTTTCGACTGTGGTGGGATACTGTGGCCACGAGCTCCCATAAGAAACAAGTGGGGACAGAATAGTCGACGTGAAATAGTGCCAGATAGTCTTGATGAATGAAAATGTTTGGTTGAACCTTCCAGTACGCCGTACTTAACGCTTGTTGGCTTTGTAGGTACGCCAGCACGTGAAAGAGGGTCGGCTTGAGTTCATCATCGGGGGCCAAGTGATGCACGACGAGGCTGTGACCGATCTGGACGACGACATACTGCAAATGACAGGTGGGTGCGCTGCGTTTCCCGCGCCTGTAAACGTCAGCCCAGGAGAAGAAAGATTCACAGCAACCCCTTTGTCTCTCCCCGTGTCCTCAGAGGGACACGGTTTCCTCTACGAGACGTTCGGGGTGCGCCCTCAGTTCTCCTGGCACGTGGATCCATTCGGAGCCTCTGCGACCACGCCGGTCCTCTTCGCCCTGGCCGGGTTCAACGCCCACCTGGTCTCCCGCATCGACTACGACCGCAAAGACGCCATGCAGAGGAACAAGGTATGAGTACACAAGCGAATTGCCCGTTTGGGAAGCTGAGTCTATTGTGAGCCTAAATAGTCACAGCCTGATCTGTTGATCTGTCGTCCAGAAACTTCAGTTTGTATGGAGAGGTTCTCCCACTCTGAAAGAGAAGCAGCAGATCTTCACTCACACGTTGGACCAGTTCAGCTACTGCACCCCATCTCATCTGCCGTTCTCCAACAGGTAGTGCGTGATTCGTCTCTTCCTCGGGGACAGACAGAAGTGTCTTCCACTCTTCCACTTACTCTGTTTAATGCGGACCGTAATCCTATATTATCAAATGGATGAAGTAAAAAAAAAAAAAACTAAGAAATACATATTGCTTACGTCTTAGCTCCGGTTTCTACTGGAATGGAGTCGCCTTGTTCCCCGATCCCCCTAAAGACGGAGTTTACCCCAACATGAGCCTGCCCGTCACCGAGGAGACGGTGCAAGCGTACGCCAAGACGATGGTGGAGAACATCAAGCTGAGGGCGGCTTGGTTCAGGACGAACCATGTGCTTTGGCCATGGGTGACCTCCTTTTTTCTTTAAATATTGCAATTATTTTAGGTATCAGATGAGCATGTAATATCCTTAACTAATCCTTAACTACCCTTGTGTTTCAGGGCTGCGACAAACAGTTCTACAACTCATCCGTCCAGTTCAACAACATGGATCCTCTGATGAAGTACATCAACCAGAACAGCAAAGATTTGGGCGTGACGGTCCAGTACGCCACTCTCAGCGAATACTTCCAGGCCATCTACCAATCGGATGTAGTCTGGGAGCCTCGTGGGAGCGAAGATTTTTTACCATATTCCACTGGTGAGAATAAGAGGCCTAAAATACAATATGAAGCAACGCTTTTCTTTTACATCAAAAGGTCACAACGATTCTCCTGGACGTTTTCCCCCCGTGGCTCATTTATTTCCTAGAGCCGCACCAGGCGTGGACGGGGTTCTACGCCTCCAGAAATGTTCTGAAAGGAGTGGCCCGCCAGGCCAGCTCGCGGCTGCACGCAGCCGAGTCGCTCTTTGCCCGGTACCGAGTCGGCTTCCCCGACGGACCCGTCCCGAGAGACTGGGCGTTGGAGAGGCTGAGGGCGCTTCGCTGGGCCGTCTCAGAGGAAAGTATTGACCTCCCTTTGTCGGAAAATGACGCAAATACATGACAGCTGAGCAGATTTGGGATTCCTCATTTGAATTTGGTTTGCCCGTGTGTGTGTGTTTCAGGTCCAGCACCATGACGGCATCACCGGCACCGAGTCTCCCAAGGTGGCCGACATGTACCTGCAGCACCTCTCGCAGGCCGCGGCTGGAGTGGACGAGCTTCTGGCTGCGCTCGCGCTGCTGCCCCACAGCCCCGAAAAAACAGCCAGCGTTCCCGGCACCCGGCGCCGCGGAGAAGGTGTACACATTTTGCCGGAGGACTGCGGCATGCTCATGACAAGTATGTGACAGGTTTGCGCCACCGTTTGCATGAAATAAGTCCTTAAATCCTCTCACGCCAGGCGTTCGCCAGCCGCTGGAGCGGCACGTCGTCATTTACAACCCGTTAGCGTGGAACGCCACCGCCGTGGTCAACGTCACAGTATCCTTCCCCACCGCAGCCGTCTTCGATAATGAGGGGAAACCAGTGCGGGCGCAGGTTGTTTATTTCTTTTTCTTTTTTTCATTTTTTTAAACTGACCGTATGGGAACTATGATTGATTAATGCAGCAGCAGCATTAAATGGAGTAGAGAGGATGCGATGGGCGGGCTGCACACAGCGGTAACACCCAGCTCCGCCCGTTGCAGATCCAGAGGTCGGCACGGTCCAATGTGACCTACGACCTCTTCATCGTGGCGGAACTCGGAGGCCTTCAGCATAGGCGATACCTGATCAGGTTCTCCGAGGAGAAATGCTCCGGGGGGGAGTGTGACTGGACTTATGAGGCCGAAAGGGTTACGTTCGAGAGACGCAACATCCGGGACGGGAGGAAAACCGGGAGGAGGCTCCTGCCTGTGATGAACGGCTGCTACGAGCTGATGTTTGACCAGGACACAAACCTACTGCACAGCATCACTCATCTGTGAGGGTCTTCTCCTACAGATATGCTTCAGTAATCTCTCACTAGACATGTACAGATAAGGATTAGCAATTTGATATTACTTATTCAAGCAAAACCCTGTTAGACAGTAAGTAGAATGCAGATTATCAGCATCATGGATATTTGATAGTGAACATTCGGCTTAAAACTACTTTTCCTGAGTGCGGAAGTAATGCGCTTCTACCTCCTGTGTCAGTCAAGAAAAGCGGAGAGTGAGGATGACTCAGGATTTCTGGCAGTACGACGCAAATGGAGACATAAAATCGGGGCCCATCTCGGACAACTACATCTTCAGCGCCAACGGCTCAGCTGTGCGGGCGTACGAGGCCGTGGAGATGGAGATCGTCCCCGGGAGGATCGTGACCGAGATCAGGCAGCGCTTCTATCGGTGGGTACCGTGAGCCCCGCTGTAGGGCATTAACACGAATCCTAATTTGACCCCCCACCCCCCCTCGCTCTCTCCCTCTCCTAGAGAGGAAGGGGACAAGGACTACACCTACTCCATCACCACCCGGGTCCCAGAATGCTTCGGGAGGCGGCGGCCGTGTCACAGGCTGGAGCAGACCTGTTCGCTGGGGCCCCTCCATCTCAACACGGAGGTGGTGCTCAGGACCAGCTCCTGCCTGAGGACCAACCGGACCCTGTACACGGATGACAATGGCTATCAGATGATGAAGAGGACACACAGGAAGTTCACTAATAACACTTTGGCAAGGGTAAGTACCCCCAAAAATTAAATAAATGCCGGTGTTACCGTAGGATGACCTAATGTGCATGTTGTCAGAACTACTTCCCCATGGTGCGGGCCGCCTATATCCAGGACGACGTCAGCAGACTGGCGCTGGTCAGCGACAGAGCCCACGGCGTCTCCAGCCAAGCCGACGGACAACTCGAGGTAAACGAATGAATTTAAAAGCACACGTTTCTCAGTCGGGGGTCCACTCGGGTTAACGCGCGCCGCGCCAGGTCATGCTGCACCGCCGCCTTCGGAACAACCTGCCCTGGAACCTCGGCTACAACCTGACGCTCGACGACAGCTCGGTGGCGACGCCCACCCTGTGGATGACGCTGGGCTCCATCGGGGTCGCCTCCCAGCTCGGCCAGAGGGACGCCGTAGAGCTGCAGCACAGGCCCGTCGTCCTTCCCATTGACCCGCCCGGTAAGCGCATCGGGATATTTGATTTTGGGTTGTGCTTTTTCTTTTCTTTTTTCTTTCTTTAAGCAATTTTTCCTCATGCCCACTTTTAGAGCGCTCCTGGCAGGAGGAGGAAGCCAGAGGAGGGGCTCCTCCGGTGCGTTCGGTGGTCCTGCCGCCCAACCTCCACCTGCTCAGCCTCAGTATCCCCGGATGGAACTACAGCTCCGACCATGATGTTCACCTCAGACACGTAAACTCAGGCGAGTGCCTGAGGGGGGGATATTGTGGGGTTTCGAAGTCCTCTCTGATTTGTCTCAAAGATTTGTTTGACTTTCAATTCTGAAAAAGTGTATTTTTGTGTACATCTAGGTGAGGATTTGCACCCGGAGCCGGACTACGATCGGGTCCTGCTGAGGATCATGCACCTCTTTGAGGAGGGAGAAGACCCTGAGCTTTCCAAGCCAGTCGCCATAAACCTGAAGGTTATTAATTATTCATTTCCCTCATTAAAAGATTCCATTACAATCTTCGTCAAAGGTTTATTTTCTGTGTGGACAGCATGTTCTGCAGGGCATAGGGGAAGTCAAAAAGCTGGAGGAGCGTTCTCTTACAGGAACCTGGGACATCAGCCGTCTGCAGAGGTGGAAGTGGAAGACGGCGGATGACTTAAAAACAAGTGAGGACGACTTTCACGTGTTGATTTTATGAAAAACGTGTGTTTCCACTTCCTTCCCGTCACGTTGCTCGTTGTTTTGTGTGTTTTTTTTCTGCGTCTCAGACAACAACAGCTGTCGCAGTGGCGGAGAGGAGCCGTTCACTGTGACCATCTGCGCCAAAGAGATCAGGACTTTCTTCGTCCACTTTGCCTCCGGGAACTTTTAGGCGGAAACCGTCTTCTGTGAAGACGGTTAATCGTTAATTATTACATGTGTGATCTTTTGGCTACAATGTTAATTAATACTGATACTTTCTGCACGTTGTTGCAAGGCACTGATGCATAGATCAGGTGTGCACGTTGTCTGCTTTAGACTGAATGAAGTGATCCTTTTTTCATATTTGTTCACAAATGTATGACTTTACTGACCAACCAACAACGCGGGAAAGTCTGACATTGGAGATTTTCATTAAATTGTAGATGACAAATGTTATTCTTGGTCTGCAAAGGAATAAATACTACACAGAATCAACTGTCTATAATTTTCCAGGACATATTTTCAACCGAATAAATAATACAAAACACCTTCATGCGTTGCATTAATTTGCTTAGAATAAAGATAACCCTGATAAATTCACTTTTTTAAAATATAACTTGCAGTGCTGCGACACGGCCGCTAGAGGCCTCTCATCCTCACCGAGCCGAGCTGGAAGGCAACACCCGTCTGTGTGTCCGTGTCACACACACACGCACCGCAGATAACAAGGCATCCATTCCCCGAAGCAACTAACCTAACCGGGGAAAAGGCTCCTGCCAAACGATGCGTTAGGTGTTAGGACGCAAGGCGCCATGCTGAGGCCTGAGGAGGAGACGACATTTGGTACAAGATGAGCAGCGGCAGCGTGAGTGCGCTTTTTCATCAGCTGTGTTATGTGTTGGCGGGGTGCGGGGGGGTGGGGGGGGGTGTAGCTAGGACAACATTTTTAAAGGGAGTCTGCCACATCTAATTGATTGAATCATCAATTTTTTGTAATGAATCTCAATGTCGCCATTGTCGCTAATGTGCGTCGCTCGGGCGGACGCCGGATGCTGCGAGCAGGGCGCCGTTGCTAGGATACTAGACTAGAGTGCAAGGGGGAGGGGGGGAGGGTGGGAGGATGAAGCCCTCATCCTCTGTGGCTGGTGTTTGTGTGTGTGTCCGCAGAGACGAGAGAGGGAGCAGAGGAGGAAGCTGCAGCACTTCCTGGGCGACCTGGCTCTCCTCGGGTCGCTGCAGGTCAGTGGACTCTTCTGAATGCATATATAATATATATATATATATATATATAATTTATTTTATGTTTCCGTATGTGAACTTTTTTTGGCTCACAGGGCTTTAAATACTTCCAGCCTTGGCTGAGAGGGAAAGAGGAGCTGCTGCTGACAGTTGTTAACGAAGATCTGGTTAGTAAATGGGGACAATAGAAACATGTCATTTTGCATTTAGTATTCATCATCATCAGAGCCCCCCCCCCACCCCTCCCACCTCCACCTGTCCTGCAGGGTTGGCGCTCCCCAGGCTTTGTGGTCTCCAGAGCCTCCCCCTACTCCTCCACCAGCAGCAGCTGTAACAGCAGCGAAGTCTCCCCCAGCAGCAGCTCCCCCAGCCTGGGCAGCCGGAGCAGCTCTCCCCTGCCCGGGGAGCCTGCGGGCCCCCGAGAGCCTCCGGCCCCCCGGGGGACTCCGTCACAGTCACACACCAAGACGCAGCCACACACTGTCAGGTGACCTGGACAGAAGCCGCAATGACTTCTTGATGCAGTTAATATGTCCTTGGATTAGTCCAATCGAGCCGAATGGTTCTCGCGACAATTTCAATGCTCGAGTCGTTGAGCAGAAAGACTCTGCGATCACGTCCTGAACCAGGAGGTGGATTACGGCTTCATTCTCTCTGTGTTTTCAGGGAGCCCAGCAGCGAGGAGCATCTCCTCCCGGCCTCCCCCAGTGAAAGAGAGATAGCGGTGCCTGTGAGTGCTTCAGCCACCCCCCCCACTCCCTCCCATCCCATATCACATGCTGTGTAGGACATTACCTCAAGGCTTTATTGTTATATGGTTAAGTTCAAACTCTTTGTACAAAATACACAGAAAAATGTTTTGTTTGTAAACTGTTTTACATAGTGAAATAATCCAAATACAAACAGTTCATAGATTAATACAGAATATTGTATTAAAAAAACATTCCTTATCTTTTTCCATAACTTTTTCGAAAACTAACGAGGCCAAACAACATGGAGTTTCACAGTGAACCGTGTAAAGGGTACAATTCGGATCGAAATGTTTAGTGCAATGTTTTACTGGGTAAATCGACGTGTATAATTTGGGAATAAAATCTCTCCAATCCGAGTAGTGACGTAAGGCTTCGACCGCCCAGCAGGAGGTGAACTGCACCCTGTTCTTGCTGGCCGGGTACGTCAGGTACGGGCGCCCCTACGCCTGGATCCGCTCCAACCACGAGCGCCTGGTCAACATCGGAGGCACCGATTCGATGGTCAAGGACACGCCCATGAAGCTCAAGTCCATCGCTGATTGGCAGACGCGAGGTACGACAGCAGCGCGAGCCATCCAATTCACTTCATTTACGACGTTTTCCACCAGCTGAATCGGACCCAGATGTTCGACCTTTCCGGATACCGAGGGAAGAAAAAAAAAAAAGCAATTTTTTTTTTCCCCCCCAAATGCTTTTGTCTTTTTTTCTTCCTTCCAGGTATTCGCGCGTGGGACGTCATCAGCGAGCTGGTGTGTCTGTGCACCGTGCCCTCCCCCACCAACCCCTTCGCCCTGGACGCGCGCTACATCCAAGGCCTCCCCCTGCACGAGCGCTTCCTCGTCACCGGCGCCCTGCTGAGCTTCCTGGAGATGTACGTGGTCCACGGAGACCGGGACGAGTTGCACTACGACAAAGGTTATAATAAAAAGAAATATTAAAAACGCCAGCAGGTTGTGCTGCAAAATGTCTTTATATATATTTTTTTTTTATTTCTCCTTTCAGTGGTGGAGGAGGTGAAGCCTCTGAGGCGTCTCCACGTCCGGTCCCTGCTGGAGTTCCAGCGGCAGAGGGAGAGCTCCGGGCCCGCGGAGCAGGACTCCTCTGCAGAGGGGTCCTTTTAGAGGAGACATCTGCACTTTCAATGACTTAATATATAGGGAAAAAAAAGTTTAAATGTGTGAAATATTTTGGTGTGTTGTTGTGGTTTGCACACTTAACCAACCGGTTTCTTTCGAGGCCACGTGTGCTCGGGTTGGAAAGTAGTCACGTGAGTCTTTGCAACACAAAAACACAGGAGGGAGACATGAGCCTGGGAAAGGAGTCACATGACGCATATTAAAACATCCCAGGACCTCTGAATGTCTGACCTGACACCCCTAAAAAGGCACTTCAGGCCAAATATAACCATAAAAAGGTCGAGGGAAATGGAATCATTTGTCAGGGTCACGGCCTGGATAAGCTAAAGCTGGTTAAATATTTGTCTTCTTGAAAGTCACAGCAGCACAAAAACACAGACAAAAATGTTGTAAAAACATTTTTAATATTCCGTAAAATACATATTTTAAATATGTAATAGGATATAAAAACAGTACACTGATAAAATACGCCTTTAAAAGCAGGCGGTGTCATTTGTAACTGGAAATATACATCACAGAGTACAAAATGTTAAAATTAACAGATAAAAACCTCCTGGCACGTCAGTCAAAAAGGCCATTTCTGTTAAAATAAAAAATAAAAAACCCATCTATAGCTTAGTTTGGGCCAGAATACCAGTGAACGGTACCCGGGTCGGCTTTTAAAGTGCGCGAGGCCCGAGCCCCCGCGGAGCACATTGTAGCATCATCTGATGATGCAAAGTCATGTAAGGTCAACACCCCCCCTCCTCCCCTTCCAATCGGAATGCAGGTGCATTGCCTCACATTCCACACAGAGGCGCCGCGCGGGAACACAGCGTTCCCAGTGTGCGGAAACACAAACCCCGCAAGTCACGGCTGAGCGTGCTCCTCCCTGCAGAAATGCAATTACTTCATCGCGGTGGACAGTTAAGATCTGTGTTTTGGTTTTTTTGCAGGTCGCTACTGTGGTGTGTGAAATAAAACTAATTTCTGTCCAAACTGTCCAGATGTCAAAATATAAATCATATACAACCAGTTGAAAAAAATAATAATTAAAAGGAAATCATCGTGACCTGTCACAGATGTCAGTTAAATAAAACAATCAGCTCTAACAAGCGGTGTTTTTCCAGTTTTTTGTGGATCAGTTGGCCAACAGCTCGTCTAAATAGTCTTTTTCCAACTGAGAAGAAACCCCTCTCCTGTGGCAAGTCTCAAGAGGACCGAAAAATGGACCAGCCGTCCAAGTCCTCACGTGGCGGGTAACGTGTAACAAAAGGCAGCAGGCAACAGCGTTGTCTTCTTCATCCGACGCCACTTGTGCGAAAATAAAAATAAATAATAATAAACCAACGGCTTTGGGTCCACGTCCACTCCTGTCCCCACGTCCCCCACGGTTTCATCCCATTGGTCCTTTCTTCAGCTGCAGCTGTCGGAGGCGGACCCTCTTCTCGTGATGGCTCTGAGGGGGCTGCGAGACTTCCTCCAGCGCACTGTAGACAAGAGAAAGAGACACATTAGGCGATGATTCAGTGGTGAAATCCGGCGTTTAAATGTTAGTTCTGAACAGCAGATCAGCCGCACTAGTTCTGACTTGGACTAGGGTCCAAGTCAGGCCGCTGATTCACTTTCAAATGTGTTTAAGGAAATGTAATCATGCTGAACGACAAAGACAACCAACTTTATTTAAACTGTTCATCTAAAAAGGGTAGCTGGCTTAACAAATTATATATATATATATATAAAAAACAGTAAGAAAAGTATTTCCGTAAAGTGAATTTATTGAATTATTATAAATTGAGGAATAAAGAGGTTATTTTGATTCAGCCTCACCTTTTCCCAGACTGCCGGGCAGCGTGGAGCTCTTGGCGAGGGCTGGAGAGTTTGTCGCCGTCTTCTCCTCCGCCCGTTTCCCCTTCCCCTTGGCCTTCCCCTTGGCCTCCCCGGGCTGCAGCGCTGCCGGGCCGTCCGTCTGCAGGTCGCTCAGCGCCCGCTGGAAGGAGAGCGCCAGGCACGCCGTCATGTCTCGCGCCCGCTCCGCCCGGCTGCACCAGAACACCCGGCACTGCAGCTGCTGGCTCTGGTGCTTGCAGATGTACAGGAAGACGTTGGGCCGGGTGGAGTCGGCGGCGCAGTACGCGATGTCCTGCAGGTACGTCTTGGTGAGCTGCCGGCCCGTGCTCAGCTCCTTGACCTCGACGTAGCGCGGCCGCACCACCAGGGCGTGGTCTTTGCTCAGGTTCTTCCCGCCGCCGCCGCCGATGCCGTCCAGCAGGCGGCTGATGGCGTCCTGGGCCTGCTCCCGGTCCAGGGAGAAGATCTTCTCCGTGCCCAGGTAGTGGACCTTGAAGAGGGGGTCGCCGTGGGACAGCGACTCGGTGCGGTCGCGGCGAAAGCGGCGCCGCAGCGCGGCGGGGGAGTTCTTCAGCGTCTGCATGAGGTGGAACGTGCCGAGCGACATGGCGCGCTTCGGGCTCGGCTTGGGGGGGATGTTGGCTGAAGGGCCGGAGGTCAGCTGGTCCTCACTCTTCCAGCTTCTTTCTGCCGAGGTGCATCCGCTGGTTTTATCTGAAGGCGGGGAGAATAAAGACGGTGACGTTAGCGGGTGAATGTTTCGTGTGCTTTGTTCAGGCTTTACAACCAAGTGAAGGTGCATCCTTGAGATGGAACGTTCTGTGGAACTCTTTGACTCCACGAGGTTTGTTCAAACTCACGCTTACGGTTATTTGACGTGGGGGGAGAAAAAAAAAGAAAAAAAACACAACCTAAACACGTGCAGTCAGCACAACTCGTGCTGCAGGACGGAAAAAAAGGCCACCAAACAGGATCGGTTACCTCAGTGACACACGAGTGAGAAACATTCATTCACCTCAGACTGCAGCCATTAAATATTTACCACTGGGTTTGTCTTCAAGGACAACCTGTCGAACCGCAAAGACGCCGCTATTAAAAAAAAAATCAGGGGCGCCTCACCCGGATAATCACAGGTACACGCTGGCACTCATTAAGCTCGACCCAATTGCATCGCGAAGGCCCGCGCGACCTTGCAAACGCAAGTGTTATGCAACGTCCACATCTGGCCTCCCATTGTCTCCCATCCTACGAACCCGCGGCGCTGCCCGGTTCTCCATTGTGTCCAACTTTATTTTTTACCGCCCCCCCCTTTCTCCATTCTTTCAAAGCATCTCAGCTCTTCAGAAGTGAGTTGCGGAGAGAAACCACCAACTGTTCTGAGGTGGCGGCCATTGTTAGTCAAACCCCCCGGGGAAGGAAACAGCTTTGCCCCCCCCCCCCAACCAAACCCCAGAAAATATTTCCCCTGCAAACAATGGCATGTTTCTGTGAGTGTGTCACACCACAAAAAAAGAGATACAAGTTGACCGAGGCCCGGGGCATGTACATGTGCGGTTACAAACATGTACACAACTGTCAAACACACACACAAAAATAGCAACACATTCACATCAAACCAAGGCTACTGTACATTACTGATGTTCTCCACTCACTGGACACATGACAGAGCTCATTAACTAGAATGATCAAACCCTACATCCAGGTACGGGGTCATGACTTTATGTGAATAAATGACTCAGTCTCTCGTGTGCAAAGACCCGTTGAGTCCATTAAGTAGCCAGACGGAGCCTCTGGGAGCGGATGGAATATTTCTGATTATTTTAACTTTAAGCAAAGTAACTTCAAGCCAAACATTATGTAGACGGACGTTCCTGAACCCGGCATTATTTTAAAAGAGTTTCACAAATGCACACAAAGCCTTCGTGGAGATCTCACGTGAAAATACGATTTTAAACTTCATGTTCAACGTACTTGTGTGCCGAATTAACCAGCGAAGCCCAGAGATTACTTAAGCAGCTAAAAAGAGTCCACGAAAAAAATAAGCGAGATCCTTTAAAATGATCAGTGCAACTTTCAAAAAAAGCACTTAATTATTTCCGCCTATTTCAAACAATGATTAAAAGTGCCACAAAGCGTCGCCGTAGTTTAAACACGCCACTCAAATCATACGCTGTGCTTTAAAAAAAAAAAAGGCGTCTTACCCGGCGACGGTGTCATGCGAACGATGTCCTCGTGCGTCCCAGGTGAACGGCGGCGTTTCGGAGCGTCTTTGAACGCACCGGACAGGTGGAGGTCCGCGGGGAGAAATGATCGAAGATCAGCCGGTCGGCGCGAGCTGTAAGTGTCCGGGAGAATGAAACAGGCAGGAGACGGTGAGCCGTGTGGAGACGGAGGCGGTTTATGTGCGGACTGAACCATGCGGCCCCTTCCCTCTGCCTTCTCTCACTCCCTCCCCCTTTCACTCCCTCCCCCTTTCTCTCTTTCTCTCCCCGAGAGGTTTATGCATAGCTCTATTATTTACATAATCACACGTCCTCCTATCACGCCTTTTCCACTGAATGTGACATGAAGTCGGAGGTTACAGTCAACACTTCACTGAGTGACATTATTATAAACTACACTATAAAGTTTTAGTTTCGGGGGGTCAATCAATCTGTCGTGTCATTATTCAAAAACTGAGAGCAGCCTATTTGTTGTCATTTATAACTCAGCAATCAATCAATCAAGGATTCATCAATAATAATAATTTCATCATATATTGAAAAGCTTTGTCAGAGTGAATTTGAATAACACGTTCCTGTCTTATGTGGACTGTATGTGGTCTGCGCTACCGACTGACAGGGGGAAAAAAAACCATAAACGGTTCCATGTGTGCATGCGTGTGTGATTCTGCATGTGTGTGAGTGACGCAGGGAAACAGTAGGGCCCCTGTTCCTTCTGGGTTTTGGCCCGACAACAGTGAAAGTTGTGAACGTCACACGGGCCTCGGTGCCGGCGAGGACACACTGGAGCTATTCTCGGGGCGCTGGTGACATAATGGACCGCCTCAGACGGGCAACACCCGCCCTTGCCCCGGACGCGCCTCGCGGCGTCGGCGCGTGAAGCCGTGGCACGAGGCGGCGGGGGGAGTGCAGCTGTGGCTCCTGGCAGCGGGGACGCCGCTGGTTCGATCCCCCTTTCGCCAAGTTCGCCAATGTGTCTTGTGTTTTCTGCTCGGGCAAGCGACGTATTCTAAAGTATTTGGGCGGCCCCCATAAGACACTCGACAGCTATGAGGACAAATGTTCCCGCCTAAATTTAACACAACCACTCTGGTGAACTTTTTAAAAATGTACACCAATGTTCATCATGTGATACCTGCAGCCGCCCCGGTGTGTTAATTTTCCCCTGTGTTGTTGGCTTTGTTACTTTTCCTGAAGCAGAAGAATTTGCATGTAAACAGGCATCAATCCCCAAATGAGCCAATTCAACTGGCCCCATTTCTCTCGGTGCGTTCAGTAGGTCGGTGCTCAGACACACCCAACTGCTCAGAAACTAATTGGCGGCCTCAAAAGGTCTCGACCGGCTACTGAAACCGGGCAAGTTTCTAATCCTCTCGGGAGGTGTTCAGGGAGACAAAGACCATCTATGAGGACAGAAAGAGGCCGTCAAGAGAGGACAACGAGCCGTCAAGAGAGCAACACCTCACGATCAAAGCCAACGCAGCTGAGCTGCGAGGAAATTAGGGGATTTAGAGGAACTTTTAGGAGATAGGAGATGGCGTGAGAGATACGCCTGGTGATGAGATTAGCTCCGGATTCACAGTAAAGTTATCACAGTCACCACCATGCCCACAGGTCCGTGACCTCTGCCCCTGGCTGTCACACAGTATCTTGCTGAGTCGAGCTGGGATGTAAGAGGGCCACTGCTGGAAGCGGGGCAAAGAAATGTTTTATGACCAGTTCCCTTTTTCCAAACGGCCGTAAATCAAGTGTAAACGTGTGGGTCAATGGTGGCGCCCAGTGTTCCAGTTTACTATCACAGGGTCCTGTTTAACCCAAAATACACTCACAAAACAATCTGTCCCCGGCACCATTACAACCAGTGCTTTAAATCCCGTGAACCGTGTAAATAACATGACTACTGCCGGAGCTGACAATCACGTTTTAGCCACGCTGCTAAGGTCAAAACAAAACAAAAACGTTAGCATGCTAACACAGCTCAGATATTGTTACTCAGATGTTAGCGTGTTGACGTTAGCATTTCTTATATTCACACTGTGTATCTGCACAAATTCATATAAAACCCAGGTTATATTTCTCCATTGAAAAGAATATAAATAATAGAACAATCTGGCCAACGTGTACGTCACTTATTTTTGGCTCTCGTTTGAAAGTTGAAAATTTCAATCATTGCATTTCCGTTCAGTTGCTGTGGCACGTGTTGTGTTACCTGTCTCATGCCTTCTGCCTGTAACTAGTAGTTATTGCTGCATATCTGTTGAGGACGCTAACCATCGTCACGCTAATCATCCTCATTATCATCAATTAAATTGTTTCTGAACATTCCTGTTACACAATGTTCTTGACATCTTCCTTTTTAGTCGGACCAGCTCTTGTGGTTATTAAAGTGGCTGGCAGACACACACCTGGACACTTTGTCCCCGCGGAGCGTCGGGGTGTGTGAGGAAGTCGGATGAGAAGTGGAGGTATGAAAACGCAGGCAGCTTATGGCGACTGCAAATGATGTAAAATTACAGACTGTAATTTTACAGACTACAGACTGTAAGAAGAGTTTCTGGGGGGGTCTTTTTAACGCTGGATGAGATGTCCGTCGTCCAAAGCAAGAAAAGGAGAAGTAACCCCACCGCGATGGCGTCAGCGGTGGGATCACAGGTTTTGTGTCATCGGTGTCCACGTGAATAATGAATCCCACGTAGCTCGTGTTTTTACCGCTCAATGGCGACCACTTCCGGTACAAAGACCATATCAAGTCAAATCCAAGACGGGTACAACGGGCCATGTGGTTTCACCAAAGGACACGGCTCGGTTACTCAGATGACACGGTTTGGCAGGGGGACGGGGGGGACGGGGGGGCGGCGGCCTGAGTAGTCAGGTTTTCCTGTAATTTGTTGATATTCAAAGAAATCAAATCTGAAGAAATGAGCAAAGGGGAAGAAGTAGGGTGGGGGGGCTGCTACATTTGATAAGAATTTAAGCGTCGATTCTCAGTTGTAGTGTGCGAGGGTCCAGCGTCCTTCTGGAAGCTTGATTGCCCGCGGCATTAGTGCTAATCGGCTAGTTAGCATGCTAAATTAAGAAGTTGAAGTGGACAACTTTTCCTTTCGATGTGGAATGCATCAAATGCACAGACCTGGGATCAGAAAGGGAAGCCGGAGGCGTTATCGGTGGTGTAGAAATATGATGACTTGTTTATTTGAGTTGTGCGAGTAAATGACCCCGCACTGAAAACACGCACGTGATCTTTACTACCAATTTACAGAAAGTGAAGTGTGCCTCTCTTTCCGGGAACATTTAACTGGACACTGCCTTTGGAGCAGCGCCAGACTTTAAAAAAACCAAAACCCTTCTCTCTTTTCCTTACAGGAAAGCTGGCGGGCTGTTTGTCTTCACTCGAAAAACGCACCTGAAGGGTTATTGTTCAATGATAAATTACCGCCGTTTCCCACTTGGTCCCACGACAAGCGACCAAGTGAGCGGCCTTTGCGGAGATCGCATGACTCAGGCGGTCTGCATGTTACACCAAATAAAATAAAAACAGAAGGCGAGCGGCCTCAGAAGTCCTTATAAGGCACCTTAACGGACCCGCGAGGGGGGAATGACAACGCGTCTGCTTTTCTCTCCTCTAGATATCTTCACAGGACGGATTGCGTCAGTCAACTGATGAGCTAATTTCCTTGCCTTTTCTATTTTCCCCCCGTCAGCAGGCTGAGCTAACCGGTCAGGCTTCAAGTGTAATAACACGAGTCGGGCCAGACAAGAGGAAGTGTTTCGTCTGGGGGAAAAGGGGGGGGGGTTCCTTAAATCACGAGGCTTACTTTCGACTTCTACTGTAATTCACCTAAAACTCTGTGATATGTGATTCATTAACTGCGTCCTGCATGCTAAAACAATGAGTCCCGCGACCCGGTGCAGTGATGACTACACGCAAAGGGCCGACGTCTCATTGTAACCGAGAGGATAACTGAGGTAGCCAGTTTTTTTTACAATGCAGCGGTTTGTTTTTAATTGATTTTGTAAGTGTCATTGTTAATTAACAGGGAACACCTTCAGTACTTGTACTTCTTAACGAAAGGGGACATTTCAGAGTACAGTTGTTTTTCTGGTCCAGCTAGTATAATTAAGCTGTACGCGAGAGGACTAAAAATAGTTTGACACCACTAACCTACAATAAATCAAACGCATGTGATTGCAATGTTTTGAGGCCACTATGTTCCCAGGGTGAGCTATTTATGATAAGTGCAACAGAAGGCCTTGTGCTGCGCTTTGTATTCATGTCCACTAATTTAGTGCGGTAGATAACTTTGGAGGGCCCTTATTTTGTCCAAAAATGGAATTTATGGAAGCCGAGGGTGGGAGATGTTGCCCGAAATTCCTTTATTGTTTTGACTGTATTTCAGTCCATTCCACCGGCTCTTCCTTTGTCCGCCACTTTCTCGCTCTTTTTTTCAGAAATTGATCAATGCGGCGTTGACGGCTTTGTTGTGGAAATGCGGCGGAGCCCAGGGACCAATCAGAAACTAGACTAAACAGGAAGAGGAGGTGGCTTCCTGTCCAAACCCTGAAGGAGACACAATCATGGCTGAATCTGTCGCCCAGTGTGCTGGAACAACTTTCTCAACGGAGAAAACAATAGCTCGACGAAAATCAAAAGCAGCCAGCTGGAAGTATTTGGATGAAATACTAATAGTTGCGGCACGAAACGCCTTCATCAGTCAGCAGCCTTTTTCTGCCCACCAGGCCCACGGGCGCGTTTTAGATTCCCTCAGCACGTCGGTTGTTCCATTGACGCTATCAGAACTTGGCTGTGAAGTTTGCTTCCAAAATGCACCCTCATACAGTTACACACGGAAGGCCGTCTTTAGAAAAAAACACAGATCTATTCAGAGGCGTGAATAATCTCAGCGTCGTGTAATGAGGGGGCCGCTGACGGGGGCTGAATGGACGCGGCGCGATTGTGATGCATTTAAATCTGTTGTTGAAAATGTCGTCAATGGCCTCGTTGATGCTAAAAGGCGCCGGTTCCTTTGAGCAGCTGGTACACAAAAAAAAATTGTAAAAGCCCCCAGACTTTCATTGCATGACGTAACCCGTGTGGGGGCGGCGGGGGGGGGGGTCTTCGCTGGCGCCTATTGCGGCCGCCGTACGTGGGCCTTCACTCTTGACACCGACCGCCGGGCCCCTGCGGCTTCTCCCGTAGCATTCATCAGACGCGAACCACCCTCCCCCACTCCTCCCACTCGCAGTCCACTGACTAATACGGCCCACGGTGTTTTTACTGCTTCCAGCCACCTGTGAGGCCTGCAGTGCGTCTGTGAAAACGGGCTCTCGCACGTCATCGGCCGGCTGATGCAAACGGCGGCAAAGCTCTGGTTGTTCGCGCTTGCGTCGTATGAAAGGGGCCGTTTAGTCAGTCTTAAAGAGCCACGCCGTGGCTATTAATAGCCCCGCACACAGGCGGATTTTGCAGGAGAAAGCTGGCTACGGGGCATCTGAAGAAACGCCCCCCCCCCCTCCCGCCCAGTTCATTTCCTCCCCACCCTCCACTCTGCAGAATGCCGTGTTCTGTTTGAAATGCTCATGAATGTATATTTTTAGCCCCGGGGCTCACCACATTATTCTATTTATACAGTGATTATCCCCATAAACGTCCCTATATATCCAGGATAAAAGCAAGATCTAAGCGCTTTTTAATTAGGATTTTCGTTAAACATCAACCCGGAGATATCTGAAGGGTGAATCCTTCATCAATTATTAATGCTCGAGTCAGACATTGCTGAACCGCTGAGAAATTCTTAAGAGTTAATTTTCCGGCATTAGGCAAAAGTGCAGAGTTGAAATCACACCGCAAAAAGTCGATTCAACTCTTACAGAGTCAATTGTACGAAGGAGCTGGAGTCATTATCCAGATCAGATTCATTTGCGACACTTAGTAGAGTTAAATGAACTCTTTGATAGGTTTGAAATGTACCTGTCTAGTGTCACACTTGTTGGTGTTCGGTTTAACTCAACGTTCTGTGGCGCGCGGACTACAGAGAGTGAGCCAGGAACCACAAGGTTGGCGGTTCAAACCCCCGGCAGCTACATGTCCCATGTTAGAGTGTCCCTGAGCAAGACACCTATCCCATAATTGCTCCCTGGGCTAAAATGTGAAAACCATGTGTTAAAAATGCAATTTCAGCTAAATGACCTGTAATGTATTAAACACTGGGCAGATTTACTTTTGACATTTATTCCGAGTTAAATTGTTAACACTTGTTGTTGGTGTTGGTGTAATTGTTGGTTGAGTGTTGATTTAACACTGACAGGATTGGGACAATATAAACACCAGCTTAGAGTTAAAATTGAATCTCACAAAGTCAATTTAACTCTGAAATGTTCTGTGTGGACTCTTGGGCCGGAGGGTCGACCTCTGACTACCTAAGTTGTATCCTGAGACGTGAATGAAAATGCGAATCCTGGAGGTTTTTGTTTTTTGTGTAAACACAGTTTTGGCTTGACCTCAGCTTCGCCACGGAGATGGAAAGTTTTCTTTTTCTGGGCGCCTCAAGGGTAAAAGAAGCTCTCCGCGTAATCACAACATCAACACGAACCAGCACCAGCATGCAACCCCGTGTCTCCTGCTGTCAATAGACAAGTAGAAAAAGACTTCAGACTCAAAAAGACTTTAAACCAAATCATGAATGACTTCCTGGGAATGACTCTATTAATGTCATATGGTGGCAAAGACACTAATAATGAGATGAGTGTATTCTACCACTTCTCTTTTTTTATGAGAAAATGTCATTTTTCTGACTTAAAAACTGAATGCTTTGAGTCAGAGAAACTAATTTCACGTCATCCTGGCAGTCATAAAACCTGTGATTCCGTAAACAATTAGGAAATATTGGGGACTTTTATCCTATTTCAACAATATTCATATATTTGTATAGTTCATTGTGAGTGATTCATTAAATCATGCGGTTACTATTCGCCCTTCCTCCCTCAGTTCCCCAACCTCTGTGCTCCGGTCGGCGGGGACTCGCCTTTATGTCCGCGACAAACAGAAATCCATGAGATCGCTGAAGTTCACAGTCTGGTGACATATCCACAGTGTGCGTCATCACGAGCAGCACTAAATATAACCTCTGCAGTATGGAACACCCTTTGTGAAATCAAGCTCGGTTATAATGTTTTCTGGAATGAATAAATAACAATAAAATGTATGTATATGTGTAAAGTTAATCTACAGCTATTTTTTTAAATAGTCACTGGGCCTCTGCTGATTTAATTATGCTCAAGAGGTAGGGTTTTTTCCAGATATATCATATACAATAGTTGTATTTTGTATGCACTTGCATAAATAAATTAATACGATTAATTTTGGCGACTGAACACAACACTTTTGTACATTGAAGAGTTGAACTACACTGATCCCACAAACATGCAAAGGTCTAAAAGTCTAAAACCTTACTAGGGCCCCCTAGAGGCCGCCGCGTGTATTACGCCTCATACAATCACAGAGTTGGAGGGAAAAATATGAAGAAAACTGAATTCATAACGGTTTTGTCAAATGTAAAGATTGTCAAGATAAGATTAAAGCGTATTATTCACTTTGGTGTGAATATTCTGAGCCAATTTTTAAGGAACAGTGGCGAAAAAGCTGATGACGCAACCAGAAACCCTCCCTAGTGCAGAGCATCCGGCCGTTGCAGGAACCGGCCCACGTAGACCGCCGAGGCTGGGCCCTCCCGAGGCTGCGGACCGCGAAACGAGCCACAGCTAAGGAGGAGTCTGACGAATAGCCAGTGCCCTCGTTTCGGTGGGAGGGCGCTCTGAGCCGCGTCGAGGAGCGTCGCGTGTGACCTCCAACGTCCTTTTCTGCCCACGTTACACGCACGTCCGGATCCCAGAGGAACCCAACCGGAGAACCCAACATCTAAAAAAAACACCACCACCACCACCATCACCACGCAACATGGACTTCTCAATCCGTCCAGCCAACGTGGAGGACTGCAAGGACGTCGCGCGGATGATCGTGGTGAGCCGGACGCGACCTGATGTGTCTTTTTGTTTTATACTCTTATCGTCCGCAGCGCGCATGCGCAGTACGCGCTCATTTTGCACACTTGACATGTTTTTAAGGAAACTTTGTTGATATTTCGGACGCAGAATGGCCGGTGCGTGACGTTGTGTCCCCGTGTTCTTCGCAGGAGTTGTCCGAGTATGAGAAAGTGGCGGACCAGGTGAAAGTCACGCAGAGAGGTAACGGGGGAAAAGCAACGTGAATGTTTGAGTTGTGCTGCACAAAATAAACACAATCTAGGTCAGACATACAGCAGCAAGACAGTGACACTACGTGACCTTCCTCGCAGGCAATTCAACGTGCTTTAAAGCAGAAACATGTGTATTTATTTTAATATCTGTAGAAATGATGTGAAGGATTAAAGAGGTGCAGAATAGTGATGTAACGGCAGTATATTATAACGCTAAATATCAGTTTCGATCTATGTGACGTGGAATGTGTGATGTTGATTTCATACGCAGACTTGGAGCAGGACGGCTTCTCCAAGAACCCGTTCTTCCACGGGATCGTCGCCGAGGTGCCGGAACAGCACAAAACCAAAGAAGGTGAGGAGGAGCGTGACGCGTTCATCAGTTTAAAAAAGAAGAGAAAACCACACAAAATAGATCTGATCTGGGATCAGCGACAGCAGGCGTTTAATTTGGGTTAGAGCCTTTGGCCCGCGCGTAAAGTGGCTCGATCGGATGGTCTAAATCCAGTCTGACTCAAATCGCTCTTCTACGTGTAAATACTATAATCATGCCATGTCCCCCGTGAGACAATCAGAGGCCCATAAGACGCAGAAGTGTGGACTGGACAAAAGTCCATTTACGTCCATTTACCAGCGTCAAATCTCTGGTACATCCACTGAATTATTTCATCAAATATTCTTTTTTCAAATTGCCAAAGTTTATAAATGGAGGGTTGTGCTTTAGAGCAGCAACATGTGACGCGTCTCTATTTCGAGCACATTGGATTTCTTTCTGAAACTACACTAATAGCAATAAGAATAATTGTAATAAGTTGTATGAATTAGTGCTATAAAAGAAAAAAATAAGTCTAAAAAAATGTTTAGCAGAATAAATGAACGTTACGTTTTCTGCTGCCTTGAATACGTGTAATTACAAAGAATACAGGTTCCTTCACATGTTTTTTTTTTTTTGTTCTTTTTATTTTCAGGCCACACAAAGATTGGATATGCACTTTACTTTTACTCCTACAGCTCGTGGTCAGGCAGAGCCGTGTACATGGAGGACTTGTACGTCATGCCCGAGTTCAGAGGTACAAAGCACTTGTGGCCAGGAGAAAAAAAAGCTTTTTGTGTGTGCAGGAGATTCTAAAGTAATTGATCTCTTTCAGGGAAGGGCATCGGTAAAGCGCTTATGAGCAAGGTAGCTCAGGTGAGTAATACATCTGGCCCTGATTTGACCTTTGTCCTCGAGCCGCGGCCCTCTTTTCTCCTTTTAATAAACGGCGCGTAACCAAGGGGGGGCGCCGTGTCTTTCCTTCCACCCCGCAGCTGGGCCTCGCCGCCGGCTGCAACCAGCTCAACTTCACCGTCCTGGACTGGAACAAACCGTCCCTGGACTTCTACCTCAGCCAGGGCAGCGTCGATGTCACCGCCAGCATGGGCTACCACTGCATGCGCTGCCAGGGCGAGGCGCTGGAGCGCCTGGCGCAGCCATAGGCCGGCGCCCGGACGGCGGAAGGGGCCTTTCGCCCGGGGCCGATCAGGTCACTCAGTGCAGGGATAGAGCGCCACCCGGTGGCCCCGCTCCAAACACGGTGACAATCGTTAGGCCGACCTCTCGGAGCGTTGAAGTAATTGGCTGTTTGTTGGTGCTCCGCCCCCCTTTAGTAACTTTTTTTTTTTAATAGGCTTCCTAAGCTCTCACGCTAGCGCAAAACAAATATGCAGCTCACTGCGGTGGAGACGGCGGACTCACCGTTGAAATTTTTAAAAGAACGTGTCGTCTATTCCACACAAAACCGGGCCTGAAGCTGAAATGGAACAGTTCAACAACTGTCGGATTTTATTAGCTGTCAAATAGCATTAGCAAACTGTTTTATTATATTGGATATTATAATATATTCATGCGCAAAATCGAAACAATTCCATTTCATGTGGCGCTATTGCGTAGTGCATATATATATATGTATATATATGTATTTAAAAATACATCCACAGTATCGGTCTTCCGCAGCTTGATGCACACAGCCATGTACCTGCTGTGCCTTTTCCACGGTTCGAAGACGGGGTTCAACAAACAGTCAATCGGCTCGTAACTTAGGGAGTCAAGGCGGCAGTTTTTAAGTATCGGAATGGGGCCACACGCAAAACGTTTTAATAGTCCATCCGAGGCACTGAGGTCTGTGTTTTGTGTTTACGCGTCTCGTGACATCTTTTGTCCCAGTGCACCGTTTGATTTTGGGTGTTAAATGGATTAGTTAGCTGAACCTCTTGTGACGTAATGATCGAACATGTGGGCAGGAGGAAGGTCTGACAGGAGTGTGTATGTGGTCGGGGTGTGTGAGTTTTGGAGGAAGTCTTAACAAAAAAAAATTATACTTTTTCTTCTTTTTTTTGCACAAAATTCCACAAAAACCTTATGCATCACAAAGCCGAGATGAACTTAAGATTTAAGAGTGAAAGAGTGATTTTTTCTTTTGGTATGTTATCCCTTTAGATGTACTATAACCTTTGGCAACAGCACCAAAGAGTCAGTCACCTCCTCCCCTCGTCTCCCTGCTAAGCCGCGCTGTGAAGCTGTTGTGATGCACAATGTACAACTATTTGCACTGTTTTCTTCCCCTTTTCCGCTTCGGAGGCCATCTCGTGTTCTAAGGAGGAGGATTGCAGAAAAAATAGTGGAAATGCAACAAGCTCTCTGGAGCGGTTTCAAAGAAGGAAGCCTAAAATCCGAGATAAATGATGCATCTGGTGGAATTTAGGAAAATCAAAGTCTTGGACCGGGCTCAGTCTGTGTCTTTGAACCTGGCCTGCTGAAATGAAAAGGGGGGCATAATTCAGGCTGCATTTCTGTTTCATATCCAGTCCAATTTAAAATAAATAAATAGAGGCCTTTCTGTATCATTTCCAGCAATTTAATGAAAAACAGACGTGAGTTTTGGGGTTATATTTAGTTGTTGCTTTTCCATCACTCTAAACAAGTAATAACCACAGACTCCTCTTTGTAACTTGTGTATTTTGCATTTCATTCGATACTTTGTTTACAACATTTGAATCCTCAGGATGCACTTTTGTTTCATTGTGCAAAATCGAGCTCACCGGGAATATTGAGGCTTGAATAGAGCAATATTTTATCTTTATCAAGAGAAACTTAACGAGTTCAGCTCCGGCCTAAAGGTTCTCCTGTTACATTTGCAGTCATGCTATTAAGAGAGTGCGTGCTCAAATAATAATAATAACAAAGAGTCCAAGGAAAATAGAGAGATATTTATATCCTTTCGTGTCTGCAACTTCCCCTCTGTTAAACAGCACAAACCTTGTTCCCGGCATTGGATTCCTAACACGGTGTCAGTGCCTGATTCCTGTCAAGTATTTGCAATGAACGAAGACTCACTGAAGAGCAACAAGAAAGACGATTCAGGTTTCATCTGCAGGGTGCGCACGCGAGTGCTGCAGTCGGCGTAAGGGAGCCGAGCTGGGCTGAAGTTGTCAAGAGAAGCCTCGGGTGTGTAATCCAGTCTTCATAACTGGAATAGTTTCTTCGTGATGTGTCTTCAAACGCTATGTGCTGTCACTGATGTTTTCACAGCGTCTCGCTGTTTCAGAAATACTGGTACAGAAAAAAATCTGAAAGCCGTGTTACAATTAGCGTAGAACGTGCATGAAAAAAATAAGTGTTTCAGCCGTCCTGTTGTCACCTGTTGTTGTTCTTGTGTACTTGTTTGAGTGCTCTGTCCATTTAACACTAAAGAATAAAACCCCAGACTGCAGTTAACAAACAGTGGCTTCCAGATGTTTTTTTTTAAACTATTCCAAGTGTCAAGCGTCAACTATTCACATTTGTAGAAATTCGACTTAAATTAGAATATAAAAAATGTACAATATGAGCTGGAAACGGGTCAAATTAGGCAGTTACACTGCACTTGACCTGTAGGGGGCGCACTAACACCTCCCGTTCTTCAATCCCCATGAAATGTTCAAATAACGATGTAGTATGGAGCTCAACTCAGAGATGCTCAGCGTACATGGATGTATCATACATGCACACAACGTCTTAAATACAGTCACACACAAACCCAGGCGCAGTATTTAACAAACTACGGTGAGGAATGAGGAAATGCTTATTGCGCGATGGAACAGATGGAAGGAAATGTGCACATTCATGCTGTCTGAAAAGATCATATTCCAGAATGTAAGCAGCATCCCCAGAGCCCACCGAGCCTCCGACGCCCCCCGCGCGGCCACAAACGGGACTGTTACACGCGTGACTGGCACACATTGTCAAAGGCGTGCAAGTTGATGAGAGCGACTCGAGCTGCGGAGGAAGCCCCGCTGCGCTGCGCCCGTTCCTCTCCTCCTCCTCCTCCTCCTCCTCCTCCTCCTCCTCCTCTTTCTCCGCACGCGCACCTCGTTCTCCTTTGCCCCGCGGATGCACGCTGGTACCACAGCACCGGCGCGCGGAAAGTTCACCTCCAAGTGCGTGCGTGCGCGCGCGCGGGCGCTCCCAATCGGTCGGTCAAATAGAGCGCGCCCCCCCCCACGCAGATCGCTGTTTAAAGGGAAACACAAGAACGCTGAGTCAATCGGCGGTGCGTGCGTGGATCGTTTTTCTTCCCCCCCTCCCCCCCCCGCACCCCTCCACCCCCCCTCTCCCTCCCCTCCCTCGCCCCGACATGGCCCCCGGGACGCAGACGCGCTCGGAGGGACTCGGCGCTCCGCGGGAATGAAGCCGGAGGAGCGCGCATCTCGGACGTAGGGACGCGGCAGAGCGGCGAGCACAGCGGGACCCGCGCGCGCAGACATGCATCGGCTTCTGCAGCGGAGGAGCGTGCGCAGGCTGCGGGTCGTCTGGGCGTCTCTCGCCCTGGTGGCGCTGTCCCTGGCGGCGTGCAGCGCGCTCTTCACGGCGTGGACCTGGCGACAGACGCGCGACCTGTCGCAGTCCTTCAAGATGCTGCAGGACCGCGTGGAGCAGGTTTGTGTGCGACTCGACAGACACCAACAACAACAACGACAACAACGACGACGACGACAACGACGGAAAACAAACAGCGACAGAAATATTTACGCGCCTGCAACTATCGCAGACCTTCAAGTGTTTGTTATGTAACTTTCTTTATTTTTGTGGAGGGGGGGGCTGTGGTTATAGGAATCTTTTGCGGGGGGTATAGTTCAACATGCCCCCCCCCCCTCCCTCTCTTTCTCCTCTCTACACGTACTCGATTCTATTGCACCGTTTCTCTGCTTAGCACTTTTATTGCTTACCAATAAGTGCAGTCAGGTTGTGTGGATTAACACACACACACACACACACACACACACACACACACCTACCACCCCCTGCCATGTTTAATTACCCCGGTGCCTTTACTGGAAGGCCTCAACTATTTGCCATGCGTGGAGCACTTTGTGACTGACTGTCAGGCTTCGGGGCAATAAAGTGTGTCAAGTGTAGAAATCCTTTTGCAACTTCTCGTGCACGAGGGGGGGGGGGGTCACGGTCACGATTAGCAGCAGGAATCGCTCCCAAATTGCAATGCAATCTCATGCATGGTGCGGATTTGAGAGAAAAAAGAAAAGACTTGTGTGTCAAGACTCTCTCTCACTCTGAGGGGGGGGGGCGGTTGCATCACGAGGCAAATTACCGTCGCTGCCAAAGCAGCCGAAAAGGAGCCGATGGAATCTTTTCTGGTATCAAATTCGCCGTGTTTACCAAACCAGGTTGCACTGGATCGGCGATCAGGAGGCCAGTTTGGCTGTGTATCCTGTTGACAGACCCACACACACACACACACACACACACACATCCCAGAATTGGACACGTGGAGTGTTGATGCTGGAGCCGTTCCCAAGGGGCCCCGTTCTGTCCATTTGACCGTTGGCCAACTCGCTGATGAGAGCCAGTGAGTGAGCGTCTGGAGAGCGGAGAGCAGCCTCGCTGCCTCCATTTCCACAGTGGCAGTAAATTTAGACTTTCCCTGAGCCCCCCCCTCACAGCGCCGGTCCCCCCCCCAGCCAAGAATTGGAAACTTTTGCCGACGCAACAAAACACATTTTCTTCCCTTGGAGTTAAAGATGAGAGGAATGCAAACCAAAGACGCGCGTTCGGTGTCGCAACCGGTCTCTTGAGGAAGTGGACCTCTTCTAAAACGGGCTGCGAAAGGACGGGGCCTGTTTATGTGGCCGCGCCAGACCAAAGTCATCATAATAACCCCCCCCCCCCACACCCGCCGGACGTTTGTTAATAGTGCACTCTTTCTTTACTGTCCCTCTCTCTCTTCTCTCAACAGGTCAATACCCAGAGGAAGGCCATTGTCCAGCTCATCCTGGAGAAGAGAGAGCTGCTGGTGGGACAGAGAGTGAAGAGAGACGGTATTTGCAAATCCACAGTCGTCGTGCCCCCCCCCCCCCCCCAGTAACAAAAAGAATCCCCACAGAGACGAGAGCGTTTAACGCAGACGCTGGGGCACGGGGCACTCTGGGCCCCGGGGGGGCGCCCCGGGGCACAACCCGGTGGTAAAAGTTGACACAGGAAGAAGAATTTACAGGTCTGACCAGAACGGGGCCCTGAAAGCCCAGGAATGAAAAAGGGGGGGGGGGGGGGAGAAAAAAAGCCCAGCTGGCGCGAGAGCGAGCGCCTTGTTGCACGCTTTTGGGCAATGAAATAGCATTTTTCTTCCCCCGGCCTCTCCGGAGCACACGACGCGGCTCTGATTTGGTTGTGAAAGCGGTGATATTTGATGACCTGTCATTGGCGTATTTGCAAACCCCGCACGCTTGCGTCGCCATCGCGGGGGTCGCTCCATTGTCGACGCTTCTCGCCTTCCCCTCACTGATTTGACCAAAGGATTTCGCCAAGCATGCCGATGTCAGCGATATCCCCCTCTCCAAAACGAGAGAACGTTAATGGGGAATACATTTTTTTTAAAAAGGAGAAAAAAAAAAGCCCAAACAGCTTTTTCCAGTTTGTGGAAGGCCGACCCCGGCCGGTGACTGGCAGGAAACCGGCGCCGGCCCCCGAGGCCTTTTTAAAAAAAAAAAAAATGTACGCTCGCCCATACTGCCGTCCCCAATCTGCAGGGTCACCCACCTGCGAGTTGTTTTAGCAGAGACTTCATATTCTCGTACTGTGTGTGTGTGTGTGTGTGTGTGTGTTTGGGCCGTGCAGTGTTCGTCTTGTATCTGCGTCTGAAATCGCTCCCCGAGGGGCCGGACCGCCAAGCTAAAATAAACCTCGAGTAACAAGAGAGCAAGGCGTTCTGCAGCGCCGGCCTTTTAGCGTTTTGTTTTATTTATTGCATTTATCCGAGCCGTGGCTGTTGGTTCACTCTGTTCTTAATCAACTTTCTTCTGTTTTTTGGTTCACGGAGCAGCCAAAGACCCCCCCCCCCCCCCCCCTCGGGCCCTCCCGGGACTTCATCTCTCTCATTTAGCATCCTGAGCTTTGTCTCTCATTTAGTGCGTTTCACTTTTCCGCTGCCCGTCACATCACGCAAAGCTCTCCGTCCTCCTTCACTCCATCCCGCTTTGTTCTCTGTATTTTCTAGATGACTGCGACCAGCTGGCACGGAGATTAGCCACCACAGGCATAAAAAAAAAAAACGAAAAGAGAAAAAAGAGGCTCACGCTTTTGACCGAAAATAACACTTTGAGGGAAATATTTTTAAGCATGTGACAGGAAATCCTTTGCCCATCTGCTAACCCCGTTAAAAAATATAACATAAAGAGCCAGGCTGAACGGCTGCAAATGAACACGTCGCGCCATCACGACGGATACAGATGGGTGCGCTTGTTTTATCGAGAGAGAAAGAGGAAAAAAAAAGTGTGTTTTTTTCTCTGCCATTCATGCTCTGTCTCTCCCCTTGCCTTCCGAAGGGGGGGCGCCGCGAGGGAGGAATGGGAACGGAAAGAAAGCGGCGTCTCATTTCGAGAGTAAGTGGGCTTTGGCAGATCCCCCCCCCCCCCTCCCTCACCGGCCTCCCCGCCACCTCCTCGCCGTCTCGCGTAGCATCTGCTGAAGTGGTTTCAATCATAGAGCCGCGATGCGATCGAGCTCGTAAAAATCTTAATTGACTTTTCTCTTTTCTTCCCCTTCCAACGTCCCTCCTACTTTCCGCCAGTAACCAAAGTCTCCTCTCAGCAAGGTAAGGCTCATAAAAGTGAGGGATGGAGAGATTTTTCTGTCTGTGAGGTGATTCACCTTGGCTGTGTGGCTGTGTGTGTGTGTGTGTGTGTGTATGTCAGTGGGAGAGGGCGGCGTGATAAAGGGCTGGGAGGAGAGGACGTTGAATATGAGTAAAGCGGTGAGGTACAACAAGGAACAAGGCACCTTCACCGTGGAGAAAGCAGGCGTCTACTTCCTGTTCTGCCAGGTGAGTTTGTGCTGGGAGTTGTAGTTTATCAAAGCAGTGGTCTTGTCTTTGATAGCACCTTGATGAGACTATTTTTCTTTCATTCTTTCATGTTTTTATAATCAGTACTTGCAATATAATTAAAGGTGGGGCTTTTATTTTGTAGTCAGGCCATTTAGTCCCCTCCCTGTCTCCCCAGGTGTTGTTCAACGAGCAGCAGTCCCAGTACGTGAAGCTGGACGTGGTGACGAGCGGCCAGAGGCCCCAGAAGCTGCAGTGCATGGAGGGCTACGGGACGACCCCCTCCGCCGGGCCCCACCGCTTCCACTTCCTGAAGCCCTGCCAGGTGTCCGGCCTCCTGCGGCTGGACCGCGGCACGGAGCTGCAGGCCGTCACGGGCTCCGCCTTCCGGCTGCACACCCTGGGCGACCCGTCGGCCTCGCTGCACGTCTTCAGCATCTTTAAAGTCAACTGAGAAGCCGCCAGCAAACGCAACTTCCTGGGCGGTCGCGCCTCTCCTCCCCCTCCACCCCCCCCACCCCGCCTCCCCCCAAAATAACCTTGATATGAAAGACGACCCAGACATTCGTGGAAGTTGTGGAATTCTTTTTTTTTTTTTTTTTCTTTCACTCGCGCTGCTGTTTCCGGCAACGCAAAGACACGGACGTTTGGAATTTACGTGAATGTCCGCCCGATACTCGGGTGTCCACGTTGGCCGCCGCGTAACAAAACGCGCTCGCGCCCCCCGTCTTTGATCCCGGCCCGAGCTGCGCGTGCACCTTCCACTTTTTATATCAGCGGTGCCTCGAGGAGCCGAGAGCACGTCCGACCTCGACACTATAACGCCAGTTGTCGATACTATTTTATACTTGTGTGTGTGTGAATATTATGATCAGTACAAGGCAACGTGTGTGTGCGAGTGTAAGGTATTTTTTATAACACTTTGTATTGCGCTTCGCACATATTTTACTTTTTTGAAATTTCAGATAACATGGATGTGAATTTGTGCTTCTCTTTTTTTAATGATTGAATTGGAGGGTTTTTTGTGTTATGGGCTTTTAGGGAGTAATTTCCTCAGCAAGCAAAGGTTTAAATATAGCTTTGTTTCTCTTTTCTTCCTTTTCGATATGTGATATCAAATATTACATAAATTTTGTATTAGAAAATATTCTGATAAATACTTTAAGTGCATCGCGACGACTAAATATGAGAACGATAATTGACCGTCTTGTGAGCATGTTGGTCTTCTAATCACCATGACAACGCCAACAGCATGCTAGCTTTGCCTATTAGCACTTTGGCCTTTCGCTGACTCTAATTTCATCAAGTCAAGAAGGGAACAAAATGACCTCGACCAATGCGCAGCTCATAAATCACAAGAAGAAAATCAAACCTGCCCCCACGATTATTTCATTTATATGGGTTGTAAACATTTTGATGACCTGAAAAACCGGGAGGAAAGTTTAAAGTCCAAATAAAATCCGATACGCATCGAATGAAGCGCCTGATGTTTGTTCTCCGTCACGTTGTAAGACTGTCACTTCTTTATTTTGAAAGTGAAATTCCTTCCATTTTCCCAAGTGCTGCTGCTTTCTGTAATATTCCCCTCCACAATACAAACTGTGTGTATTTCCAGCAGCGGGTTCAGCACTCCCACTCTTGTTTATAAGTAGTTTTTGTGGATGGACCGCACCGGTTCCTCCTCAGCACTTTAGTGCAGCGAGCAAAGCGTCTTTAATTGGAGCCGAACGTTCCATGTTTTAAAAAAGCAAAAATGACCGTTTTTGAAATGTGGACGTTATCGGCGTGTGTGATTTCGTCACTGCTTTCCTCTTCTTCCTTTTTGTGTGTCTCTCAGCCTCCACACCGCTACCACCATCAGCCCCCCCCCTCCGCCCTCCCCCGTGCACCTCACATTTCCCTGTCAGCACCAACCAGACACACACACACACACACACATATGCACACATGCACACACACGCACGAGAAGCCATCTACGTTTTCACTTCCTGAAAAGCTGAAAGTCTTTCCGAACACACACACACACACTTGCCGCAATTCCTATTTTTCTAAATGTCAAAGTTCTTGGTCACAGTTCTTATGCAATGTCCCGGGTTTTTTTCCCCCTCATAAACTTTTGTGTTGTTTTGAAAAAAGCTTCAAACTTTGATGAAAAACTGCTTGTGTGCCTCCAAAAAAAAGTGAGCAAATGTTCTAAAATGAATGAATTGGATGGGTTTTATAATAAATTTAGAGCTGATTTAAAGCGGATTGACATTTTTGCATCAAACGATGTGTAGTCGCTTTGTTTGAAATGAAGAACTCCGCTGTGACAAAGAAGTTACGTCCAAACTGGTCACGGTGTGACTCCTGTGTCTGGTCCCACAAAATCCAGCGGCCCCCCAGAATTATCTCGGGCGGTTTGGACTCTCAGTTTAGGAATCGCCGCTGAAATGAATCTGGGCTAACGAGAGGAAATGTCACGTATTAATTAACGCTTGTTATGTTCATTCACTGAGATATTGAGATCCTGAAACTGAATGTCTTATTTCATCCCGCCTCGCTCTACTTCCTGAGCCACCGGCCGTCCCCCCAAAAGGGGCCCTCGAGTAATTATAGAACTGAGATAACAGTAAACACGGCGTCAGCAGAGCAGAGTGACTCTTAACTCTTGGTCATCATGAATCACTACCCATCTGCTGCTCAAGGTCGCTGTTAAACGTGTGTGTGGGAGACAGAAGAAAAACAGCGATAAAGGCCCAGTGAAGAGGAGACACTGAATCACTGCACAGACGCCCCCATCGTCGTCATCGCCACCAGAGCAGATTGATGGCAATAATAGTCTGTTTGCTGAATGGACCAAAAGTGAAATAGGAGCACATTTTGTTCTGGATGTGATGATTCAGATATTTAGTGTTGTAGTATAGAGGCTTTTACTTACTCTGGAGAGCTGAATTAGATGGATGTTTAGGTAATGACCTAGCAGGGCTTTCACGTTAGGTTGAAATATTTGCAGGAAATGGGACAGGACGTTCAAAATCGATCACTTCTGGGCCAAAGTGGAGCTTTTAGTGTCGCTGAGGCTTTTTCATGCTGCATTTACGCGAGTGAAGTGTCCACTAAGCTGTCATGAAATCAAACTGCACAGGCATCCCCATTTCGGCCCTGGATCAGGTGGGATATCTGCACGGAATGAAAGATTACAACTGATTGTTGCTAACTAGGGGTTGTAAAAATAAATAAATCCTATTTATATAAAATGAAACCTTGTGCCGGCGGGTTGTGCTGTCCCTTGAATTAGTGATTAGCATCAATGCAACTTTTTATGTATGTGTTTTAGCTATGAGGTTAGCATGCTAAAGTTCAAACAATTACAATGCTAACATGACAAGTACTCCACATTTAGACATAGCATTTTAGCATGTTAGCATTTGCTAATTAGGACCGAACCCAATCATAGCTGCAGATGAAGGGAAGCCATTAGTCTTAAAAGTATTTGGATAAAAATGTAACCAAAGACAGTAAAGCTCATTTTTGTGTTGACGTATAGTACTGCAGCTACTCTTAAATAGTACGTACTGTTTCATGCAATATGTATTCAACAGAAAACCCACTTCCTCATTACAACACTTCTTGAACTTTGACACCCCCCCACCCCCCCTCCTCCAAAAAAACCACACAGCGCTTCATCATTTTATTCCGTTTTATTACAAACAACAAAAAGAAAATGAAAAAAAAAAAAGAAAGAACGACATGTTTCGCCGCCACTCAATCATCTGATCGGCACCACTACGTACAGTGACACAAGGAAACCAGAAATGAACACAACACATCTGGAAGGAGGACAGAGTAGACGTGAAAGAAGAAAAAAAGAGCTAAGTGCTTTTAACTTTTAAGTTAAGGGGCAGCTAAAACGTTTGCATGAAACAGAATTTGTAAAATGGCCTCTGACTATTTCCTGGGAAGGTCAACGTAAAATGTCCACGAGATAAACTAACTCCTACAGTCACTGTGGGTTTTTTTTTTGTTTTACTTTAAGCACTGTGACCAGGATTTAAGGGTTGACATCAGGTTCTTAATTCAGTTCGATGACTTTACATTTGCTCAGCTATGTTTAAGGCGTTTTTTAATGATGCGGTATATAAAATGGATTTCCAGCCTTGGATTTTTCGAGATAATAACTGTATTTTTACTGGGGTAAGATAGAATACATTTTCTTTCCGCTCGTAGAAGCATTTAGGGTTACACATGGCCTATTTTCTATATATGTATATGTCCTTTACGAGCCCCAGATTGACTTCTTTCTCTGAAGTTACCTCAACTTCTTCGTTTGCGTTTCCCTCGTAATTGCAGTTCAAACATGGCGGAGTGTCGCGCATACTGTCTCGTCTTTTTCATCGTGTCCCGTTACAAAAAAAATGTCTCTTTTGGTAGAAGCTCTCAAATAGCAACAGCGAGAACAACAGCAACATCGACAATACTTTGAATCGTGAGAGTAAAAACACAAGAAAAAACACGAATGAGCCGTTTAAATATGCAAAGTATATCACAGGGTTTTGTGGAAAGAAATGGAAACTTGGGGCGGGGGGGGGGAGAATGGAGAGGGGGGAGCGTTCAAGGCGACGGACGGGTTTTAATAACACTGACTTGCTTATGAAAAGGTTATAAACATTCATATGAGGTTTCTGAAAAATAGCATCACAAACCCCCCCAAAAAATACCTCAAAGCTCTTCACACAGACCGGCGGCCCGGGAAGCGGAGCGGCAAGTTCCTGAATATAATCATCATATCTGCGCGTTTTTTAATCTGAAATCGAGGAAAACAAAATAAAAGCTAAAAAGAACCGTGGAGCTGCTCGGGCCGGAGAGAACGCGGAGGAGACCGAGTTGAATCGAGTGTATGAGCGCAGCTCGACGCCATCTTTCTCTCTCCTCCCTCTTTCCGGCGAGACGGCGTTACTGTGATTAGCGCATGCTTCAGGGTGATGGAGTGTTTTTAGACTTAACATGCAGAGGAGGAGGAGGAAGGTTACATGGTTTATTGTTGAGATCTACATGTCTCTAGGATTGAGGTGGGTTCAGCGTTGTTTGTGTGTGTGTGTGTGTGTGTGTGTGTGTGTGTGTGTGTGAGGTTAGAAGCATCCCAAGAGGAGGAGGCCCGTGTGAAGAGGCACACACTCCACACGTATGAGGAGTATAATGGTTTGAGGCAGACAAGAAAGGGTCACATGAAGCTATGAGACACTATGTGCTGCAGGTGCGTGTCTGTCAGTGTGTTTGTGTACTCGAAACGTGTGTGTGTGTGCGCGATTGTAGCTTTTAGGGGTGTACCGGGCCCCAGCGTATTAGGAGACGTGTGTGAATGAAGTACAATCTCAAGTCAATGCGTATCTAATACTGGATGTGTGGTTCAATGCTCTGATCGCACCGCGATGTCTCTCTTTAAACGTGTGTCTGTCTGTGTGTCTGTGTGTGTGTGTGTGTGCGTGCAGTCTAGTCGTCGATGCAGATGACCTTTCCGCTGCGCTGCTCCCGCCGGTTGACGAGCAGCTCGGCTTCGCGCTCCTTCTTCACGGACATGGGGGGTCCGTTCAGCGCTGCGGGGGGGGGGGACAGAGAGGGCGAGGTCAGTGGAACCAATGGACGGCTCTATGTACTGCTGCTGTTTATTACAGTAAATGTGGCCATGACGGAGAGGTCAAAGGTGCTTCTCCTGATTCCTATTTCTTTGTGAAAATGTTGGTGTTCATCTGTTTTTACTCTGATATATGAAGGGAAACGGGAGGATAAAATGGGACTGAAATCGAATGGACGATGTCAAACTACTGTTCGGTGCATTCGGTCTATTGGCTGCAGGAGTAAAATGGACTTTTAAAAAAAACACGGGTGGGATATTTAATCTTTTCCACCGACACTCGATATTATTTTACGATCCTCTTTGGGAAATCTAAATCTTTTCCCCCTGGAGCTGACAAGGCGGGATGAGAAGGAAAGGAAGTCCTCCTCCTTCGAACAAAAAAAAAAAAAAAAAATGGGAACCTGCCAATCATCTGCAGCGTTGCTGGTTTATGGGAAATGCAACCGAGGCGCCTCAGCACGCAGCCTCGCTTGTAATACTTTGATCATCTTTATAATGAGCCAACTTGCATAACACAGTTCATCGATGCGTCATATTACACAGATTAATGCACGACTGTTAACCTGCAGAGAGCGAGGCAATAGGCAAAGCACACACACACACACACTGGCGCAGGCACACAAGGTCACAGACGCAGACTCATCTACGGAAATGAACTTCTTTCCACTGGACCGCGCAGCTGGAACCGCAGAGGATCGGATCGTGAATCTGAGCAGAACGGCCAGGAATAGACTGTAAACAGCGCACTTCTCTCACCCCCCTCCCCCCCGTCTGTGCCGATCAAAGCCGCGATAAGGAGTGTATTGAGCTGAAGACGTGTGTGTGTGTGTGTGTGTGTGTGTGTGTGTGTGCGTGTGCGTGTGGTCCACAATATGTGTGTATGTCTGTAGAACCAGAGCTGGGGACCACTTATGGGGAAACTTGTGGCGTTTTGCCAGCAGAGGCCAAAGGAGGGGAAGAGAAAGAAGAGAGTCAGTAAGCGTGTGTGTGTGTGTGTCTGTGTGCGTGTGTGTGTGTGCGTGGGCGGACAAAATCCGATAAGAAGCAAAACAAATGGAGGTGAAGACTGGGTGAAAGAGCACGAGGAATTACGGGAGGAGAGCGAGAGGAGTGCAAAACAAAGAGGCAGGGGACACGGACGAGGAAGAGAGAGGGAAGGTGAGATGGAAAAGTTATTAGAAAACGGCCGAGTGCTCCAGAAGGAAGGAGGGGGGGAGGACGGCGGAGGCCGTCCGATGCGACGCCACGGCCGGTAAAACAGCAGGAAAGGGCCGCGTTGGTGTGCAAGAGATGTGATTACATACGGTATCCACTAGAGAGTGCTTATAAGTGTGTTTCTTAATTGTTAAATGTCCCCCATAATACATATTTAGGTCATAGATAGTGTGGAAAAAAAACTCTGATGCTTACAATACATGTATGTGATATATTTAATTCTAGAAAATACACACACACCATATATATATATATATATATGGTATATATATATATGCAGTTTACATCCGTGTCTGTCCAACACATTGGCACGCGTACGTAAATCATAAATGTGTTTTCTGAGGTCGCAGTGAACTCAGGTCACAGCAGATTGTAGCCGCTTGATCTTTGACTTCAGGTGCGAGCCAGATTCAAAGAAGGCCCCCCCCCCCCCACCGCAGACGTTTCTGAGATAACGAGTTCGCGAGACTCGGACGGACGGACAGAGATGATATATTGCCTCCCACGGGAAATTAAGTTAACCATAAATAAGACAGTGATTTTTCTAAAAATCACTCACATCAACCCCCATCGTGTGACCGTAGTTTTTCACGCAGTCGAAATAAATAATTACGGATGGTTTAAATCCATTATTTGAGGTCGGCAGCGGTATTTGCAGATACAGCGAAAGAATGTGATGAATCCAACAGCCCACTGCCGCGCGTTATCTGAATCCACTGGATCTCGCCGGGCCGAGCGTCCCGAGTCCAGAGAGGCAATAAAAAAAAATACAAAAAAAACACATTCCTGGCCTTGACGCGGCTCCCCGTGGCTCCCGCTACTATCCGGCAGAAGGGAGCGCGGCCATGTTGGCGGCGAGCGCGAGGACAAAGAGTCTCTCTCTGCCAGCAGCTTTCATCAAGAGAGACCCTCTCTCCTCTCGCTCGCCCCACACGGAGCCCCCTCTTTTGGGGATATAAGAAGCCCCCAGCTAGACCCGACGCCGCGAAAAATTTTTTGTGGCAAAATTTTTTAAGACACTCTGTAAAGGGACCCGCCCGGAAAGCACACGGTTAAACCGAAATCCCGCCCGGGAATGGGAGGAAAAAACATTGTTCTGGGTTCTCCTTTAAAGGCGGCGCCCCTACTAGAAAGCTCTTTTAAAAATTTTAGGCATGGAGGATCCGGCGGAAATGTCTGGGTTTGATATTACTATTAACAATCTACACGTTGCTTAATATTAACATGAATTGGCTCTCGGCAGACATCGTCCTTCCCTCGGTTGTCTCCTTTGAGCTCTTTGGTCCTGGGGGGGGTTTGGAAAACGCTCCTCCGTGAGAGCGGGATTCATATTCAAGTAAAATTCCTGTATGGTTGCTTTGTTTAAAGGATAAAGTATTGTTCGCTTTCGTAAGGGGAAAAAAACAAACATTGTTATACAGTTTAAACGATTCCTGGCTTTAATTTAAAAAAACGCTACCATGCACACAATCTCATGTCTATACGTGTATTAAAAATAAAACACACACACATTCGCACACATACAGCAATCCAGTATACGTCTCGTCGCAGCCGCACCGACGACACACTTTTAGCTCAAAGGGAAACAACGCTGGATTTTTAGCTGAGAGACACTACAACGCGACTCTGAAAGCGATTTGTTTGCCACAGTCCAGAGCGTTTCATCCTCCCCCCGGGGGGGGGGCATGGACATTCTCCGGCGTGCAATCCGTCACAGCGAAAGGAGCTGGAGGAGCGAGTCCTCCTCCCCCGTCTCCCCCTCCCCAGGACGGATGGGAGTCCTTAGAAGCGTCTCGCCGCGCTGTGACAAGTGGAGCGATGTCCCCCCCCCTTCATGTGACGCAGCTCAGCACGCCGCTCTTCTCAGCGGTGGTTCCGCACGGCGCGGTTCTCGTCTCTTTGCTCGGTCGGACGCTGGAACGCTCCAGTCAGTGTTTTATACTTTTAACAAAACTTTTTTTTCCATCCCCCTCCGGTAGATAATGTATCTAAAACAATCCCTTTCTTTTTTTGAGTCGGGATTTCATCCGATATATGAAGTTCTTTGCAGGTTTTCAGGTTGTGTGTGAGGTCCACGGTGTATATAGCTGTGTCATATATATATATGACACCGTCATATATATATATATATATAATATGTATATATTTCTTTATTTTTTTATGTGTGCGTGAGACTGAGAAAGAGAGCCGGAGGAATCGAGAACGAAGGAGGAATGAGGGAGTACAGGGTCAGGGCGAGGGGACAGGCCTGTTCAGTCAGCCAGCGGATGAAGAATTGATCCGGGGGGGTAAAGGGGGGAGAGAGGGAGGGAGGGTCGTTTTTTCGTGTGCAGAAAAACCAAAGAAGAAGAAAAAAATATCCTTCTTTGGTTCTGCATTTTTCTCCATTTCGGCCCTCATGTCGGAATTCCTGAAAACCTGTGATTGCATTAACATGCTGCCTTTTGTCTCCGTCCACCTTCCACTGCAGACGTCTTCCCTCTTTAAAGTCACATTTTTGGGGCTTTTTTCTTTTTTTCCAGTAGCGCCATTTCCCTTCGCTTTAATGATTTGTTTGTTCCAGACAGTTCATCTGTCTCTCTCCTCCTCCCGGGCATCGTTAGTGCTTGATCTCAGAGCCAGCTCTTCACCCCCCCCCCCCCCCCCCCGTCATCTTTTCGCCTCGCCGTCCTTATTCGATCCATCCAGTGAGCTTTACTTCTCTCTTTCCATCCCTCGCATTCCAGCAGTGTCAGAGTCCACTGTCCTTGGGGGGGGGGGGGCGACTTTCTTCCCCGGGAGTTCATCTCTCCTCTTCATCTCTCACTGTCCCCTTTTTGTCTGTCTCCATTTTTTGTTCCGTTCCCGGGCGTTTCTCCCCCCCCCCCCTCAGGGTTTCTTTGGTCGGCCGTTGCGCGGCAGGTTCTCCACCGTGTTGCTGAGGCGGTACTTGACTATGATGCTGTGCACGGTGGACTTGGGCATCCTCAGCTCCTGCCCGATGGCCCCCTCGGACTTGCCGTCCTTCCAGAGGTCCACCACCCGCTGCCGCTGCCCCACGTCGTGCTCCTTGGTCTTCTGGCAAGCAGCGTTTGGCCCTCCGGCGGCTCCCCACGCGGCTCCCCCGGTGGCCCCAGCGGCGGCTTCTGTGGGGCAGACAAGCGGCAGACTGTAGTGGAGACTCGGAGAGGGGAGCAGGATAAAGTCACACTTTACTGGCCCCCGAAAGGGAATTCTCTCGCTCTCAGCGTTCAGGTCAGGTGGGGAGGAGGGGGGCGGGGGGAGTAGAGGGGGGGGTCGCTACCGGAGCTTGTGGAGGGGAATGAGGAGGAGGGGAATGGGAGCAGCGTCCTGCTCAAGGGGACACTTCAGCAGGACGGGGGGGGGGCTTGCAGACACCAGAGTGGGGCAGTGTGGGGGGGGCATGAACCAGTGTGCTCCACCTGCAGGGCAGTCGGGCTAATTTGTACACCCTCCCCCCTCCCTAAAGTGCGAAAGGCGTCTCCTTTTAGTGCAGACGAGCAGCCTCCTCGCGGCGGTACCGATGGCTGGAACAGCTCTTCCAAAAAGGTGCAATTCAAGATATTGTGCAAATGCAAAGATTATATGACAGCACAGAGCAGTCGGGTGCATCGTCACATGTGTGTCAGTCCTACACGGGAGCAGTCGGGTGAATCGTTACATGTGTCAGTTTACAGAGTAGTGGACGTGTAGTTAAAGTGCCACGGCAGACATGCATATTTCTGGACATGTTTAGTGGACTCAGGCTGTTGACGGAGGGAAGCAAAGCAGAGAATTTTGTTGTTTTAATTCGGTCCATTCCTCCGGGCTCATTTTTCCTTCTTTTATTTTTTTTTCCCCCTTCCCCTGCAGTCAAAAAAGGTCAGGAGACGGCGTGACCCCAATCAAGGAGCATAAACGTGGCCTCACGTGCTGCACGATGTTCCCAACGGCACCGGGCCCCCGGGAGCAACAAAAACAAAACAGCCTCCGCCGGAGCAACTCGGCTCACGCGCGACTATTTCTGAACCCCGGGCCGTGGCCCCGCCCTCCTGCCCGGTCCACAAGGCACAGCGCGGCGTTTTGCACAACCAAACTCCTTCTGCGGTTTGTGCTCCCTCTCTCAAAATACCGCGCTACCAAGTCCCAATGTTTTCTTGGCGCGGGCCGCACACGCAGGATAATGACATTTTCAGAGATAGGCCCCGGCTCGCCGAAAATGGCAATGCCTTCGACAGATGTCTCGCTCTACAATTACATAAATCAAGATACCACGGCGGGGGAGGCGGCCACGGCACGCAGCGGGCTGGAGGTTTTGCGGGAGGTTTATTTTTGGGGGCAAAAGCTGTCGTGGGGATATCAGGTTTTACCGGTTAGCTTTTGCCACATGGATGCTATCTCAACAGACCGCGTCTGGTGAGCACATGCCGTTACCAAAACCAATTAGAAAAGAGAAAATAAATTCACAAACCGCCAGCGTGCCGCCGACAGACCGTGCGGCGAGGAGGAAGAGGAGGAGGAGGAGGAGGAGGAGGGGGGGCAGGACGAGAGGCCGCAACAAATTCTCTGTTTGTTTTTTTTCCATTTCTAAAGCTTTAGAATGGACGAGCGAACGAGAGGCAGGCGACGAGGAGGTGAAGGAAATGAACGTGTTTGAAGAAGGGAGAGCGGTCCGATATCACGGCGCCTTGTTGCTGCTGAGCATTGAGGTTTTTGGAGTCGTCGACGTGTTTAAGTGGTGGAAGAAAATGCCTTCATGTAGCCGTGCAGCAGGTTCCTGCTGGATTTCGGTAATGTCTATTTCAGGTGCCTTTCTGGCTTCAGAGGCTCTGCTGCAGATGTGCTTCTTCAACGCGGGCCCCCTCCTGGATTCTCACCCGCTAAGCCGCTCGGGGAGATAAAGTGTCTCCTCGCAGTGCTTCAAACAGAGAGCGGCTTTAGAAGCCATCGGGTGGCTCTTTTCTCCTCGCATTAAAGGATCACACCGACACAGAACCGTAGAAATGCTCCTGGAAAAAAAACACATTCCCAGAGTCAGTCGCTTGGATTCCCTCGACCGAATGTTTTTTTTCCCACGACAACATAACCATATAAAGATGGAATTCCTCAGATGGTATCTTTAAATAGAAGTAACATTTTGGACGGGTTCCGTCCATCGTCCGGCGCACGTTGCCGAGTAATTGAGTCCAGATCCCTGAAGGTCCTCCGTCGGGGAGCCGCCGAGCTCGGCGAGGCCACAGCGACCACGACCACCGCGGCCATTTCCAACGCCGCTCCAGGTTGTTGATGGTAAAATGAATGAAAGAAAAAATAAAACGTGGACAAAGTTGAGTGATGGCAATCGTGCGCGTCGGCGGTGAACCACTTTACGCGCCGAGCGCGTCTCAAGCTTCAAAGCTGCCGGGTTCTACATTTCCCACAATGCAACGCAGTCCTCCGCTCCGCACTCCCACGTCCGTCACACTACTACGTCCCCGCAGCTTGTGAACTCATCGTCAACACCCCGATGACATCGCTCTTCCAAAGAAGACAATGTAGTTTCCTCGGGCTGGGAAGCAACTCAACAACATTTTCAAACAACAGCTTGAGTTAGCAAACTCATTTCCTGTCCAAACAGTCCCCCAATTATCCTCTGGCATGGAAAAAAACAACAACAGAATATTCCAAAGGAATCATTCGCAAAAAATCTGACGTAAACTGTCGATTGTCAAACAGACCAAACAAAGCACAGCGACCGACCAAGCCGTTCGGCGACAGCAGCCGGGCACGTGGACGGACCTTCGGACACTGACCTGATATGAAGGAGCCGGGCGGCATGTGACTGTAGTTGGCGCCGCCCATGAGCAGGGCGCTCGGGGGCGCGGGGGTGAAGGGCGCTCCGTAGTTGTGAGGCGTGGCGTAGGGTCCCGCAGGTATGTGCTGCACGGAGGGAGAGAGGTTTTTTCATTTTTTAGTTTTTATTTCTCCCCCCCCCCCCGTTCGCGTCGGATGGGTTTCGTGAACGTGACGACAAGAGAGGTGAGAGGAAAAAATAAAACGTTGACGTTATGCAAGCTGGCAGAAAATACAGAAAAAGAATCTGCTGGCTACAACAGCTGTGAGCGACGGGATAAAAGGGCTCTGCGTTTTTTTTACCGCCGAACGCAGGCCGATCGGACCGGTTTCTCTCGTGAAATCAGCCACCAGTGGGGTTTTTTTTTCCTGCGTGTGAGAGTGTGCGTTTTAAAAGCGGGCCGCTGACCGGGGGGGTGTGCGTCTCGGTGCCCTTGCTGGCCAGCCGGCTGAGGATGCTCCTCTCGGACATTTGCAGGCGGCCGGCGATGGGCGGGACTCTGGACAGCGTGGCCGGCAGCCGGGTCACGTCGGCCTTCATGTCACTCAGCAGCTCCTCCAGCTGGTTCAGCACTGCAACGCCAACAGAAACACCTGTAGCCACTTCCCTCCCCTGCTTCCCGCTTCTTTTGAACTTCTGTTAACCGCCGTCTGCGTTTTCAGTTACTTCTGTATCAACGTTGGAAAACGTCCAAGGTCACGCCTCACTAACTGCTAAAATGATTAGTTACATAAACACTCACATGCTCTAAATACTATAAATAGTACTTTCATAAGTCACATAGGATTTTGTGGATTTTCCTCCAAAAAAAAAAAAACGCTGACTCAACGATTTAAATTCCACGATGCGTCTCTTTACCCCATCTCCCCTGACCTTTGTGCAGGACGGCGTTGGCCGGCTTGTTGCCCGCCAGCGACTCCTTGCTGAGGTGCTGGTGGGACTCGGCCAGGCACTCCAGCTCCGTGAAGCGAGCGTTGAGCGCCATGGCCGGGTGGCCGGGGTCCTGGGTCATGTTCAGGTAGGCGGCCCGTCGCAGCTGCTCCTCGATCACCAGCGCCTGCTCCAGCAGCTGGAGGAGAAAGGGGGAGGAGGGCGTTGTAAATTCTACCCATAAGACCCTTTTAGGTCAGCAACAAATGTGTCTCAGTTTTAACAATAAATGGGAGAAGCTCGATTTCGGTTGTGCATTGCATCTTACCGCTGTCATTTTTCCAGCGTTAAGACAGAACACACTCAAATCTGGTTAGAATTAGTGTTGAGTATCGAGCCGAGCGTCGGAAACAACCTTTCAAAATGTGAAGCCTGAGAGCAGTTAAAGGTCCGTATCAGTGTTTCACTCACAAACCGGGTGAATTTAAAGTATCTTTTACTGCAGTAAGTTATGAACAGTGAAAACAGATACATATTTGAGATAAAACCATCACAGCAGACTGGTACATCTATAAATTCTTATACAGGTACATCACATGATAGCTTGTAGAAAAGTACTTTTAGACATTCACATTTACTAACTATACGTAGAAATAGGAAACTAAATTCACTTGAAAACCATCCTAGAAAATATATATATAAAAACATATAGAAATTGTGACCCACATTTCTCATCAAAGGAAAACGAAAAAGAAATTAGTTTTTGACTTTACATTTAAACACACAAACAGACAGGAAAACCTTTTTCTAAACTCTTAAATACATTTGCACCCTCCTACCTATTATATTGCGTAATACATCGAGCTTCATACAGTGATTCAGATGTGAATAGGGAAACAATTGTCAAGTGTTTTTGGGTAAAAAAAGGATTTCTTAGTTAGTGTTAGTAAGTTTGTTACGCAACCGATAAAAATATTCTAAAAAGGGGAAGCTACAAAAAATGTTGTATTTTGTGCCGTCTTGAGGCTGATTTACATTTTAAAAATAATTGAGCAAGAGAGATAGCGGCAAAAGTATAAGTCGCAGATTAAGTAAATGAGGATGTCGAGGGCAGGATCTGAAACATGTGGGCAGCTGAATAACAGGATGGGAGTTCCTCCAGAAACACAGCGGTCAGCAGTACCGTTGAGCCAATGTGTGGGTTGAGGGGCGTCTGTCATCCGACTATCAAATGTGTAAGGTGACCAAAAGACACCAAATGTTGCTAAACAGCTTGCTTGGAAGTAGGGTTGGCACCAAAAACACGTCCATAAATAAAATTCAGAAACTCTGGAGCAGCCACTGTCGTGGATCCACTTAAATTCAATTAAAATAGTATGCCAATATGATATTATAACATTAAAAACCCGGAGGACATTATAAAACATCTGAAACGTCGTCCAGATTCCTCGATATTCTGCCAACAGGCTTTTTAAAAATGTCCACAGATTGTAAACCACGTCTCTTCTCTCAGGTGTCTCTCTATAGTCCATGAAAACACAAGTTTTTAAGTAAAAGCATCAAAACAACGTCTTGGCGCTTAAGAACTGTTTCAATGTCCTCAAGACAGCGTTTTGAACGGACCACGTCACCAAGACCGCTCTTAAGGTCCTGAGGAACCCAGACACTGAATGTTGGCCTCAGTATTAATGGATCTAAGTGCTGCATTTGACACAGTCAACTAGAACAATTTACTGGACTGACTGGAACACTGGGCGGGACGACAGCACTAAGCTGGTTTGAATCACAACTGAAGAACAGGGACTACTTTGTGTCCACGGGTAGCTACACATCTGAGCGGACAAATATGACAACTGGGGTTCCCCAAGGCGCGATTCTGGGGCCCTTTCTGTTTACCATCTAAATGCTTCCACGGGTTCAGATTATGGAAAACAACAAAATAGGTGATCATAATTACTCAGAGGAATCCCAAATAGCCCACTAAGCATTGTCAAAAGTAGTGTCGAACTCCTGGTCATGAAACAGTGTACACAGAGGGACGAGAGGAAAGAGAGCAGCGCAATTCAGACAAACCCAGCGGCCAAAAAGTACTTTGTATTTATTTATTTGGAAGAATATGCTCATTATTCCCGCACTGACATGGGCGGAAAAGAAAGTATGTATGTATTTATAAAGGATTAGCCAACATTTAAGTCTTAATTACATGTTAGTAATGACATAGTAATCAGCGCAGAGAAAATGAATCCAACTAGTGTCCTGAGGTGCTTTCTGCTCTTTTCGCTGAACGCTGCAGCACGAGTCCAGTAAAGTGGGATCACATCGCAGCAGCGCTGAGGTCTTTTCACTTGCCTTGTCTGCCAAAGAATTTACTTAAAAATACTTCTGTTGGTTTATGAAGCACTGAATGGTTTCTGCCAAAAAAAACATTTCAGATCTTCTACAACATTATGAACCATCCACTTATGACCAGTAAGCAGCTGCCTTTTGGTAAATCAAATAATTGTTCTTTTCTTGCGCTGCAACTTTCTTATTCTAGCTTGTTTTATTTTCTACCCTCTTGGCTCTCCAACATTGTTTTTAATTGTATTGATTTGCCTCGCCAAAATGTGTTGCATGAGTCAGTTTTCTGGTGCGTATCCACAGTCACGGTGAAGCCTTACCTTGAAGCGACGAGCCAGGAACTTGTTCTTCATCTCCAGGAAGTTGCCTTTGTTGGCCTGCGATCTGAACGGCTCGTTGACGATGGCGAACTGGGGGTCGTTCTGGATGTCCTGCCATCGGGCGTAACCGTGACTGGCACAGAGGGGGGGGTGGGGGTCAAGGATCACTTTGGGTGAGAGGCTGCATCAAAGCATCGGCGAAACGATTTCAGACCAATAGGTCAACCATTTGGCAAACAAGGGCTTTCCAGAGAGTTAGATGAGATGATTGTGACTCCAGCGCTGCAGCCAGCATCCCATTAGCGTAAAGATCAAGGGGAAACGGCTGACACGGCTCTGTCCAAAGTTCAAACAAAAAAAGTACATTTAATAGCCTGAGATCATTAACTGTAGTGCTTTTTTTTGGGGGGGGTGGGGGGGGGATTAACCTTTAGCTTCATACCAAAGATCATTAATGAGAGTCAACATTTGCTTAATGCTTTCCCAAACAGAAATAAAAAAAGGACAATATTTATTCTCGGGGGGCTATTTTGAACAAGCGAGGTTGTTTTTTTTTGCCCCTGCTTACGGCTTTCATGACAGACACGAGAGTGTTATCGACACTGACCCTCGGAAAGAAAAGTCAGGCCAAAAGGTCCAAAGCTATTCCTGCAAGCTGAACATTCACATGAACTACATTTGTTCGTTTTGCACATAAAACCTGAAAAGAAAAAGGTTTCGGGCGGCTTCTGAAACAAAGCGCTTCACTCCCTCTATTTCACGCCGACTGCGTCTCTCGCGATTAGCTTCCGTGAACCCTGCGTGTCCCTGATTACCGGAACAGCGGGAAGAACATGAACCAAGTTGCCCCCTACGTCGGCTCCCAGCAGACGCAGCTATCTGTTTACCGAGCCCCGGCCCCGGCCCGGCTTGTGGAAAAACAAACAGGTCGGGGGGTCACCGCTCGGGGCAAAAGCCGCCGTCAAGGATACATCACGATTCCCGCCAGCAGCCAGAAGTCGTGCCGGCGGTGCCAGATCTCGTTCATCTTCCCGGAGGAGATGGCGGCCCGCTCCTCATTCTGCCAGAGAGTGTGCAGCTCTGCGGGAGGAAGCCAACGCAATATAAACACCAGGCCGCTCTCCGAGAAGGTGGTCGGCTAACTGAATAAATTGGAACACGGATCAGGGGAGTCGGTGCTGACCGGTGAAGCCGCCATCGGCGATGTTGAACATGAAGCGAGGCCGCTCGACGGGAGGCCTGGCGTTGCCCTTGGGCGCGTCCTCTCTGGCCGCCCTGGCTTCTTTGCCGGCATCCCTTTCACCTTTGACCTCCTCTGTTATCGGGAAAAACGGCAAAAGTTACCGGCGGGCACAAAAAAAAAAAAAAAACGTCCGCGCGTGCGTCCGTGTGCCAGCTCGCCACCGCGCACCTTTCTTCACGTCGAACACCTCGCTCTTATCCTTGGCATCCGTCGCTTCAGCCGCCGCCGGCGTCGTCTCCTCCCGCGCCTCCTTTTCCTTCTCCTCCCCCGTCTTCTCTCCTTTCGGCGGAAAACATGCATCACGTTAGCGCTCCAACACAAACCTGCTTCATCTGTTGGTGCATGTCGGGTTTCAAAGTGACTTTTCAGGTTTCTTCTCTGTGTTTTTTTTTTTTTAATAACCTGATTTCTCTTCTTTGACGTCTCGTGACGTCTCTTCTTCGGTCTCCGTCGTGGCGGCCGGAGCGTCGCTGGTTTCTTTCCTCTCGTCCTCCCTCAGGTCGCTGTCCTCTTGGCCTTTGTTTCTTTGACCAGGGGACGCACTTTGCGCTGCGTCTTTCGTCAAAGAGCAGAGCTGTTGGAACGAAGCACAATGTGCAGCACTTAATGGGTTGTTTTGTTGATGTGTGGTAAAATCTTTAAATGTCAGTTTTTAGAGTAATGAACTGAATCGGATTATCATTAAGCAGCATATTCTGCTAATAAAGTTTATAGGGCATGTGTTTTGTATTTGTATTTTATTACAAACAGGCCCCAACGACGACTTTGTATGTTGAAGTCTTTTTGCTATTTGTTCCATATCCTTAATATTTTCCAGAGCGCGCTGTAGTGGTTTCTTAATAATATCAAAATGCCGCTATGATTCCACTCAAAGCATAAATTACCGTCTGCGACTTTGCTACACAATAAGAATTGTGTCTCTGTATGAAATTGAACAGAAACTGGAAGAAAATATAAATAAACAATAACAGCACGCTATTGTAAAATTGTAAAAAAGGATTGTATCAGGGATTTGTATTGAAACGCCTGCTGAATATTGGTAACACCGGAATGACTTCAAATAGGCATGAAGCTCTTTTTTTTGCTCCTCTTTAATACTCAACAATCGATATGAAAATAGGAAGAAGCGATGCACTGGTGGGGCCGACGCCGACCACGCCGTGACCACAGGACGGCGGTCGAGTCCCACCTCTTCGGGGTCTGCGGGCCCGTTGCCGTCCTCCTCGCTCCCCTCATCCTTTTCCTTCGCTCTCTCTCCGTCGGCTCGGCCCTCGCTCTCCTCTTTGTCCTCCTCCTTGCCGTTCCTTTCCAGCTTGTCGAACGGAGCAGGGGTGGCTGCGCACAAACACAACTCCGACTTTACCCCGCCGTGCCTTTGCGCGGAGGCGCCCCCTGCTGGGGCTGCTGAACGTGTACGGTGGAGTTCGGGGGGGGGGGGGGTGCGTTGGCTTTACCTGGCTCCGAGGTGCAGGGCGTGTTGCTGTAGCTGGCCTCGGAGGTGGGCGTGGTGGTCTTCACGGCGGGGGACGAGGCCCTGGAGGACGACTTGTCCATGGCGACCTCGGGCTTGAGCTCCGGCAGACTCCACCGCCCGTTGATGTGCTCAAACTCCTGGATCTGGAGAGGAAACGAAGAGGCTCGGCACGCGCTCACTTTACCTAATAGTTTAGACAGTGGACCCCCCCCCCAACCCCCCCTGCGTAGATAGAAGACCAGGACGTCAGCACGTTTAAACATGTCGGACTGAAAACTGGATTGACGATGGTTTTAATTCATGCCTGGCAAACTGGAAAAAGACATTTTATTAAAGATGTCGGTTTGTCGACACCCTGCTGACTTTTAACTAAAAGCACAGCCTGTTTTTGCCACTATTCATCGTTTCAGCAACAGCTGTTAAATGCTTTGACTTCCTGTAATTGTCTCTCACTATACCAGAGCCCACCCCTTCACAGGGATGATGATGTGTATTTGTATCCTTTTAATGACGATGTTCATCTCTAATGCAAATTCGTCTGGCTTCTTATTGTCAAGCAATCGCAGGAAATGCATTTATTTTTCCCCATTTTGTTTCTGCTGGCCGTTTTTGCTAAACTGCACTTGCCACAAAATCCCCCACGGATCCAACAGGATCCCAACTTAAAATGTCACGGCTGACCCCAGCCTGACCTTCTTCTTGACGAGGGACATGACGCCGATGCGCGTGAGCACCGGCTGGCGGCACAGGCCCTCCCTCGGCACGCCGTCCGCGAACGTCTCCGCCCCGTCGGACACCGGCTCGCACAAGTGCCGCATGAAGAGGGACACGTAGGCTCTGGCGGAGGGAGAACGTGTGATCAGAGGACGGGCAGAAATGGGATTAGATTAGGATCAACCGTGTCTTTTCCCCTCACTTGAACTCCTTCTCGCTCTTGCCCCGGAGGTCTCTGACCAGCCACTGGGAGGAGAAAGCGTCCTGGGAGGGCATCCCCCAGCGCATCACCGCGTTCAGGAAGGCCTTCCGCTGGCGTGTGTTGAAGCCCAGCACCTGCCAAAGTCACGGGACATTTTACAGCGTTTTTTTAGGCTTTTTTTATTATTCTGGACTTCAAATGAAAACGTCAGGATGTTGAGAGGTAATTTTCCTGCAGACATCCGTATGTTTCTCAAACTGCCAAGGCCGTTTTCCTTTTCTTTTCTTTTCTTTTTTTTTTTTGCCTAATAACATCAAAATAAACTTTGATTCCTCGCTTGGCCATCACACACACGTCCAATATTATCAAGATGATAAATGATCTTGGAAGGCGCCGGGCTGCCGGAGAAGTAAAAGCCTTGTTGCCGTTCTCCAATTTGAGATTGTTAGAAAAATATCTAAGTTCAGTTTAGAACAAAGCTGACAGATTCCAGCAACGTCACAATAAAACACAGACAAAATGAAAGCAGAAGGAGTTTCAGAGAGCTGTTCAAACCTCCAGGTTGCCTCCCACTCTGGCCAGAAGAGGAGGCAGAGGTTTGTCCTTCTCGTTCCTCAACTGGCGACGCGAGTGCCTCCGACCTGGTAACCGGGGGCAACAGACGGCACGGTGTTAAAAACACACCATGGGGTCAAACGTGTTTTCCTGAGGTTTACGCTGAGTGTAAAGAATGTAAAACCTCTGAAAAACAGTCTGAAGTTCAGACGGAGGAGGCGGTTGGCGGTTTTGCATTTCTTGGACGATCTGACGTGTTCGACCCTGCCAGGCGACTGAATCAAGTTGAACTCGCAATAATTCAAGACAGACCTAAGTGTGTGTGTGTCACAATTTTGTTTTTGTACTCCTCACCTTCCGGCCGGTCGTCGAAGTCCTCGTCCTCCTCCTCGGAGCCCACCGAATACTCGGACTGGTTATCTGAAATGTCAGCATGCCACTCTGAAACAGCACACGGTGGTCGGTCAATAGGCCGGGCCCATTCCCTCCCACTGTGCAAGCAAGTAACCTCAGACATCACGTCCTGCTCATTCTCACGATTAATTCCCAAAACAGCCGGCGGGAGACTCCCCCTCTCACTCCAGCCGTCCCACGGGTCCGTCCGTCCCTACCTTGGTCTTCCTGAGCCGCGTCGTTGTAGTTGACGGGCTTGCGGTTCCTCTTGCCTTTGCCCAGTTTGCTCGCCAGGTCCTCCTGCTGCTGCTCGTAGTGGTGCCGCAACAGCTTCTCCCAGTAGTCCGGATCCACGTTCTCCTCCTGCTTGATGATCTCCCGCTCGACCTCCTCGATCTGAAAAGTACACGGTGGTTTCCGGTCAGCTCGATCAGCCAGATAATCCCAAAGGAACGCGGTTGCTATGGGGAGGTTTTACAAGCAACATTAGATCTGTCGTCCACCTTGTCCTCCTCTCGGACCATGTACTGGGCCACTTTGAAGGAGCTGAGGTACTCGTTCATGTTCTGGACGTCCGAGTCGTCGGTGGCGTCCTGGCTGCGGTCCAGCAGCCTCTCGATGGCCACGTTGTCGTAGTGGATCACGCTGCCCTCGTCCTCGACTTTGTCCCCCGAGCTGTTCTTCATGCCTGCCACGCAAAAAGGAGGGTTGGGGGGGGGTAGACCATTTGTCCCGTTCTATTCGATGAGCTGCACAAATAAAGGCTCCAAATCGCCGCCTCTTTACGCCCCGACTGGAGGCCCTAAGTCCTCACGTTCTAACTCGTCCTTGAAGAGCTCCTCCGTCCCGAACTTGAGGATGTCGTCCAGCTCCTGCTTGCTCATGGAGCCGGCCTTGGAGCCGAGGCCCGGCCGGACCACCAGGTGGGTCAGCATCATCTTCCTCTTGGCCACCTCGGTGATGCGCTCCTCCACGCTGGCTCGCGTCACGAAGCGGTAGATCATCACCTTGTTGGCCTGCCCGATTCGGTGCGCTCGACTGAACGCCTGCAGATGACAAAAAAGACACACGTGGACGAGGTTTAACGGACGCTCGGTGCGGGTTTCCCTTCCTCTGGGCCGGACGCCGGTCGCTCGTCACCTGAATGTCGTTGTGAGGGTTCCAGTCCGAGTCGAAGATGACCACCGTGTCGGCGGTGGCCAAGTTGATGCCCAGACCTCCCGCTCGGGTGGAGAGCAGGAAACAGAACTGACAAGCACCAGGAGCTGCAGGCGGAGACACGGGGAGGGCAGATTACAAATTACAGGATTCCATTGACACAGACAGATGAACAGGTTTCCCTTCAGTTCAGAAGAAGAAGTCTAATTTCTGCTGACTACAAACAAAGAGCTGCAATATCTCAGATTTCCCAGTTTGAGTCTTCCCACATCTTTCCCCCCCGTCTCACCGTTGAAGCGGTCGATGGCCTCTTGTCTCAGCGCCCCGGTGACGCTCCCGTCGATTCGTTCGTACTTGTAACCTTCGTGGTCGAGGAAATCCTCCAGTAAATCCAGCATTTTAGTCATCTTTAAACGGAGGAGAGAAAGAAACCGGTCTGTTGTGTGCATATTCCTCTTTACTAATGCACAGCTGAGCCTCCTGCAGGCGTCACAGGACAGAATTCAACATCTGCGAAGGGAGAAGCCCAGCGTGTGTGTGTGCTTAAGAATCTTTTTGTGCGTCCGTGTGAGCGTGCACCTGTGAGAAGACCAATACTCGGTGCCCCTGGTCTTTCAGTTTCCTCAGCATCTTCTGCAACAGCGTCAGCTTCCCGGAGGCCTTGGTGAGGGCCGACCCCTCGTAAGCGCCGTTTGGGGTTTTTTGGGCTTCCTACACACACACACACACACACACACACACACACACACACACACACACACACACACACACACACACACACACACACACACACACACACACACACAGACACAGACAAACACGCCACAAGGAACAAATTACACCTATGACTAAAAGCACTGAAAAGCACTACTGAACGTCACCACATGGTCACGCTGTTCTGCAACTTCACGACAGATGGAAGCAGATGGTTTGCGAGAAGCCAATTGAGTTTTTGTTCCCGGCGTTGCGATGAGAGCGTGCGCGTGTGTGTCTGAAGGTTCTCACGATGGAGGCGACGGGGAAGAGGTAGGGGTGGTTGCAGCACTTCTTTAGGTCCATCATGATGTTGAGCAGGGACACCTGGTTTCCTCCACCTTTCGAGTTCAGCGCCTCAAAGTTCTTGGTCAGAATCAGCTTGTAGTATTTCCTGTATTTAAAAACACCTTCCTTGTAATAATCAATAATCATGTTCATGACGTGTTTTAAAATGCAAGGTAATTTTTAAAAAAACGTCGTACTTCTGCATGGGGCTCAGCTCCACCCTGACGATCAGCTCGGTCTTGGAGGGCATGTTCTTGAAGACGTCGGCCTTCAGCCTCCGCAGCATGTGAGGCCCCAGCAGGTCGTGGAGCTTCTTGATCTGGTCCTCCTTGGAGATGTCGGCAAATTCCTCCAGGAAGCCTTCGAGGTTGCTGTAAGGAGAGACGGCCTGGGTGAAGGACTGGTAATGGTCCTGGTAATACAGTTATTAGAATTACTGTCTGACCATCAATGAAAGAGGGTCCGGTATCATATCGAAGAATACATGATGATTCTTGCATGCGTGGAGACCTACTTGAAGCGGTTTGGTGTGAGGAAGTTGAGCAGGTGAAACAGCTCCTCCAGGTTGTTCTGGAGAGGCGTTCCAGTCAACAGCAGCTTGTGGTCGATCTTGTAGTCGTTCAGACGCCTGAAAAACTGAAACGACGAGAAAACTCCCGGTCAAACAAACTGGAACCCTTTCATACCTGTTTAACGCTATTATTCGTTTTGCTCATTGGTTGTGAAGGCACCACTACATCAGATGGCTTTATTGTTCTGTGATGCCAAAATGATGTTTAAAATACAGTGTTGTCATTACATAGTTCGCCCACCAGAGATCGCTGAAACGTTTGTTTTTCAACTGCCTTTTTAAACCACCAATTTAAGGGCTCTTTATCACAAATGTTGGATAACAAATGACACAATGGGACTGATTCCTCCACGTACACACACACACGTATGGCGACAGTACCTTGGACTGGTTGTTCTTGAGGCGGTGAGCCTCGTCCACCACCAGACAGGCCCAGTCGATGGACTTGAGCGCCGTCTGGTCGATGGTCACCAACTCGTAGGAGGTCAGCAGCACGTGGAATTTGATCAAAGCCTCTCTCTGCGGGAAGGGGGAGCAGGACGGGATGTTCAGCTACATGTGATGATTATTTCATTCTTTGTTTTGTGCAATACACAAAACTATATGAATTGCTACTCCTGAATACATCTTCACATGTGTGAAACAGTCTCAGTCAGACTTTTCTCGCAATCTTAAACAAAGTTAGTGTAGAATTACGCCTCCCTCCCTCCTCACCCTCAGTTTGAAGGCCTTCTTCCCGCCTTTGACGGCCATCTCGTCGAAGGAGAACTCGTTCTCCCGGATGACGGCTCGGCTGTCTTTGTCCCCCGTGTACGTCACCACGTAGAAGTCGGGCGCCCACATCTCGAACTCCCTCTCCCAGTTGATGATGGTGGAGAGCGGAGCGCTGACCAGGAACGGACCCTTGGTGTGGCCCTGAGGGGGACGGGGGAGGAGCGACAGTTCACGTGGCGTTTCGGCGAGAAGGGGGAGGGATAACAGGACTGCGGGGAGTCGGGGGGGAGGGTCCTCCGGTACCTCTTTGAAGAGCGAGTAGAGGAAGACGATGGTCTGGATGGTCTTGCCGAGGCCCATTTCGTCCGCCAGGATGGTGTCCGTGCCCTGAGCCCAGGAGAACCGGAGCCAGTTGAGACCCTCCAGCTGGTACAAGTGCAACGTCCCGCCAGTCGACGTGACGAAGTCGGGCTGCTCGTCGTATTTTATCGTGGGCTGGACGGACCGAGAGGAAAGAAAGGGGGGTACGTGAGTCTGAAATAAGAAGCAGAAGCAGCTCATGGTTCCAGAAACCGCAGTTTTACTCACATCAGTGACCGGAGAGGCGGGAGACTCCTCTTCGCCCTCCTGGTTCTTGCTCCTCATCCTCCTGGGTTTGTCCGGGTCCTCCTTCATTATTGCATCTCTGTTGGGGTGAAAGTAATTTCATTCCCGCAGGAGAACCGCCGCAGCCTCTTGTGCAAAGAGTTGCTGCATCTCCATAAGACGGTCCTACCTGTGTCTCCAGTAGTTGCCCTTGTAGATTGCAAAGTCGGGGATGTCCAGGTCATCCCTCTCCCAGGTGCACTGGTCGTAGGTCAGGTCTCTCCATTTGACCAGGTAGTGGTACGTCCCCTTCTTATCCACGCTGGCCGGGGCGGACACATACGGCACAGAGTTGGAATGGTTGGGCTTCGACCAAAAACTCAATTGATACAATGATTGCGTCGGCTTCTTATACAAAATCTATGTTTTTTTTCCACGGCCGCTTATATATAAATAATAATCTGCGCCTGGCGGTGGCAAAAACCAGAGTTATGGACGTGATTATTTACACAGCAGCTCGGTTTGCTTTCACTGAATAATGGACAGTACTGAACGTGTTGTCCCCATTAGTCACTTAGACCAGAGGTGTAAACAGGGTCCTGTTCATTTCATCTCTCCAGTTCTCCATCATTTCAAAGGGCAGAAGACAAGTCGTGAGTCGGATACCTGTGGTTGATGATGCGGTGGATCATCATCCACTCCGGCTTGATGCCATATTTGTAGTACTTGTCATCCAGCTTGGCGTACTGGGGGTCCTTGGCCCTCCTCTTCTCGCTCTTCCCCGCCCCGTTCTCGTCCTCGCCGCCCGACCCGTAATCCAGGCTGGGAGGCTCGTCCATGTCCGTCTTCCTCTGGTAGTTTCTGTACATCACAGAGTGGAAGATCTCAAGCTGGAAGAAGGAAGAGGGACAGAAACATTTAAAAAAAAGAGGATTTTAACCGTTGAGGGTCACTTTGCGTCCGTCCATCCGCTTCTCTCTGACCTGCAGCTCAGTGATCCAGGTGCAGTGCCAGTAGGACTGCCCCGTCAACTTGACAAAGAACTCCCTCTCGGCCCTGCCCTTCATGGGTGGCGGCGGGGGGGCGTCGGGCGCGGCGTCGGGGGCGGGGGGGACGGGGATGGGCAGCGGCGGATCGCCCCATCGCCAGTGGAGGATCTTCTGGACTCGCCCTTTGATTAGCTGACACTGGGGGGGGGGAGAAGACTCCGATGTTTATTATCTGTGAACCTGACGGAGAGTCGATTTTGCCTTCATGAGCTTTTCTGATGCAACGTATTCAAATAGACTCGGTAAAGTGATAAAAATGGAGACTTTTAAACGGGATCCGGGGGGGGGGACACACACAAATCTCAATCATAGTTATTTTGAGTTACACTAGAATGTTGAAAACTAAAAATTCCTCAAAGTGCTGTCGCGTTTCCTCAAACAATAGACGACGACTTGGAGGAACATAAGCGACACGTCACACAGTCAGTGAAATATTATTTCATTTCAAATGGATCATTGAAAGAAAATGCTTCATGCTTTGAAAAGAGAGCAAATATAAAAATTCTTCTTCTGAAAAACTGCTTATATTAAACTTTTTTTAATCTTATCTGACCAAACAAAGAGGAAAAAAGGAGCCGATGCGTTTCTCTCTTTTGTTTTTATGCTGTCCCAGCATGAAAAAGTTAATTGTGTGAATATCAGCAGGCGTAAACAATGCGCTGCACTCACCGTGCAGCGCGGACACAGCCACTCCCCGTTGGGGATCTCGGGCAGCGGCGGGTTCAGGCAGTGGATGTGGTAGGAGGAGGTGCAGGCGTCGCAGCACAGCAGCTCCCCGCCGTCTTTGCACACGCGACAGAACTCCATGTGGTCGTCGTCGTCGTCCTCCTCCGCCCCCAGGGCGCTGACCTCGGATATCACCCTGTCCTCGGCGTCCTCCTCGAAGTCCTCGAAGTCCTCGTCCTTCGCCTCCCACTGGATTCCCTCTTTTTCCTGGGAGAGAAGGGACGGGAGTAAAAGAAAAAGGACCGTGGCGAGCACGAGTTTAAATTTGGAAGAAAGGGTTGCAAATCGGCGGCCCGGGGGTTTGTTTTGTGACGCAAAAAAGAAAGGTACAAGAAACGAGTCCGTCAATAGGAAGCGGGCGCGTCCTCGTGGTACTCACGCAGTGCGGGCAGCTCCACTTGCCCTCGGGGGCCTTCTCCAGCTCGGGCTCCAGGCAGACGAGGTGGTAAGCCCGAGGGCAGGTGTCGCACAGGATGATCTCGCCGCCCTGCTGGCACACCTCGCAGAAGTCCTGATGATCCGTCTCGTAGCCGTCCCCCTCCTCTTCACCTGCGACTGGGTGGGGACGAGCGCAGGGAGACAGAAACGCGCGCGCGTGACAATGCGTCGGTTGGACGTGTTGTGCGATCCGTGACCCCGGGGTCGCGCCCGTACTTGCGGTCTTCTTCTTCTTTTTGGCGGGGCGCCCGCGCTTGTTCTTCTTGACGCGGCCGGAGCTGTCGGAGCGAACGGAGGAGCTGTGGACGCTGGAGTCCTCCTGCTCGGACTCGTCCTCCTCCACGTCCTCGCTCTGACCCGGACGGGGCAAAGGCAAAAAGGGGCGGTGAGCGCCAGTCGGCATGAAGGGAGAGCCCGCACGGGAAGCTGTGGACTCACCGAGCAACTCTTCTTCCTCTTGGCGCCGATGGGCGACAGCTTGATGCGAATGGGCGCCATCTTTTTAGCCTTCGCTACGGCCTTTTTCTTCTCCGGGACTCGAGAACCTTTGCTGCGCTTTTTGAAGCCGGGGCCTGGAAGAGGAAAAAGGTCACGTGATTCATTCGTAACACGTGAACGACAGAGACGTGCGCGCATCTTAACAGGGGGGGGGGGGGGGGAATGGGGTCAAACTAAAAACACCTTTGCCCTCTTTCCTCTTGGCCTTTCTGATTGGCGGTGGAAGCCGCCGCCGCCGGGGTGGGGGCCGGGGCCGCTCGGGCAAGGCGCTGGCGGCGGTGACCTGCTCGGCGACGGCGATTGCTGCGGCCGCGGCCGCCGCCGCGACGGCAGCGGCGTTGCCCTTGAAGGGGTTGTTGAGCTGACTCCCTCCACTTGGCCCCCAGGATGGTCATCATCTTCGACATGGGGATCTTAGGATTCTTCCTGGCGATCATCGGCCTGCGAGGCGAGAGTTTCCCCCGATTCTATGAGCTAATGCACATTTTCATTGTACACACGGGTGCAACGAATTATTTAAAGGAACGGCGCACCTGAGAAAGGCACAAAGACTCTTGCAGACTAATGTGACCAGATTTAACATTAAATTCTGTGTGGCAGCAAAACGGTGGAATCCCTGAAAGTACCTGACTAAATGTACATAGTAAATGTGTGTACAGAATTGGAAATGCAACTCCCCTTTTCCATAAATTGCCAAGTTTTCTGATCCTAATCAACCAATTACCAATCACCCCTAATTCAACCCATGTTTTCGGCACCTCGTGAACTGGCTGAAGGCTTTGTAGTTGGTGAGTTCCCTGTAGTCTTCCTCCGTGAAGGTATGATCAACATCCTCCAGACCCCAATCCTTCGCCAGCTGCGCCGACGTCTTCTGCTCTATCGGCTGCTGAGGACAAAACAACAACAAAGAAAACACCAATCAGAAGGCAGAGATAACGGACTTGTGAAGGATCAGGATTATTCTCTACCTTGACTGTCTCCTCCTGGCTGCTGTCTCGGTCCCCGTCAACTTTTTTCTTCTTCTTGGTTTTCTTCTCCTTCCTTTCTTTATGCTTCTTCTTCTTCTTCTTCTCTCCGGACCCATAGTCGCTGGGCGCGCTGTCCGAGTTCTCGCCGTAGTCTCTTTCTCTGTCCGAGTCTCTCTCTACATCGCTGGCCTGCACAGAAGACGAGAGAGGAAGAGGGTAGTTCATGCAAAGCGAACTCGGTAAAAACAGAAGCGTGAGAAACTTACAATCTTCTTGCGTTTTCTCGCTTTGACCGGTTTCCCGTCTTTGTCTTTCTTCTTTGTGTCCTTCTTCTTCTTCGGTCGCCCTTTCTTCTTGCACGGGACGTCTGGTGTCACTGCCTCTTCGTCTGGGAAAAGAGGAGAGACGGGGGAGTTACGGACGGCGTGGAAGAGGGACAGCGATTACGATCAGATGAGCACTGGCCCTTCTCAACCACCCTCAGCTAATCCCCACTGAACACAATTACACACAACAAGAGCTGCATGACCTCTGACCCCGTCTGAATTGGGACACATGCTTAATTAGATACAGTGGTCTGACCGCTGTTTAGTAGATCTGACAGCCCGGGTTGGGGCTTCCCTCAGATGGGGATAATTGGTTTATTGGCCACGCAAAAGGTGTGAGCAGCACCTTGTTCTTGTAAATAAAGGTGGAAAACTCCCATAAATAAGTCCTGATCGGTAAAAAAAAAAAAAAACAGAATTAAAAATACCCCTCCTCCCCTTCTCCACACCCCCACCGGTATAAAAAAAACAAACCCGGTCGTCCGTGCCGCGCGCAGCCGCCGAAGACGCGCCCAGAGGCGGCGGCGGCGCGCACGCAGGGCACGGGGATCCGGAGGCCGCCGCCGGCGGGACGGACGGTGCGCCGGAGTGGAACGACTTCTCTCCCCGCTCTGCTGCTCCCACACGGGGGGGGGGCGACCACCTTAAGAGAGGTCGTGCGGAGGTTAAGATCCTTCACGGGAGTCTGGCACGGCACGGCACGGCGCGGCACGGAGTCCAGCCAATTAACACAGACAAAGCAACGAAGGACTCCTGTGATATCTTGATTCAATTATTATTATTATAATTATTATTAAATTGATATGACATTTTCCCTTTGAGGCTCCGCTACGGTGTCTGCGTCCAAACCCCAAATACCACCGTGAATGTTTTCTACGATGGAACTGCGACCTTAAGGCTGCTGCACCGCTTCTCGTGTCTTTTCTTTTTTTTCCACTGTTGCAGTGTGGTCAACCAACCACTACTTTCTGCTCCCTTCACTTTCACTGCGGCCCACCAGCAGCTCCACGGCCACGGAAACTTCCAGAATGCCAAAAGCATTCAGCTCAAAGCAACACAAAAATAAATAAATAAGAACAAAACACGAATAACTCCTTGCTGTAGTGGACGTGAATGCATGCGATACACATAGCATGCGTGCTAAGCTAGCAGTCGCACCTCTCCGTCCCGGAGGGCGCAGCCCGGGTAGGGGGGTGAGGAAGGGGGCAATTCTTCTGACAGGCACCGGGGGGGTTCACTTCACCACCCTGCTCCCACTCCTCTCCCAATGGGTGTCACGTGTATTTGTAGCCTCCGGCCAGGGGAGTCCATGTTTTGCCAGTTTGCGTGTGTATTTTTTTTTAACCCTTCAGGGCGACCTTTCTCTGCCCCCCCCCCTCTCTCCTTGTATGTGTGTGTGTGTTTCAAGGGTGACAAACCAGAACTCGCGGTGTTGGAGAAGGGACTTTGGGCTGCGGCAAGTTTGGTGTGAACTTTGTTGCCCGGATGAGCCCGGAGGAGACGAGGAAGTGGAGCGCGCGCGCCCTCCATAAACGACGACACACGTCTGTGGCATCTAGGAGCGGAGTTATGGTTTCTGTTTTTAAAGCGGGCCGCCGCCCCCTGCGCTCTCTTTAAGCTGCAAACATGGCAACTAAATCAACATATACGCACAATAACGGGGGCGGAGGGGGGGCAGCGGAGGAGGGGGGGGGGGTCAAAGCGGTTTAAGGTGGAGAAACGTCTCTCTATTTTTTTTTTAATAAAAAATAAATCTGTTCCACTAAGTAATTATGTCTCTATTTGGAATGCGCGCACACGAGTCCTCGCTGATTCGTGCGGTACCGGACCGAACCGGACCGGACCGAACCTGCACCTCGTACGAAGGGGGCCACCGAACTGCGGGTTCCGGCTACTTTCTGGCATGCTACGGTTCTCCCAAAATAAAACCGCTAAGAAGAGTGCGTGCGTGTGTGTGTGTGTGTGTGTGTTTTTTTGTCCGGGCTATGCGCGCGCCCGACCGCTCCGTTCTTCGTTACCGTACCTGGCGCTGCAGTTTCCCGACGCGCCGCCGGCGAGTTTATGTCGCTTGCGTTCTCGTCCAGGTCTCGGTCGCCGTCGTCGTCGTCGTTGTCGTCTTCATCAAAATCTCTTCGCCCGGAGTTAACCACCATGCCCTCGTCTTCCCCACAGGACCGGAGAGGAGAGGACATTATATTCCCGTCATCGGAGCCGTCCTCGTATTCAAAGAAACCGTATTCTTGCCGCGAATGTGTGATATTTATTTAATATTCAAATCGGCACGGGGGAGAAAAAAAAGTGGGGGGCGTTTTGAAATATTTTACACTAGGCAGAGCAACAAAGATGGCCGCCCTCTTATATTTATTTTTTAACAACCCCCCCAATAAGAAAAAAAATCCCCTTACATAAAAAATGGCTGACTATATTATTTCAGAACGCACCCCCCTCCTCTTTTCTCTATCTCTCTCCCTCTCCCCTTCTCTCCGCGAGCCCCCTCCCTCCTTAAAAACGTACACATTGTTACAAGAGAAAGAGGCGTGTGACTGCGTGTAAGTTACATTGTTGCTTGTTTGTTACTTTTTTTTGTGACCCCCCCACCCCCCCTCCCTCACTCGCCCATTTCTCCAAGTGCGGATCAGACAGACCCGCCTGGTGTCAGTGTCACTCGATACATCTCCCTCTCTCTCTCTCCCCCTCTCTCCCTCTCTCTCTCTCTCTCTCTCTCTCTCTCTGCATTGCAGAGCCCCACACAAATCTATCAAATATGGCCACCTTATATTCTCCGGAGCCCCCACCGTTGTATAAAAATTATTTTGGAGCAGAAGTGCGCGCGTGCCTGCGTGCGTGCGCGCGTGTGTGTGTGCGTGCGCGTGTGTGTGTGTGTGTGTGTTGGGGAGGGATTGAGAGAGGGGGGTTGGGAAAATCTGCCGCAGCCATGCCCAGACTTACATCAGATTGTATTGCTTAAAAATTAACTACTTGTGGTGGGGATGGAAACAAGTCAGCGAATGCAAACTCCATCCCCTCCTCCACGAAAGCTGCACGGCTCAAAGCTCGGCATCCACCCTCCGGTGCACGGCTTCGAAACCTGCTTGTGTTTTTATTTAACTCTTACTGTAACAGGCTGTGTGGACTGGATGGCAGAAGGGCCACGGGAATCCCAAAAGCTGAATGAATGAAAAGCCTGAGTAATAATGGACAATGCGCTTAAATGAGTAACAGCAATGCAATAAATATATTTCTCATATGACTAGTGCCTCCTCGTCTTAAATCCCACGCATGAACGTATCAGAGGTTTATTCGCAGGAAGCTGCGCTGACATCACCTCACGGCCTTAATAAGATGTGTTTTTAACCGTCTTTATAAAAAAATGTGTTGAAATGCTCCTTTAAGTTACGTTACTGATGACGTCATAGCCAATATTCGTCAGTCGAGGTTAATCAGTTGTGCCAAGTCGAGCACTGAATGTTTCTTTTTCAGTTTTTTAAGTAAATCTTTTGAAACAGACTTGTTGTCTGAAGACTGTAATAATACTGTAACAGTATGGTAATCAACGGGGGGGGGCGGAGGAAAGATTGCCGCTACCGTGCGTATAACAGCAGTGACAAGCCGGGAAAAGGGACTGAACAAAGTGTAATTCCTCCGGATAACCTTTAAGAATGAGGCGGACCAGTATACGACCTGGAGGTCACCCCCTGCTGGCTGGAAACCAGAGGCCCAGCGAGAGGATCAATCAGTGAGCTGTTACGTCCAGTCGCTAGGGGGAGACGGACGCATACATAAACCCAGACTTTTTGTTGGGTGCAAAAGAATATTTATTCTTGGAGTCAAGAAACAAACACAAGAGCGTATGAACTGAGGGAAGGGGTCGGGGGTGCCGTGTAAATCAAAAACCGAATAGAACAAAAGGAGGCCTTCAGAAGGAAGACTATGCCAAACCCAACAAGTAACAAAAACCCTTACTTATATTAACCAAAACATAAAGATACATCCCAACGGCACCCCTGCTCCTAATGTGGCTAACACACGTTCTGTGAGGTGCAGTGTTTCAGTGGTGCCTGGCCCTGGCCCTCTTCCTCGCTCTCACAGTAATTCTCTGGATCTGGTAGCCGCCCCCAGCTGCAATTCGTTTGGCCTTTTAAGCCTGGCGCGCACTCCAATGCCCTCTTCTGGTTGGCTGGGAGTCTTCCAGGCGGATCCGCTTCGGTCTTCCCTCTGCGTCGTGGGAGGTTGCAGCCTGACTCCCTGTTCACTTGAGGTTGCCGTCGGCAGCCGTAACAGAGCATATAAGTTGTTATATAAAGACTTTTATTGTGTTTTTACAAATTTAGTGCGGATATGTGTGGACCGTCTCTCAATACTGATCGAATCTCACATTTTATCAGTATTGGCGGCTGCAGTAAGTCTGCTTTTCCACGACCAATCACACATTCACTCTAAATGGTCATTTGCATATTCCAGAATGCCTCGCTGAGACTTCTTGGGGAAAGAACCTTCCACCACCTTCCATGTTCCATGCTCCATGTTCCATATTCCATGTTCCATGTTCTGTTCTCCACAAAAAGAGAACGCACGCTGGCAGATTCAGTCAGTTAGACCTGGTAGCTGCACACACACAGACAGTTTTGTCAAGCCCAAATTGTGATAGAGACGTCCACGATGGGTTGTCTTTGCAGTAAACAAGCTCAAGGTAAGTGAGGAATCCAGACAGATGTCTGCGTGTTGGTGTTGATGATTTATTGGACATTGGCTCTAATGTGGCTACCTTGAGATAAACCTCTAATTTCTACTGTTGGGACATTTTCTTACGGTTTCTTTTGAGTCTGAGCCGTGAAAGGATAAAATAAGACCGGTTTAATGCAGTTAGTGACTTTAGTTTACTACAAAATGAATGTTCCCTTCTGTTTTTCTCATCTGCAGATGAAAATACGAGGGTGGATGAAGTCATATCATCCGAAGAGCTCAACCCTCTTCGAGCAATGCCGGAGCTCAGAAGCGATTCTGCCGAGGGGGGACCAAGCAGTGAGAAGAGACGAGTCACCGAGGACCTTGAGGAGGAGCCCACCATCGAGCCTCAAGCAATGCCGAAGCTCAGATGCGATTCAGTGTCCACCTCAGCATTCACTGGTAAGCTGGTCGTGTGAAGACACCGTTTTGTTAGTTTGAGGGGTTTTCTGTCCACGTTGGTGTTGTGACTGTCAACAAACTGACCATCCTCTGGGGTTTTTTTTTTCCTCTTCTCTAGCAAGCTGCAACACCTCTGTGGAGGTCGTTGGCAAGAGAGGCGTCCAGAGGAAGGACGCCGATGCTGAGGGGGGACCGAGCAGTAAGAGGAGACAGGTCACAGAGGACCTTGAGGAGGAGCCCACCATCGAGCCTCAAGCAATGCCGAAGCTCAGATGCGATTCAGCGTCCACCTCAGCATTCACTGGTAAGCTGGTTGTGTGAAACAGCTGCTGGAGATGCTTCCCATCATCAGTTCGCTGAACACGGGGGTTTAGACTGTGGTGGGACCTCGGTATCGGCCTTGTAACAAAACTCATCCCGACATTGTAACCCGAGCGACTTCAAATGGAAAACAACCAACCTACGATGTTGGGCGATATTGAGAAGACCCGTATGTGAAGTTAAATTGTTAATCGAGGCGGCACACATGAAATTTAGAACAATTATTCCGACGAGTTGTTGAGGTGTTTTTCCATTATTGAGGGATTCCCTTGAAGAAGATTCAGCCGAGCAGAAAAGACCCCAGTTTCTCGTTTGGTTTGAGGGGTTTTCTGTCCACGTTGGTGTTGTGACTGCCAACAAAATGACCATCCTCTGGGTTTTTTTTTTTTGCTCGTCTCTAGCAAGCTGCAACACCTCTGTGGAGGTCGTTGGCAAGAGAGGCGTCCAGAGGAAGGACGCCGATGCTGAGGGGGGACCGAGCAGTAAGAGGAGACAGGTCACAGAGGACCTTGAGGAGGAGCCCACCATCGAGCCTCAAGCAATGCCAAAAGCAATGCCTGTCATGTGAAATCCAATTTAACTGTGAAATAGGAAAAAAATAAAAATTAAATGAAAAATTGAGTTTAAATTTTCGTGTTAATCCTCAGTGTGACATTACGTAACCCCCCGTTTCCGGCCCCTTTAAAAAAACGGACACACACACACACACAGATAAAATTATATAGTAAGGCACTCAAAGATATATGCACCACACACACAAACATATAGATAAAATGACATACACTCAAATATATATACAAACATAGAGATATACACAAAGACGCACTAACACACATAAACATATATAGATACATACCCACTACACAAACACACATAAATATATACATACCCACTACACAAACACACATAAATATATACATACCCACTACACAAACACACATACATATATATACATAGCCAATATATATATATAATCATGCATTAAAACATGACTATTTATGTTTACATCGTGCTCCTAATGGCATTTGAAAGATACTGTTAGGGACCTGGTTTTATTAACAGTTTTTACCCCAGTCTGTGCTTTTGTTTTTGCTTGTTTTGTTTTTCCACCTATAGTTTCCACCTGTGTGTTCCGCCTCGGCCTCTCCCACGTGCCCAGCTGTGGCTCATTCCGGGGATCACTGGTGACGAGCAAAAGGCTCCTGCTTTCAGAGGCTCGTCGTCAGTCGGTCGCAGTACCCAGGCTGGTCTCAGGTGCCGTTGATACAGAGATACAGCAGCTAAACCAGTTTATTCATGTTTTGGTTTGTTTTTGTGTCAGACCCACGGAGTACCACGGGGTGCACGTAACCTGCTTTTGAGTTGGACTGTGAGTATGGTGTCGGGCCTCGGGTTTCCACACCAGACCCTGCTTGAGCCACCCCAGACCGCCAGACGTCGGTGGAGTTTCCCTCCAGACTCCAGTTGAGCCAGAGGAGCGCTTTCTGTTTCCCGTATTCCCCTTGTTTGTTTTTTATGAAAAATAAAAGTCATTTTGGCTGAAAATCCAAGGCTGCTGTGCGTGTGCTTTTGGGTCCACCAAATTCACCCCACCCCCCTAAGAAATACCACCACAACGGCAGAAAAAGAGTCTGTAACGCAGCTGTCATGTGAAATCCAATTTAACTGTAAAATTGAAAAATGAAGTTTAAATTTTCGTGTTAATCCTCAGTGTGACATTACGTAACCCCCCGTTTCCGGCCCCTTTAAAAAAAACGGATATGCGGTTTCCGGATTGGCTGGTCCGTCGGACAAATTGTTCCGTAAGCAAATGTAGGAGAAGAAGAAGGGTTATGGATACAATGATTGAGGAAAATGGGCCTTCAACACACGTATGTACATCCCCGATTGTTTATTTACGTTTTAATATTTACTGTGACCGTTCACGTTGTTTGACGTTTTGTGACGGGGAGAACGTCATGAATTAAACACTTATTATACAATGCTTCCATTGGAGCTAACGTTAGCCGGTAGCTATCGAATTTAGCTAACACAGCTGTCAGCCGTTTGGTTAAACTAACGTCATGTGACGTTAGGCCGTATTACTTACCAGACACGATACATAACTATACAGTCTAAATATAGGCATGTGTGTGCAGTTTATAGACAAGTGCAGAAGGCCACTGTTCATTCGGGTTCGCATTGCTTTACGGTGTTGACGCTGTCGTCCAGGTGCAGCCTGAGGTGTCCCCGTCGTTCCGGGCCCGGCAGAAGCTAGATGGGCTCCTGAACAAAAACATGAAGATCCGCATGACGGACGGACGGACTCTGGTGGGGCTTTTCCTCTGCACGGACCGAGACTGCAACGTCATCCTCGGGTCAGCGCAGGAGTTCCTCAAATCCACGGGTAAATGTACTGAAGCTGGCCGAGCAATGAACGGCCTTTATTCCCTCGTGCAAAGCTCACTGAGCGACTGAGGGAGGAAGATGCTGCAGCTGCCTCACCAGCAGCCAGGTCTCCCTGAAGCTGGACAAACACAGTGATGAGCACACATCGCCGAAGGACAGGAGCAAAATCCGATCTAAATGTGAAAGTTAGTCGGTTCAGCTCATATTCAATCCAACATGAACGTGTTATAAATTCACATTTTCTCAAAAGATAAAAACCTTTTTAACATATCTGCAAAGTCCAAATATATCCACAATTATCTCTTTTGAAAAATAGAAACCTGTAAAAGGTTGAGGATTGATTCACAACAAGCAACGGCGTAGATAATGACCATTGGGAATTTTAAAATTCAGGGTAAACTATTTCTGTTTCAATCCATTCTCTCCTCAGACATGTTCTCCCAGGGCGAACCCAGAGTCCTGGGCCTGGCCATGATCCCCGGCCACCACGTGGTCTCCATCGAGGTGGAGGCGGACAGCCTGGAAGACACGCAGGGATTCAGACCTCGCTATTGAGGACACACTGTGCGACTGTCTCTCGGAGGGACCGACGTGCCGGTGAGCGCAGAGGGGAGCGCACGTCTTCGTTAAGGGGATCTTATGCAGGACTCCCGGGGTCAATATTCTGGATTTTGGCATTTCCACGTTTGCAGCATCTGAAGCTGTACAATACTGTGTGTCTGTGAGAGAGAATGGATGTGTGTAGTAATGATGTTTCAGTGTACTGAGAGCATCTTTTGGTTAATGTTTTACAATAAATACAACAATTTGAGACCTTGTGCTTTGTTGTATAAAGTTTGTTTCAGGAGCTGTATGCTTTCTAAAGGACAACTCCACCGATTTTACAGGTGTTTGGGGATTAATACAACAACAATTGAAGACTGAACTCTTCGCTGAGTTGAAGACTGAAAGTTGAAGTAGATCAAACACCGGGTTTGGAGTTAGAGTGGAATGAACAGCATTGTGGGTAATGTAGGCCCCACATTTTGAAATGTGTGGAATAAAACCGAGTAGATTGGTTCAATATTTTAATACGCTGGAGCATGTCAGCTGGTTTAGTTTGGCAACAGTAAAATCGATGCCACTAACCGCAGAAAGTCCTAAAAAGACATAGAACCAGAAAACAAAACCGCCCCACTCAGTCGATTTAAATACAAGCCGGTCCGTTTGGTTCACACAGTCGCACCTTACAGTGACTCTCAACAGCTTTGAATGCTTTGTATCTTTAAGCCAGTTTGGACTAAATAACTTAAGTCAAATCTTTAAAATAAAGGTCATCTTAGAACACCGTTAAACTTCCTTGTGTCTTTCCTGGTTGGAGCCTCATTCACTAAGTTTGATTTGATCTGAAACTTAATGGTCAAGTTGTGCCTCAGAGCATCCTGACACTAATGTCCCACCTTACATCTAAAAAGTGCACTTTTATGAACGAGGCTCTCAGATAAACCATTCAAGATGTACTTGGTTTTTGAAGGGCTTTTAAAAAACAAAAACCCGCAGTAACGTGTCCGGAGTGGAGAAGATGGGCAGTTTTTCCAAACAAAAAGGGTAAAAAGTGCAAGTTTTCAAAGATTAGCTTTGAAGTGAAAAGGAAAGGAGTTAAATACTACTCAGTCAAGTTCTACGCTCTAGTCCAGGACATTCTGTTTGTCCATCATTTGGATTTTGGATCTGAAAGTATTGCATTTTGAAATAGCAATGAAGAAAAGAATTTACACATTATGCCAAATAGATAGCTCGTGAAAAAAAAAGCTAATTTAAAGAAAAGCACAAAAACATTTCAGAGCCACACTGATTTAAAGATCCATAGGATTTCGACGCTTTGACACCCACGAGTTTCCACTAGTGCGGAAGACTCGCCTACTTCCCATCAAGGGAGAAGCTCGACAACATAAACCTTCCGCTGCCACGATGTATGAAAACCGTGGTTCTCTATTACAGAAAAAGGTTCGCCGTGGTCAACCGCGTAGGCCGAGATCAGCTCAAGAATCCCTTCAAAAGAATACTGCGAGCGAAGATCGACCACGACGTCCGAGCGGCTACCGCGTCAAAAACAAAGTCCCTCGATGCAGGCTCAGAGAATGGCACCGAGAAAGAACCGGGAACGACCCCAAAAGTCTCACAGACAAAGCCCCCCCCCCCCCCCTCCTAAAAGTTGACACGATAATTTGTTTTCTTTGCGTCAGGTCTGAAGTTTTAGTGGTGACAAGTCCAGGTTTCTTTCTTTTTTTTCCACTGGACAGCTCAAGCCCTCCGCTGCGTTACAAATCAGATGTTCAAGTGTCCGAGCTGAAGCACCAGTTCTAAGGAAGACTTCTCCGTCCATCCGCCGGTGGTGGTGGTGGTGTTGTTGGTGTTGTTGCTCGCCCACCCCCCCCTGTCGAGTCCTCCCCTCTAGTTGTGTTGGAACTTGAAGTGGAAGCTGCCGCCGGAATCGAACGGGTTGAAGGGGTAAGGCCAGCCCTGGCCCCCGCCTCCCCCACCACCCTGCTGGCTCTCGGGGTCCAGGGGATCCTCCCCCGCGTCGAACTTCTGCCTCATTTCTGGAAAGCACAGAGGGACAGACTTAAAGACGGGAGGAAGCTCGAAATTTGTCTGACGTCAAGTTTTTACACATCAGCGGTGTGTGAAAATGTGACGTCACGGCCACGATGATCTAACCGCTTCAACGCTAAAAGCCCCGCCGGCGGCCGCTGACCTGGGTCGGTGAGGACCTCTTTAGCCGAGGCGATGTCGATAAACTTCTTTTCCGCCTCTTTCTTCTCCGACTCGGACTGGAAGTTGTCGGGGTGCCACTGCTGCGCCAGCTTCCTGTACGCCTTGATGATCTCCTGCTTGTTTGCGCTCCTGGAGGAAAAAAAACCAACAACGTGTGAATGAGTCGTCGTCGCGGCACACGGACGGATTTACTGGCTTTTTTTAAATAAAAAAAAGCTGGCCGGGCTGCTTACCTGCCGACCCCGAGGATCTTGTAGTAGTCCCTCTTACGGGAGACTTTGAGCATTTTCTGGGCTCGTTCCAGTCCTTCTTTGAGGTCGCTGCGTTCGCCCTCGCTGTCAAACTCTTTCGCCTCCAGGTAGTCCTCCACGGCTGGACCGAAACAAGCGATAAGAGAGGTTGTTACCGGTGTGTGTGTGTGTGTGTGTGTGTGTGTGGGGGGGGGGGTTCTCGGGTGAAAGGCGTCCCCCCGGAGGGAGCCCCCGTTACCTTTCTCGTACTCCTGGTTGAGGATGTACGCCTCGGCTCGGTCTCGCAGGACGTTGGCGTTGCGCGGGTCTCTCTGGTGAGCCTCTGAACACGCGTCGATGGCCTGCTGGGCCATTTTGAGCTGGAATCGTAGAGGCGGATGACGTGTTGGCAGCGATCACAGCGTCTGTGATTCTACAGAACCAGCACCGCGTTCGCTCTGCTCACCTTGACAAGGCAGAAGCAGATCCTCTCCTTGGCCCGGTTGGTGTAGAACGGCACATTCGGCTCCGTCTTCATCGCCGCTTGATACTTGTCGATGGCTTGCTGATGCCTGGATTGTGTGGACGAGGGAGATCGGGGGGGGTCATTGGCGGAGGTACCGCGCGGCGGTGAAGAGCAGCGATCCCAAAAGAGGTACCGACCTGTCCTGCTCGATGAGCTCCTCCGCCGAGTCCAGCTGCTTGCTGAGCTTCTTCACCTGCTTGTAGTGGCCGAAACACTCCTTGTCGTCCTGGTCCAGCTTCAGGCACTCTCGGACGTGGCTGCGCGGAGGAGAGCAGCCGTGTGAGATTCGGACATTTCGCTCCCCAGCCGACAGAAACGAGACGCCGAACAGGATGCAAAGCGGCCCGGATTTGCGCGGCCCCGCCCGCTGCGTTAACGCAGTCCATTCGCTTGCAAAGCTCACCTGAGCGACTCGTGGTGATCCCCCAGGCCGTAGTGCAGCGTGCTGAGCTTCAGGAAGGCGGCGCGGTTGTCGTTTCGCAGCCTGGTGGTCGGCGTCAGGTCCTGGATGGCTTTCTGCGGGTCTCCCAGTCGGATGTAACAATCGGCGCGGAGCTCCCGCGACTCCGGATCCCAAGGAGAGATCTGAGGAGCGGTTGGCAGCTTTTATACAGGCCGGGCAGACATGTGAAAACTAATGCGGCTCAAGAGTTCAGGGGATCACTCTTATTCCACACGTGTGATCGAACGATAGAATAATCGAGTCGCGGATGTGGCGGCTAAGAGACAGCATGTGAAGTACGTTAGGGGACGTTGTCCGGAGGGGACACGCACCTCAAGGACTCTCTCCAGCACACCGACGGTGGTGCCGTAGTCCCCTTGGTGGTACGCGGCATTGGCGTCCTCCTGTAGCTCCTCCAGCTCGTTCGCGCTCATCAGCTGCTCCTGAGCTTCTTTGTGATCTGGTGAGCGCTGCAGCTAAAAAAAAAAGAAAAGCCAGATGCATTGCTCAGTCAAACTGCCGAAATACGAGGAAATGGTGAGAAGCGAAAGGTTAAGGACTTTAACACGCACCACTGCTTCAAAGTCCTCCCTGGCCTCCTGTGTGCTGCCCTGCTTCAACAGGATATTCCCCCTCTGCAACCTGGCCTGAAACAATGCAGGAAAATAAAGAGACGGGACGACGCGAGGAGGAGAAATCGGATGCGCAGCACATTGATTCACTTGAGGCTTAGAAGCTTTTCTGCGTGCAAACTTACAGCCAGGAAGTCAGGCTTGAGCTGGATGGCTCGGGTCAGGTCCGGCAGGGCCGATTTGGACTTCCCCATAGCCAGAAACACGGCAGCTCGCTTGTAGTAGGTCAGGTAATTCTTCGAGTCTCCCTCTGTACAACGTCAAGAACGCAGCATTTTGTCAAAGGACGCCTCAACTCTCCAGAGTAAAGTCGGACCTTTTCTTGTCCGACGCAGAGCGGCCGGCGTGAACGCGGGTGTCGGGTTTGCGAGCGACCTTACCCACAGCAGAGTGGTAGTGCGACAGGGCTTCGGCCAGTTGACCGGCGGCCAGAAGCTTTCGGCCCATCTCCAAGTGGTGCTCGATCTCGACGTGAGTCGTCCCGAAGACGCCTGGAACCAAAAAAAAAAAAGAGATTAAGTCTTGCTTGCAACAGTGGGAGAGAGGCGGCGACAACGTTACAGTCTGTCAGGGGTTTTAAATGTCAGATTGCCGTCCGACATCGGGGGAACTACAAAGTCGTGACAGGAGAGAACGCACAAACTGCTCAAAATACTTTTTTCATCTTTTCCTTCAAAGCTTATTTTGTTTTAGTAACCAAACACCATCCCACTAATGGAAAAGGAAAGCGTTGTCCCTCTATTGAATGTGTACATGATTTTAGGATCAATGTGGTTAGGAACCTTCATCTAGGATGCCACTTGCTACATCAGCTAAAGTTTCTGAATTATTTTTTGCAAAAACCTCAGTGCATCTGAAGCTTATTTTGTTTTCATTCTTAAAATGCCATTGAAGCTTTTGTATTAGTGACATAATAGCTCTGGGGCAGTTGATTGGACAATGTTGACCATTATGTTTCTCCTGGCAACGCCTTGAAACACCTGTCGGCTGCGTTCTTATTATAGTAGTAATGAATCACCGTCTCGGGGGAGGGGGCGGGGCTTAACGCCACCGAGGCGAGCGAACGTTCCGGGTCGGTTTAAGGCGACTTTAACCGGCTGCGGAGAAGCTGCAAACTCACAGAAAAACGCGCCGGCGTCTGTGCGCAAGGAGGCTCTTACCGTCCAGCTGGATGTCCAGGATGACGCACAGCAGCGACAGCGAGCACAAGACCTCGTTGAGTCCCGTCCGCCGACACGACTCCATCCCTCGATTTTATGGTCCCTCTTCCGCACCGGAACCCGCGAACTTTACGGCTCTGCTGTCGCGTGGAGTGAAAGTACCGGTTCGTGTCATTGACGCGGTGCTGTTCTTCTGTTAAGTCGTCATCGTCCGCGACTCCGGCTCCGTCTCTCTAGCTATCTCAGCCCGGGCCGCGGGAACAGCTACGACGGTGTATTTACGGTCCCGGGGTGACAGAATTCCGTGTGGAAATAGAGGCACGCCGCTGAAAGGGTTCCTCCCTTAAAATTGAAGCAGCGGTTCCTCTCCTTGACAGCGACTCGGTGGACTATTCGAACATAAAACCAGTTAAAGTAACATGATGCTGGGGAGGGTGGACAGCTGACAGCCAGTACGCTTTGCACACAGGCCCTTTCCGCCCCTGGTGCCGTCGGCTCCGCCCCTTTCTGTCCTGCACTCCCGTGATTGGTCCACATGTCGCACATCCGTGTTCGTCCGGAAACGTGGGCGGCTCTCATTGGACAAACTGTTTTAACGCAGATCCCTGCATGGGCCAGGCGTCGGTTTAGTGTGGATAAATAGGGATCAAGGAGAGCAGGAAATCGAAAGTGAATTCACTCAAAGTAGCTCTGATATGGAGGCATGTACATCTAAAAAGAAGGACTGCTCATTAAGTTGTGTGTTATTGATAAATCATGGCACAAGTGTGTGTGATAAGATAAATATGAATCTTGATGTGTGACAGCTTTATCAGATGTTATGACCGCAGGCCAATCTCAACAATGGAAATGTAAATAAAGGATAATCACACATCTCAGTTTATTCATTCCTCTTTCATAACTTCCGTGTTTATTCTTAAATTCTTAAGAATTTCCCTAAAAAAACAAAGCGTCTAACACGCACGTGGGTGTGGAATTCAAACCAATCTTCATTTTCCCATAGGGACATTTCCCAATTATGCTAAATATCTTACTATGACTCACTTTCTTACAGCAATGGGAAATCTTCCCATTTACATACAATATATCCTAATTGTTAAGCAGAACACAATGTACTACATATTGTATACTTACACACAGACTAAACGATACTTATTGTTACCATTTCCATCTAATTTATCTTATGTGCAATGTTTTAGTTCAATGATAGTTTGATTGTTGTTAAAAAAAAAGAGAATACAATTATTCATCTGTTAACAAGAGGATTATAAGGTCAAACAGAAATGTTTAGCATGACACATTTTATTGTATGCTATTGTAAAAAAACAAAAACCAAATGAAGAGAACTCTTTCACACGTTCTATCTATAAAACTGTACAAAACAACACACAAACATCTGGATTATCACCGTTTTGACCGTCCCCTTCACAAATGTCTGATCATGATGATCATCAAATTATTGGATACCATGAAAAATAATCTGTGCTAAACATAAATATAATAATTACAATTATAGTTTGTTTTCTGTTGTCGTAAAGTGCTAAGAAGCAACTTTTACCAATCATATCACATCATTTCAATGCTATCATCTTTACAGAGTACACGCTTGATAATATGACTCAAAAGAAATCCAGTGGTGCAATGTTACTGCATGATGGACCTTTGGCTTTTCCACACGGCGACAAATGTGTAAAAAGCCGAACACCAGGACACGTTAGATGCATCAACGAAAACCTAGTCGAAGAGAAGAGATGACATTTCTGTCTTCTGTCTCTCACGGTGACAAAGTTCCATTTCCACAGCTCGCTCAAACGTAAGCGTTCCGGCCGTACGTGCTGGCGGCCTGGCTCCTGGCCGCGGCTCCAGAGTACACGGTTCCCCTGCTGTGAAGAGGCAACGGGCTGCGAAACGACACAAGAAGGCGTGCTTGTTATACAACGAAAACATCAGGGTGGAGATGAAAATGTTTGGTTATCTTGGCCTCACCACAGGGAATTGGCACCGGTGGGATGTATTTTACCCGGCCACTAGGGGGCGCCAAATGGGTTTTTATAACCCTTGACATGACGGATTCAACGAGTCTCTCAATCTAAAACACTCCCGAGCTGGTGCAGCCTTTTTTATTTTCACCCGTACACATCTGACGGATGTGCCCCTTTGGGATCATGACTATTACCCCCCTGCTTGATTTACGCCCTGGTGGACTGATGTCACAACATCATTCATAATGGTCACTGAAATGAAGCAGAAATAGAACCCACTTCCGGTGATAATGTCCTACAGGAGCTATTACATCCTGCGGATTAATTAATAAAGTTTAGGGCGAGAGGGCGCCAGAGTGCCACGAATGTCTTTTTTCAAAGTTCCACAACACTAAATGTGTTAAATATATACATGAATGTTAGAAAACGCTTCGGCCAATGTAAAAATAATGACAAATACAAAGAATACATTTAATTTCCTGAACTCTATGGGTAGATATATTTATGAAATTATTAGATTTTTAAAGGTAACCATCTATTAGTGTTGGTTATTCTAGCTCAAGATATAATTTGGATTTATTTAGTTGTAATTTGATCCGTTTTTTACAATAAACAATCTAATTAATCTTCACTTTCACATCCTGTGATCGGAGAAACAACAGAGCAACGCAAATGGCTGTAAAGCAATGCAAGAACTCTCACAATGAATTAATTAACAGCCCCAACAGATCAATGATTGTCACATTTTGGCCCACAAAGAAAAACACAATCCGGAAATATTAAACTCACTATTTCTCCTTTGTTCCCATTTTGCAGGAGCAGGTGAGACAGGCTCCTCCAGCGATGGCGAGCACAGCAGAGCACCAGCCGATGTAAAGTGCTTCACCTATTTCATACCTGCAGCACACAGCAGCGTGTCAGTCGGTGAGCGCCACGTTACGACTTACTTACTATCGCGCTCCTCAACGACCTTACCTTATTCCGGGATGGAAGGGGTCAAAGAACTCCTGAGTGATGTTGAAGGCGTACCAGGAAACTGCAACCATTGTGCACATACCTTTTGATAGAAATATCAATTCTTTATCATTCTTTAATAATCGGGAAAGTAGCGGGGAAGCTTTCAGATTGTCACACGAAACGTCCAAAGCACTGCTTGACTTACAATAAAGCATGATTTATTAGCATTGTGGAGACGTTTCTATTCTATTCTATTTATAGGGTCGTGTATTAGGAGGTCAGACTGGTCGGATATTTTCTCCTATCTTTTTGTTACCTTGAAGTATGAAAAGAACTCCAGCAGTGCCAGCAATCCTCCCTTTGAGAACATAGTTTTCGCCTCCTGCCTTTGAACACTTCACTCCTATCAGGGCCGCCAATAGTCCACACGTGCCCAACACTATGGAAGTGATCATCAAGGCCCGGGACGCCTGGATGTAACCTGCACGCGGTGTGGAAATGACACGAGCACATGCGTTCATTTTTAAAACCTCTTTGACGTCGGCCATGTAAAGAGTTAATGAGATTAGTACCAGTGTGGATGTGCAAAGGAATTCTCTAGAAACGTGTTCAAGAGTTGTTCGTGAACAATTTAAATTTGTGGAAAGCAACATCATGGATTTTTATCAACAATATCTTCTTCTTCATTTTCTTTTTTTTTTGTCTGTTTTACCTTTAAAATGATCTGTGATCTCAAAAATAGAAAAAAAGTCACTTTATCACTTATTAAAATCCTTTGATATGAATGATTTGTCACCGTACCACTCAAAGCAAGCAGCGAGGGAAACTCCCTGCAGTTGTGCACCCCGGTCGAGTCCGTCGCACAAGACATCCACAGGTTCTCGTAGATGGTGGAGGTGGTGATGACGTTCCCGTCGACGGTCGACGTCCTCCAGTAGCGGTTCGGCAGGGTGACCCCCACCATCACCCAACCGATGAACCCCAGCAGCAAAGCCACGACTTCCAATATCTGATCCATGACCCCACCTCGGCCCAGCAGTCAAACAAAAGTATATCCAGGTCTCGGTTTATTTGGAAATCCCAAAAAGACGAGACATCTGGTTTTGGCACGGGAGAGCGGTGTGTCTGTTCTGCCAGTGGGCGATGTTTCCAGCTCAACAGATATGTATAATGATTTATATGACTTTCTCTCCTCCCCCTCGCCTCCCCTTATTCACTCGCTCTCCCTCCCCGCTCGCTCCCAATCTCTTCTGTCTTTCATATTTTACACGCCTGAAACTGAGCAGGTGTTTATCGGCCGTCTCTCAGGGTCCAATGGTCATCAGTCAGTGTTAATGGCGCTGCACTGTTTTTGGGCATGTTCCACCATGGGGGGGGGGTTCTTTGATAAACAACCAAACATCATAAGAAGTGTTGCATCATTATACACCTGAATATCCTGAATGTCCTCATACATGCATTGTTTTTTTCATTTTCATCTGTATGACATTTCGAAAGCCCTCAGAGTTCTTCACGCTTTGGAGGAGGTGGAGATATGACCAGCACTGTGTAGCTATTCCTGACTCAAACAGTCCAGGACAAAGGGTTACACACACACACAACAAGGTTTTGCTTCCACCAAACTAGACAATAAACTATTCTGTATGACTCGATGAAATGCATTGTGAACGTCCTGTTACTTTATGTTTTTTTGGAACGACTGTTTCTATACACGCTGTACCCAGATCTGAGGATAAGATATACTTTATTGTCCCGCGGCAGGAACCTTTTTACTTCAAGCCGCTGAATCACACAACACAGTGGTCAGCATCACAATCCACATGCACGCATACCAAAGATCATACATACACTCGTGAATAAAAATGTTTGAATACTTGTCTTCACCATATATTAGTCCCCTTTACAATCATATCATATGATGCTGCTTGTTTGCTTTTCAACAATTTGATGGAAGATGGAATTAATGTGCCGACTTCTATCCATTAGTAAAGATTTACAATGTTTCCACATTGACCATGGGGCCATTTTCCCAGCTGCTAACATCAGCCTGTAGATGACAGATATAATACATATATATATTCAAAGGACTAGTGGTGTAATTCCACTCGATTTGATGTCCCCAGGGGCCTCGCCTCTCTCTACAGCGCCTACAGCATTGGGCTTGCGTGAATAAGTTAGTTTTTAGCTAACATTACGAGGAAAACAACGCCAAAGCAACCAGCAGAGCTAAATCACAGCTAGCTGGCTACCTTTAGCTCACTTGCTCACTAACGTCAGCAGACGTGATCCACGATTCTATGTTTTGACAAACTGCTAATTTCTCTCTGACAATAAACAACGTAGCCGTACAAAGAAAAGGTGTAATAATTGCTCTCAGTCAGCAAAGACTGATACGAAGAAGATGCAGACAACCAGCTAACTGTATGCTAAGGTGTAACGTTAGCTAGCTGGCTGTAACCAACCATTGGTTGCTTCATGACATTAGTCGATAATGTCGTTTGCAAACACACTGATTAGTGTTATGGAGCAAATGGTCCTAATAAAATATAGGAGCATAAAAGGTAGTATCATTATCCTAAATATTTGATCGTAAAGTAATGGTGTTGTTAAGAGATGTCAAGGCCATAAGGGCCGAGTTCACGCTCACTGAGCGACACACCCAAGACTTTGTCACTATTTGGAATGGTGTCAACATGTAATTAGTCTGACTTGAGAACAAAGTCAGAGGCAAATGGCAAAGGTCTAATGTCACCCAGTTCAGCCTGTGGTTTCTGTTCATTAATAATACTCCTGATGGCCGCCGGGTCAGTGTTGCCAAATCCAGGGCTCGCTGATCACATTCGGTTAAATCTTAACCAGTGTTTTAGGAAAAAGCTCCAGAATGTATAGAGGTAGGCAGATTTGTAAACCGTCGAACACGTTGGTGGAAAAGGTCAAGAATGAGGCTGAGGATAGAAATAGAGAAAGCCCCGGCTGAAATGGAGCGGTGTTGGAATTTACAAGTTTGTAAATCAATCGCAGTGCCAAAAGGAATGGTTGTAAATTTTAACAAAAGTGTTCACTTAATACGCGGTACCAGGAACCTGATAGGGAAGAAGCTTAATTAAATCCATCCATCTTTCATCAGTTTTTTTTTACAACTGTGCTCATAGCGTGACAAGTTAAAAATGTCTTGAGACTTTTACAAGTGAGATGTTTTACATGAATTAAGCTTCTCATACCAATCAACTATTTGTCCTCGTAAATTGTATAACCCTAAAATCTGTTTTGTAAGTCAACCCGTCATAGGAGTAAAAGATTTAATGACTTCAGGTGCACTATGTATTGGACCGATGTCTCACATCTCAATTCGTAACACAGAAAGGCCGAAATTCAAACAATACTTTACATAGATTACATTAATTGTCCCTTTCATCTACTTCACCTCCTCCTGAACTCCTCTTTAAACTACATGCTGACTCGCCGTAAACGTTTCATTTTATGGCTGAGCTGTTTGCAAAGCCAATTTTTACAGGGCACAGCAGTGTCGGTTGCTAATGAGTTGGTTATTTAACTGGGAAAGTTACAATGGTTGAGTTGATGTTTCCTGAAGCTCATCATTTTACCGTGTGCTTTCCAGGAATTACAAGTTACGTGACAGCACGGAATGAACATAATAGTTAAAATATTTCTGTGTGCTTGTTTATTCAAAAACGTTCTTGTGGGACAGGCATACATAAAAAAACACAATTCTTGGTGCAGATATGTTGATTTTGTTATTTTACAGCTATGCCCTCCTATTAAATCCATGGTGGGGACATTTTAGAAAAACATCTTTGATGTTAAATAGAATTTGACATTTTAACTGACTGATGTTTAAAGACAGACATCTGTAAAGGCTTTAAACACATTTCATAAAAAGGCTTTGTTATCCAACACAAACAGAGTTTTCTGAAATATTGAACAGTTTCAGTAGTTTAACATGAAAGATTTTTAAGTGTGTGTGTTTTTGTGGCTTTCTCACTAGTTTAAAGTAGGAAGACCTCATTTGGAAAAAATGGCTGTCATACACTCTTTTGCAAAAATCAGAATGCAGCATTATTTGAAAAAAATGTGATAACACCTGGCGGGTTTGTTTCTTTAGTTGCTAAGAATCTATCAATTAAATGAGAGACTATGAGTTTGGAACTCTTCACATTTGTCAAACAATAGAAGTAAACACTACACAATATGTTGTACTTAAAAATATATTTTCTTTATGAGAATGTCCTTCTTAGGAGATAGAGTTGAGTGTTACCATCTCTCTGAAATCGGGACGGGAGAGCGGTGTGTCTGTTCTGCCAGTGGACCCTTAAAATGATATTTTTGCTCTTCCAAAAGGCCATGAAATCTTACTTTACTTTTCCATTATCAGATTTTCAACGTCTTGATCTGCAGGAGATCTGAATAAAATAAAATCCAAGATTACAATCGGTGCATAAAAAGGAGATAATCAAAACTGATTCCACGAATTACACATTAACTACGCATAAAGTTAAGACAAAACTTGTGTGTCTTCTTCTGTCTCTTCCTGCAGTGATAGAAAGTGACAGGCAATAAACTCATGTTCAACTGGATTATACAGTAACTTCATATTACAGTGTGATGCATTGAACATAAAGACAGACTGTAGCTCAGCCAATAGACCCCCTTTCTTTTTCTTCATGGTGACTACACATTAATACCTCTCAGCCGTGTGTTAAAACCAGCGCACACTTAATGAACATTGGCCCTCGTAACTGAAACTCACTGAAGCTGATCTGAATTACACCAGCTTTGATGAATCATTGATGTTAAAGTGTGTTAAAGCTGCACACAGGATGAGTCTCACAAGCTGTCCAGCTTTGGTTAGCGATTATGTTTCTCCTCTGCTCCTCCTCCTCCATTTTTTGGAGATATTCACCCGGCCTTTTCTCCCTCCGTTTACCCATTCGATCACCTTTTTCACACCGGAGAAGATTATTGTTTTCTCTCATCTGTCCCTGGGGAGTTTCGGTCCCGTCAGATGGGTTAATGTGTAACACCCCACGAGGCCGATAACACCCCACACAACCGATACCCTCCATAATTCTTCCTGTCGTAAAAAAAAAAAAAAAAAAACTGAGACAGAGACTATCTGTGAGTCAAGATGTGAAGATGATCGACAGGCTCCGGGGCTGAACAAGGCCGGGTCCGGTCCTCAGGGATCACAATGCCCTCTCTTACCGTGTACACCGGAACCCCATTGTAAACGCACTAGTCAATAAAAGATAAGATGACAATCGAGTTGGACTTTGCTCGATCAACGAAATATTCCTCTTAATATGGCGGTGATAAATTGATCAGCTGTTGCATGTTGACATCAATAGAAGGTCACAGTTCCCTGTGAAGCACAAAACCTTAAAGAGGATTGTAAACTATAAAGCTTGTAGATTAAACTGATCAAGATCATATGAGAGAAGCAGAATTAAAAGGGTCAAATAATTAATTAAAAGTGGCAACTATTTAGATGATGCTTTGTCATTTCATGCAAAGAACACTTCTCATTTTTATTTATTAAATGTGAAGATTTGCTTCTTTTTTACCCTGTAACTTGAATGATTGCATGGCTTTCCTTTTTATTTTGGACAAAATACTTATGGTAAATGTGTCACATTGTAATTTTTAATTGGAGATGTTGGATTGTTTTGGATGCTTTTGTATTATTACCATTTGTTTGCATTTGTCATTATTTATTTAATCTTTGTTTAGAAAGAATAAACCCATTGAGATTTTGATGGCATTTTACAAGAGTCCTGGTAAAGCCGCGTAATAAAAACTCAACTGGCAGACCTAAAAAAACAAATACGTAATAATACAGAAAAGGTTATAAAGAGGACAAACCGGCATATTTTATCATCCAAAGAATTGTCATTTGCTAAGAAGAGCTTAATCGTGTTTGCAAAAGTTTGTGGCGTGCTTTTTTTGAGTCATAAGTAAATAAAATTGATAATGAGCTAGTATGTCATGTCATGATTAGGACATCATTTGAGACGCAATGTCGTACATATGAGATAGCAAATCATAATGAGAAACTAAGTCATAATCATTAGAAATGATCTTTTAATTAGGTAATAACTAGGAGATGATAAGTCACTAGTTTGAGAAGGTTTCTCAACAAGTCTCACAGTATAAATGTCATTTTATTCAGCAGTGGTGACAATGACCTTCCATACATTTCCTCCACTGTCCTGAGATGCAATATGACACCTGAACAGCTCGCAATAATCTCCCAAAAACACAACATTTTCTCAGCTCAAAAGCTTTTTATTTAACAACATGGAAGACAAAACATTAAATGTAGCACAGGTAAACGCATTTTAAATGACAAGATTAATCAATGTATAATTATAAGTGTGTGGCCTCCCTTGTAGAACTTTGAAGAAAAAAAGGAAAAGAAACCGGTCCAAAATAAATGCAAACCTCTGGTTGCCTCCTCAGCAGCAGCTCCTTGTTACACAAGCAGCATTATGGGATGCTCCGTCCGCCTCAAACACATCCCACTGCATCAGTAACACTTTCCTTAACAATTCTTTGTTAACAATAATATAACAGACCGTTACAGAACTGCAACTTACTTTTCAGAAAGATATTTTTGAACTTGAAAATGTCAGGCTGAGGAGAAAAAAAGGGAGCTGCAACTGACTATCGTCATTTATTTACACAAATAATGAGAAGGTGCAAGGCTAATGTGGGTGAATAGACAGTTTAGAAATGTCCTATACATGGTGAATCTCAACCCCGTTAAAAATGGTTATTCACTGGTATTTTTCAAACCCTTTAATAAATTGCGACGCATACTCCAAATTTAAACGTTACATCCTTCAAGCTCTCTCCACGCACTTTATTATAATTTATGCCGTTGAAGAGTCAGTGTATCCGGCCGGCAAAGTGAATGCATGTCAGCCGATATGCAGGTTAGGATTTAGCGGCTCCTTTTGACACAGCCAGGCCGATGAGGCCCGCCAAACCGGCCACGCCGAGGCCAATTCCCCCGACGATCGCCATGCCGACCAAGCCATCTAGATGTCAATGAATGTCAGCAATGTGGTTAAAGACAAAACACAATAGGGGTGAAATAACCAAGAAGGTTCTGACTCAGACTGGCTAGTACCTTTCTTCAAGGCCTTGACGATGAGTTTCTCCAGCTCCTGAGCCTGCTTGTTCCCTGGTTCATTCTTCAGAAGAGTTCGAATGTACTTCAGGGCCTTCTCATATTCCTGAAAGCGGAAACAGAAAGCGCTCTCAGATGGGTCCACGTTTTAAGATTACGTCAAATGTATGGGCGGCATTACGAATAATTGTAATGCTACGATCTCATTGTCAACAGAATGTTTGAAGCTGTACAAATACAAATGACTGCTTTCAGTAAGGAAACTTAACAATGGCAACATTGTTGCAACGGTAGGAATGGCACTCACTTTGAGTCTGTAGTTGGCCACAGCGAGGTAGAACAAGAAGTCCCGGGAGTCGTCTTTTGATGCCGTATGAACAAGTTCTAGGACAAAAAAAACACATTGATTACAACGGTTACATATTGGATTACATGAGAAAATGTTATAGCAATTCTCGGTGACGCGGACTCGTCCCTTCTGGGATATTTTTCTGGTAAATATGAGAAAAGCTAAGAGCTTTCTGAATAGTAATAATACATTAGAAACATTATCACTTTAGTTTATTGGAGATATGTCAGTGCCACTGCATACCCACATTCATTAACAAAATACATTAAATATTTCTATTGTAATAATAGAAACGTTCAAATCTGAAACATTTAGTTGGTAAATTTCACATATATCAGGGAAAGAGTCATAAAAAGTCATACACATCAACCATTATGATGCACAAAGAAAAGAGAATATACATTCCTACATATATATTAATAAAAATAAAACGTTATAAAATGTGCCCCAGATTAATGTATTCAAACACTTTATGGCATTGCTTATATATTATGTTTGGATAGCATGCGATTTAAAATATCGTATAACTGCTTCTTCACAATTTCCAAAACCCCAAACATATGTTCCAGTCGGTATCTTAAGAAAGATCCTTTCCTATTTAATATTTAGAACTTATTAAGCTTTAAAATATCAACATGAGGCCCGAAATCCCCACTATAGTTAGTGTGCAGTACAACATGTATCTTGGAGTACAACGAGAAACTCACCTTCCAGGAGCGCGATGCCCTTCTTTATATCATCTGTGTATTTACTCCTGATCAGACACCACGCATACTCAAACTTGGTTTCTTTGGAGACGGCTCCCTTCGCCTGCTCACTTTTGTACTTCTTCTCAAATTTCTGGAATATCAGAAGAGAAATTAAGCGACCAAATCATGTTCAAATACATTAACGCCGTTCCTCGCTATTGATTTTAGGTGTCGTTTATTGCTTGTTTTGGGCCAATGTTAAAGAATTAGCTTGAGTTCTGTATGTTTTGCTGACTAGAAAACTTGAATTGACATTCACCACATTCCCAAACCGTTACTGGCACGACTAGTTATGTCAATAGACGCAAATGATGACGTCACGCTCACGGGTTTATGATCATAACCGCTAGCATTGGTCAGATGCCTGTTAGCATTAGCCAGCTACGTGACGCGTCAAAGTATCTTCCGACACGTCGCTTTTTACGCTGGTTTCAGCATTTACCGCGAGAACACACGTTCGGAATACATCACGTGCGTGTCACCTATAGATCGTTGTGTCCGTTTTGTTAAATTAGCAGGTTTAATAAGAGGTTAACCTACCAAAAGGTCTTCTGGAGCTACCACATCGCTCACAACCGCCTCCATGTTTCCGGAAGTAGAGCCCGGCTCCGCCTTTTTTTATCACGTGACACATGGCATCATCTATGTTAAAGTCTGCGTTATTACAACAACATTAATAACAATACTAACAGCACTAACAACAAATAATTTGAAATAAATACGTTATAATCACACATATTGAGGGGAGAAATGTTTTTTTTATTGTTTTCGTAATTTGCAGTGTTGCCAATAACAAAAGCACAAAAGCACACATAATAAGACACTGCAGCTGAACAGTGATGTCCTGAGAGCGAGCTGAGGTTTCATCAGTTCTTTGCGAGGTGGGCCGAGGAAAAGGCCAGAGGCAACAGTTCACTGAGGCTGGTTTCTTTGTAAGTTCCATCCGGCTTGGTCAAGTATACAGTCAAGTCCGATCCAAACTGGGGAGAGACGAAATGTGTCAACTGGAATTGTTAAAGTTAATTATTTTTCTATATTGCCCAGGAATAAAATGATGCCATAGAAATATTAAATTCTTTATCTCAACTTTTACGTTGACCAAAAGTTTCCTAATAGTAAAAAATATATAAATAGAGAAAGGAATAACAACTGCAATCAGTGTAAAAAAAGGATGATGTTAAAGGTGATTAGTTCAGATGATGTACAGGAAAATAGAGGCACAAGGAAGTTTACTCAAGCATAACTCCACAGAGAATTCTAGAAACAAGCTGATCTGAATTGAAGGATCATTCTCACTCTGAACACATGTACTTTCTTTCTCTATTATTTATCTAAAAAAAACAACATCATTGAGGCGGAAAAGTGCCGTAGGGTTGTGCGTACTGGTCCTGAGAGAGAAGCCTCACCTCCATTAGAACCTGTCGACACGCTCCGCACGGCCCAACAAAGCGGTCTTTGATATCACTGAGTACAAGCGAGGGAGAGATAATGTATCAGAATGTGTGCTGCGAGTATGTTGCACTATCGGAGAGGAGGTTCTGTCCAGTAGCACTTGTAGATTACCTTAATCACAGTAGGACACAGACTGCCGTACTCCAAACCAAACGTAGTAAGATCTGAGTCAGTCTCCATCGTTTATAGACTTGGCATTACCGAAAAACTATATCCTGAGGGCTTAAGTTTTAATTCTGCAGTCTCACCATGTCACAGCAATGGCAGTGAACCGCGTGTGTCCCTCCACCACGGCCCGCTGCACCGCCGTCCGCTCAGCACACACGGTCAGGCCGTAGGAGGCGTTCTCCACGTTACAGCCTAAAAGAGACACGCAAATACCAAAGACGCATAGAAATATTATAGTGTACAAAAAGGGTTTGGATCCCAGTTGTTTTTTGTCTTTTTATTTGTATTCAAAAACTTGTATTTATTTTTTATCTTTATCTTTCTGTGTCCAGAAGATTTAATACAACGTAGAAAATGCTCATCATGCATCACACTAATTAGGCATTGTTGTATGTTATGTTATTGTATTATGAATTGTGTACCTGCAGCATTTTAAATGGTAAATGGTTTAACTCTTCCACAAGCTCTGGGATCAATGTTATTCACTGAATGACAACGAGTAGCAATTCAACTCACAATTATGGGAATTTATTTTTACCTATGGGAATTTATTTTTATTTATGGGAATTTATTTTTACCTATGGGAATTTATTTTTATTTATGGGAATTTATTTTTACCTATGGGAATTTATTTTTAAATATTAAATTTACTACAAGTAGGCCTATAAAGCTGCATCCGATAAAGTATTCAAGTGAACTACAAGTACCTCCGCATTGTACTTCACGCGGTATCGGAGCACACGCACACGGTCTCCTTTCCTCACGGGAGCGCACCTGTTGTGCCGTTACCTGTGATTATGGCGCCATCTGCTGTCAGCAGGGCGGCGCCGACGGGGAAGCCGCTGTAGGGGCAGTACGCCATGTCCCGGGCCTGCAGACACTCGGATACGAGCTCTTTGACTTTATCTGAGCACCGCAGAGAGACACAAATGATGTTCAACAACAAAACGAGGCGAGGAGAATCGCGTATCGAGGGTAACGGACCCGGTTTGGTGACTTTTGAATGTACTTGCCCGTCATTGCAGATGAGGAGTGTTTCTTTCGTGCTGGCAGGTGAGTTTTAAAAAAAGGGGGGGCAGTTCTGTTAATGTTTCAAAATAGAATCGGGTTCAACCTGTTTACCTGCACGTCATTGGCTGGTTGAACGCAGCGTCATCGATCCGTTTGGCGGCCGGGTGGGACCCGAACTACGAGGTCACGATGCGCCGAACTAAATAAATCAACCTCAACCGAAATTAAGAAAACTTTTAATTAAAACGGACATTCCTGCATAAAAAAGAGCCGTTAAAATAAACAGAGAGGACAAATGATAACTGCAATCTGTTGAATAAAAACGGGGGGTGAATAATAAGAAGAACACATGACAAAGAATTGACAAAAGGGAAGACTGTTTCTGAAATGAATTTATTAATCAATTGAATGGTATTGATTCATTCACTTTAAAACAGAAACGAATGTAATTTCATTCATCCAGCTTCTCAATTTGCTTCTCGTTCTTTTGTGATATTAAACCAAGTTGATACAACAAAACAATGAGATTAATAACACCATCTCTGCCTGTTGGAAATTCACTTCACTTGAAGCCTCCATCAGGCACCAAAAGTTACTGTCACCAGGCGGCCTGTAGGTGGCGCTAAAAAGCGGCAATAGAAATCCAACACTTTCTAAACTGTTGTAAGTTATTAGTGTAAATGGCCAGTAAAGACATTGCTCTGTGACTTTGCAGAACTTTCTCAGACTCTACATTTTTCATTGAGTGGATTCTTTTAATTCTTGAAGAACTGATTGCTAAATTATCCAAAGGAGCAGGACATTTATGACATTCATTTCAGCTGTTTTGGACTCATATTCATGACGCTTTACCGTACACACATGTCCGCAAATGCTTATTGATTTAAACCTAATACCTCACCGGTGGACTGGCAGGGCTTTTATTGCGGGGCGAGCCCCGTCTTTTGTTTGCCGGAGGCCATAAATAGAACCGGCATAGTGATGTCATCACAAGCGAGTATCAAAGGGCGCGGAGCCCCTTAAACACACACGGGTACCCCTCTCCGGCCTGCGCCCTTTAGTTTGTTTAGATGTAATGTTTGTCCTGCTTTTCTCCCTCACTTTTGTCCTGTAGACCTCCATAGAGAATTCATCATATGTTTTGTATTTCATGTTACTACATCCAGAGTAAACACGGTGTAAAAAGTCGTTTTACTTTTAGTTGTAGTGGATTTGAAGTAGAAAATATAAATTTTAAATGGAAATTAGTAATTGCAGATGCCCTAGAATTGTACCTGAGCCGAATCCTGCTTGCTTTTGATATTTCTTTTCCCCCCTTAGATCTGATATCGGATGCTAATCGGATACTTGGCCTTTGTTCCCTCTCTCCTTCCTGCTATAACCGTCACCGGCCGTGTTTGACTTTCTCAGTGTGACAGTGGCGAGTTTCTCATTCGCCCTCCTTCGTTTGGGATAGAAGCGAATACTCGGAAGTGAGAGCTCAGGGGGAAAGGAGGGTAAAAAGCATGTGTTGTACGGGGAAGTGTGCCCGCCTGGTGGGCCTGATCCTGCTGCCTTCGGCCTTCATCTGCATGATCGCCAACCTGCTGCTGTTCTTCCCCGACGGGAAGCGTCTGGAAAATGATCAGATCTCCCTCCAGGTCTGGCTCATGGGGGGCCTCATCGGAGGAGGCCTCTTTGTGAGTAAACGATTATCATCTGTGTACTTACACAGTTGGGTTTGTTTTATGTTTTTATCGTGTGTTTTATTGGATTTTGTCGCCGTTAACTCGGCTCTGTGTAAACCCGTAAAATCTCATGGAGCTTTTATTGGGTGTTGTTGCTTTTTTTTCAACCATGTAATAGTTTTAGCAATTTAATGAATACGTTTAATTCACTAATATATATCTATTTAATTTATTTTCCACAATGGCCTTTCCGTTGACTCTTTTTTGTACTGTAATCATTTGACACCCACATTTTCCCAGTTAATGTATCATAAAGGTAAGTACAGAAATGTTTTGTTAAACCCAACATACAAAAGATTTTGCTTTAAGAATCCTCAACCGATTAAGTAAGAAAGTACATTAACTAACGTGAACTTTGTACTTCAGTATTTTCCTTTAACGTCACTTTACACTTACAATCCAATAGAATTTACTAAACTACATTTGTTTATCAGATGTAATTACTCGACACACAAAACATATGAATTGTTACAGATGGAACCACCCTCCATGTGTGAAGAATTATCCATTGACTCATCGAGCACAAGATCAAAACGCAACATACTATTTCCGAGAAATAAAAGTTGCCTGCGTGGTGCAGTATTACTTTTAGGATGTTTACTCCGAGGTGTATATTTTATACCATTGGTAAAACTTTTTGGGTGACCGTGAAGAGATTAAAACATCGCCGGCAATGAAACAAACACAAAACAGATTTGCTTTTGTAACTTTCACCAACATTATCTGAACTCTTAAAAAGTTGATATGGGCCATAAATAAAACAGGAATATTTTGGTATCATAAATGGATCAGACAAACCTTTAAGCCTTGTGGGAAGAACACGTCTTTATGGCCCCGATATTACCAGTCGTAATAGGGAAGGTGGAGAAAAAAAACTCGATTCAGGTTCCACAAATATTTGCTTGAGGAGATAAGAGAACGTTCACACAGACACATACTCATTAAACTGCAGACGTGTAGAGAAAACGTATTATTCATTTGAGGAAACATTAGAAATGCTGAAATAGAACCTTTGCCAGAATGTCTTGCTCGATGAACGTTTTTCTCTTTTCTTTGTTTTTTCGTAGATGTTGTGCCCGAGCTGCTCCGCTATCAGGGCCGGGGGCAAGGGTTGCTGTGGAAATGGTTGCTGCGGCAACCGTTGCCGGGTGAGCGAAGCCATTTGAAGGATTTACATTTATACGTCAGTGTCGGGACACGGCTGATAATGACGGGTCGTAAAAGGCCTGATGTCAAATCCAATACGGATGTATTTATTAATATTGGCCCACATGGACGGCCGAACACGTTAAAATATAATTTTATTTCCTGTACTTTGAATTTCTGATTAAATACTTTTCAGTAATAATATTTTACAGAAGTTGGGCTATGAACAGCGTTGATTTATTAGTATTCATTCATTTTTGTTTGAATTAGTTCTACATTATCTTTTGTTGAACGTGAGAGTTCCTCCTCAATCGTGGAAACAACACTCACTCAAAGCCCACCTACTTTGCTCAACCACATTTCACCGTCTTCCTCAGTGGATGGGATTCATTTGAGTTGTCATGGAGACATATTTACTATGTTATTCATTTACAGTACAAAATATTTTCCCTTGTGAAACCGGGCTGCACAGGAGTGCGTTTGTCTCATAGATCCTGGACGGCCTTGAAGGGAAGCGTAGGGCGACTTTAGACAGATGCTAAAAGAAGTCCTCAAAGAGTGACCCGCCCCCCTAAAGAGGACAGGACCACTAATGTCCCATAAGCAACATGTCCCTACCCGTCCTCCAGATGCTGAACTCGGTGTTCTCCTCTGCGTTCGGGCTGGTCGGAGCCATCTACTGCACCAGTGTGGCCTCTGCCGGTCTGGCTATCGGACCCAAGTGCCAGGTGGCCGGGGGCCAATGGAAATACCCCTTTGAAGACCTCGGCACGTGAGTGACGCCCCCCCACCACCGGCCATTTAAAAACGTTCTTTTTCTAGGCACGGAATCTCTGCTTTGATCTGTTACACTTTCTGTCACCGTATCCGTAAGTGCAGCAGAGGAGTTTCTGGGTTAGAAAGACAACAAGTGCAGTACTACTTATAATCCCGTAGGTGGCGCGCCGGTCCATCACTTTTCTTTTCTGGGCGACGGATGAGCCCGTTCGTTCTTCTTCTTTTCAGTCTTCTCGTCAAACGTCATTAACAATAATGGGAAATCGTGCTGTTGCATGCAGGGAAATTATTGGTATCTTGATCACCGGTCGTGAAAAAGCAACATTTCTGGGGGGTTTTTTCATTTGAGGAAGAGTAATCTAGTGGATCCATCTGGTCCCTATCACGATAACACGCCTGCCACTGCAATTCATTTTATGAGCACAGCTGTAAAAATGAGTCACCTGATAGCGACTCATCGGGTGATTGGAACGACCAATAATACATCTGAGCATGTTGACATGTGGGCTGTTGTGGTCCATGATGAGGGCAGTTTAAAAGGGCACCAGTGGTTAACAATGCATGCTGGGACATTAAGGCTTAACCTTCCATCAGAAAACTACAATTCCCCTTCTTTCTATATTTGGTATGTTTGCACTCGGTTAGTCATTTTGTAACAAGTCACTTTTCTCCAACAAAACTGCTCTTATTTCTACCAAAACCTCTTTCTTAATTCCTCCTCTTTCTTTTTTTCCCTCAAGCGCTTTCTTTCTCACTTGTTCCATTCCCCTTCTACACATTTTTCCTCAATTCAGTCATCCCCCTTTTTTTTTCCTCCTGGACCCCCCCAAAAAACCTGGCCCGGCGCTCACACACGCATTCACAAATATGTGTGTGTGTGTGTGTGTGTGTGGTGGACAGCGCTGACGCTCTGCCTCTCGTCTCCCTCGCAGAGGTAACAGCAGCTACCTCGTGAACCAGACGCTGTGGGCGACGTGCGAGTTCCCCAAGAACGCGGTGATGTGGCACGTGGTCCTGTTCTCCATGCTGCTGGCCGTGGGGATGGTGCAGCTGGTGCTCTGCGGCATCCAGGTGGTCAACGGATGCATAGGGTGCATCTGCGGGGACTGCCGCGAAAGGAAAGATGTAGGTGGCCGTAACGTGACAATTCCATCAAACTAAAGTGCAGCTATTCTTGGAAGCTTGTTGAACGATTGAATGGTGTTTTGATTGCAGTTCTTCTCTTATCAGTAGGGTCACTGGTGGAAAACAGGAAAAAGAAAATGTTTTGCAGCTCAATCAATGAGCTTTAGCAGTGCCAGGCCGTGTGTTGCGACTAGCCGTTTCCTCTTGGTCTAAGCGAACTCGCTTTTACACAAAAGGTACAATAAGTAAACTGGCAGCTTGGCAGGAAAACTGAAAAAAAAGGTCAAAGATGATTCGTACTTTTTAAAAGTAAATTATACTTAAATTTAGATGAGGGTTGAACATTGACTGCACGGGCGTCACAAACGTCACTGCATTTGTCTCAGGAAGGACAAACGCGTCCACACGAGGACTGTATCAACAAATATCTACACATTACCATCACGCTCGCATTTATTAACAACTCTGTCATTCATCACATGCACTCGCTTCCTGTCCGGAAACATGAAATCAACATGTGACCTCTGTCCCGTTGCAGGATGACGGCGGACTGTGAAAGTGACGACGACGACCTGGTCGCTCACAAGGGCCGGGACGCCTTTCTGCATTCGATACTCCTTTAATCACGTGAAATCTTTGCTCCCTTTTTGTTTGAATTGTATTCCAGCAGATGGTTCATCATCATTTATTGTGGAATGGGTCATTAAGTCGACAGCAGACTCCACGTTGGACTTGCGTACCAGCTGAACGTGACACACATGGCACATCAGTGAAGAATGAATAAATCGTATACCTGACCACCTGCTGTGTGAGCTTCGCTTCTGTTCCCCCCACACAGTTAACTCTTTAACTCTGATTATACAGTTGAAAAACCTCTGCAGAATCCCTGTTAGTATCTCTGTCAATTACTCACCGCATGCTGTTTCCATGTGGCCAGACGGCCAGATCGAACAGGATAATTGTGTAACAAGGTCAAAGGGCAGATCGCCCCCTGTGGACACCGTGAACGCTGCAGCTGCCTCAACAGAACGCGCGGCCGGGACCGCCAGCAGTCCGCCGGTGCAGGTTAAGCTCGTAATCCTCCGCCGCCACGGCTTCGTGGTAATTGTTACCTAACTTTTAAGTTAAAAGCCTGTTGCAGACCTGCACACGGGTAAATATAGACGCCAATCAACGCGGAGCCAAAGCCGAGTCTCCATCACGGTGCAGATGGAGGCGATGACGGCTCCGTGTGCAGCCGGGGGGGCGGGGTGGGGGGAATAACAATTATGCTTTTCGGTGGTCTTTGGCGTCTAACCCAGACAATTTTGCACAAAATGTCACGTTCCTGTCCGCACGTAGGACGGAGCGGCGGGGGGGGGGTGGCCTGCGCGGCGTCCTTCTCGGCTGGCCGATTGGCTGGTGTTTAGCGGCACTCTTATGTAACGCACTGCACAAAGAGAGGAAGGGGCACAAGTGAGAAGAATTTGGAATGAAAGAATGGAGGGACAAAGCGAGGGGAGGCCCGTTCTCAGCCACTTCTCATCCGCTCAGAAGCAAAGCAAAGTTTAATGAGGCGGCGCACAACCACAGACGGAAAGTCCGTCCACTAAACCCAGGGACACTCTCGGGTGGGACAACGGGTCAAAGGGACGGCGATTCGGGGGAATGAATTTGCCGGTTGCGTCCGCCTTAGTGCACATGTTAGGCCCCCGTGGCGAGGCCATTAGGGAGAAATGCCGCCCGAATTGAGCCCCTCCTCTCTGTCTCTTCAGGCTTGACTGATGAAACAAAGACGAGACAAGCGGGGGAAGAAACGGGGGGGGGGGGGGACACGAAGCAGAACTGGCTGGTGGAGGCCGGAATAACAGCAGGACAACAGCACGATTCACTCTGTGTTTGGGAAGAAAACCTTTGATTGAACCAACATCTCTGCTTTGCTCCTGTTTGTCTGTTGAAACCTCCTCAGATCAACAACAACAACAACAACAACGGCCGCGGCCTCGTTTAGAAGCAACAGTCACGCTGACAAGACTCACACACGTGCACAGGTGACAAGTCAGCAGAGTCCGACACCCGATGATTATCCAGCCGCAGTGCGACTGACCTCAGCGTGCAGAGACGCCAGCAGACAGTCGGCCACATTCAGCAGGTTCGCCAGCTCATTTACACCTGTGGATCAATCAATCAATTAGAATAAAAAAAGCAATCTTTCCATCACTTTTCTGTTCGTTCAATGTGAGCTTGACGTCCCGGCAAATGTTGCTTTGCAAATCTACGTGTCAACAAACCGACTTTACTTAGTTGCTCACCTCTCTGCACCCATATTACACCAAGTGACGGTTTATTAAAGAAAATAAGGAAGTGGAAAATAAGTAGGGAGGATGGAGCTTTTCTTTCTGCCTGTAAGTTCTGCTAATAGTTGCTTAAAGACGCTGACAGCACCTGTCTGTGTTACTGGTCCTGTGTCATCACAACACGAGACGTGATGGTTCAAACTCGCACCGCACATTACCAACAAGACATTGTGTCACTTTTCTTTTCTTTTTATCGCTGCTTAAAGGGAAGCGTTAAGTTCGGCAGCACAAAGAAAGAGCCCTGGTGGATCATTTTACCATAATTAACTGTAAACATTTGTTCATTCAAGATATTTTTGCAAACTTTGTTTTTGCCAAACATAAAATTTGACTGTTTTATTTCACAATTTTGCTGTGAAAAGCCAGTGTGCCCCTTTGCCTCCAGACTCATTATCAGCTTGATGTAGGTACGACCATGAGGCCTCTCTGCCCGCCCACCTCGGCACTGATCTAATCACCGACGACAATCGGCGTGAAAACAGAGAAGAAGCGAAGCCCCGACGGGCCCGAGTAGAACAAAGGGAAGTCGGGACCAGACGGCAGACGCCGGTGACCTCAGCCGGTCCGTTCCGGTCCCCGGCTCCACAGAGGCAAGCCAGCATCAACAGAGAGTCAACGACATGGGAGGAGGGGGGGCCGGGGGGGGGGGGGTGGACATGTCCGGCTCTCTGTGGGAGGGAGCCAGACACGGGGGAGTTGGGTTTGGGGAACGGTAAACACTCACACTGTGGGAGGAGCAGGCCCGGTTCGAGTCTGCAAAGGCTTCCTATGCGTTTGGCCCTAATTTCATTAACATATCTTAAAGCACTTTGGACATCAGGGCCAAACGACAGGGACTTTGAGTGACTTAACGTCGGTCCCGCGTGTGCTTTTCATCAGCGAGATATTAACAGTAAAGAGGGAAAAAACATGTCGTTAAGCCGTCGTTAATGCACATGAGACACCAGAGATATTTGAAGTGGAATTAGCACAGAGGAGGTAAAGCTCCTGCACACCGCGCTCGTATTTCCTTCTAATGCGACGGGAGGCAGTGAACTTCCACGTCATTAACGTCTTTACATAAATGAGCCCGGGGTTTCCCCCCCTGTAAGGCGTCACAATGCAAATCTCAAGGTTTATTGAACGATTAAACAGATTAAATCTGCCTTTATTTGATTAAGTGACAGTAAAACAGAGGTAGAGAAACGGGAACCAGGAAATGTAAAGGTCAAACGGATCTTCTCACAAATGAGACACTTTTATTAATTCAGAATTCGGAGCTTGTGGCGCTTTGGGTGAACACCTTTCATTTGTGAGACTTTACTACACGTCGCCTTTCACCTACGACTAACTTTAGAACACGATCGGCCTACTTTTGACCCCCCCCCCCCCCCTTCTCTCACGTGTCTCCCGTTCGATCCGTTCCTGTCGGCACGTCGGCATCTCTGCTATTCCCGTCTCTCGGCCCGTGGAGCAGTGACAGCGAGGGGTTCAATTACCAAAAGGGGCAAAAAAAAAACACGTGGGAATGTCAGTGTAACGTCGGTATAACGTCAGTGTAACACCAATACTGTCCCGCTGGCTGTTGCCACGACGGCACTTAAGCCTCCTGATATCCGAGCCTCCTCACAGGAAGTTCCTGCGTGGCCTCATGATCACGCTCGGCCCACTGGCACACTAGCAGGGAGGGGAGGGGGGGGGCACTTGTCCCCTTACAAGGAGAGGAACGCCGCGGAGGGACCACTTGACTCCCCGCGACGACGACCTCGACGGTCAGCTTTGGAAGCAACCGAATATTCATCGGTGTCAATATTGGTTTGAGTGTAATTCAAAGCTACAACTCTGGTCGAGCGCCGGAGTCCAAGTCTGTTGATCATCCGAGTGGATTTAAAATTAAAGACGACGTCCCCCCGGAGAGAGTCTGTCCTTCACATGCGTCCGCAGGTGTGAGTTTGTGCATGTGAGCGAGTTTGTGCGCGCGTGGGGGCGACATCTCGCGGGCCCCGCGGACATCAAACCGCGATTAGAATGAATCGTCATTCAATATAAATGATTGACTCGAGTGCTGCGTTCGACTTTGCAATGAAAGAGAAACCAGGAGGAGGAAAAAGATTGTTCTGCTCGGGTCACCGGCTGCAGAAACGCTCCTGCTGCTCCCGCGCTCCGTTTCCAGGGTGATTCCTAAGCAGCCGGCGCAGACTCCCTCTGAGAGCTCATCTGGGTAAATTTCCACTCTGACGAACCGGTGGGCCGACCCCTCAATAATCCTTAAACCAAGACCGGAGAGCTAACAAGAAGCCATCAACCCGTCTTTACACAGAAGGTTACGTGGGAATCGTCAGCATAGTGGTTGAATTACTTCTCAGGGGTTTGTTTTTGTTTTTTTTCTTCCTCCTGTCAACACGACAAGTGCTTCAGTTTCTGGCCCCGCAATCGCTGCAAGATCTGCGAGGCCTGCGAGCCTTTGGCACGGTTTGAGGGTATTCAGAAAATGTCGAGGTTAGGCGACGCGGCAGCGGGCCGTAACCAGTTCTGCTCGACTCTGTCGAGCCGGAGGGAGCGACGCGTCACCACACCTTTATTCTGAGAAGTCCTAATTTACTGCTGATAAAAAGCGTTGTGTTCTCTGGCTCTCGAAAACAGCGAGCGGGTTTCCAGGAACTCTGACGAACACGAGCCCGTTCTTAGATGTTAAGATTCTAGACCCATGAGAGGGTTTTGCTCTCGGTGGTTTGGATCCTCCTCGTTTGTATAACTGGCGGGATTTTCCTCCACAGCCCCGATGCTCGGACGCGGCCGCCTCGCGTTCAGTAAGCAAAACAACTGAATCGCATAAACACGCGTGTAACCTTGAGTTTGAGCCGTGGTGTTGAATCTTTGCCGATTTAAAAGGACACAAAAACACAAATGGAAATACATTTAAAGGAAGTTGGAAGTGAAATATAAACAGCTAAGAAATAAAGAATCGTATATTCCCCAGGGAGAAAGTCGCACAGCTGACCTCTGACCTTTGCGTGTGGCTAGAAGACAAGAAGAGCTTCATCACTGATTTACGCTTACATCCTCTTTACATGTGACCGCACCTCGTGGACCAAAGTTTACCAGGTAAAATCACCTCGATCTGAAGGATTGATAACGCTCTCTATGACCCAAGGAGCGTCTATTCATACACCGAGCTATTTATGATCATCTCCTGTGTTATCTGTATCAACAAACATGTCAACGAGCCCGAGGCAAAGCACAGCAGAGGCATGCAGGAGGAAGTGTGTGTGTGTGTGTGTGTGTGTGCGTGCATGGGATGATGGGTGAGCGGCAGCGAACGAGGAGAGGGGAGTGAGAAAGAGAGAGAGGTAGGGAGGGGGGTGAGAGAAAGCGGGCGTGTCCTCCTCTCCCCTTCGCCACGCTCCGCGGGGATTAGCTATTTAAAGTCGGGCTGCTCCGCGCCACGGAGACCCTTTCCATGCGGACCACTGCGACTCTGCGGC